AGATGATATTTCCACCTGCGCCCAGCCACTACCGACCCATTTAACAGTTCTCGTTTAATAAGTCTTAAAACGCTTTTAACTTTACTGTTGCCTTAACTCTTAATTGCTAAATATTGATTGACAATAAATTTATTGCTTGTGTTCATTATTTTATTTCATTATTTGGAAACCATTCACAAGATTGTTCAATAAAACAATAAAAAAATGACATCCCCTCTGGAACATTTGAATTTGTTGATTATCAGCGATATTCATAATCATAGCGAGTATTTCAGTAAAATTCACCAAATTCTTGAAAGGAATCAATTAAAAATCGACGTGGTTCTTTGTCTAGGAGATATGGTTAACATTAAAACAAAGGAACAATATCAAAGTGAGGAATTTAAATTGGAATCTTTAAGGTGTCTTCAGGGAATGGCCAAGCAAATTTGAAAGACAAGAAATGAAACAATTTTTATTATCATCTGTGAACTTGTTTTAGATGACTTCTTCGTCTGTTAAAGAATAAACATCTTAATCTCAAGAAACTGTTGAGAGATAGTCTGGAAGTTTATGGAGTAATACATTGAACATTCAATGAAGTTCAGTGCAAGATTGATTTTTATTTTCAATCAATTTCAAATTCTTGTTTTTGATTGAAATTAAAGTTCACACCAAATTATTTCAAAAATCATAAAAAAATGCTCAAACTTGTCAAAGCAACAAAATTCACACCATGTTCTCTCGCAACAGCACCAAGAAACAAGTCTTTATTTGTCATCCAATTATTGCAATCAACAAGACTCATTAACAACAATAATCAAATCATTCCGATATTAAATCAATATTCATCCATTTCTAATCATGCAAATACTAATAATAATATAATTGTCTGTAGACAATTTCATACGAGTCATGTTCCAAGGGAGGCCGTCATTGCATCCAGTAAATTCCAAATGAATTTCTCCAGAGATTTATTGACCTATTGCTTAATTCTTTCTGGATTTTTGATTTGGATTTGGTGGTGGGATCCAAAGAGAGATAAAGTTTACTATCAAGTGTTGAATTCGAAAGGTTTGGATGCTAGAACGTGGGAAGATATTTTAAAAAGTGGAAAATCACAACAAGGAATCAAATTGAATGGTAAAATCATGTTGAAATATCAGAACAAACCTCAAAACTCATTCAATGTCAAGCCATTGGAAACAAGTGCTCGATCATTGGATGAAATTCTATTAATTCACTATTTATTGACCTGTTATAATACTCATAGGGGAAGTAGAGAGCCACTTTATTATTCGACTCATGATTTTTATGTTATTAGAAATGTACCACTAGCATTGCAATTTATTGATCCCAAAGATTCGAGACATCAGGTAACTGTTGATTTTTATTTGAGGGATGCATTGATTGGACCGAGAAGTGAAATTATTAATGGAAATGAAACTCTTACTCATCTCAAAAAGGAAAGAGTAATTTCTGGTAATTTGTTACAGAAATTCTTTGAAAGTGTTAAGGAAACTGTTGAAACTTTTAACACAACTCGAGAGCCGAATGGACTTTTATGGAATAAGGAATATACTGATTATGACCAGTATGTACAAGAATTTGTACTCAGAAATGGGAGTGTATCATTTATAGAAGGTCAATTCAAAACTGGAAAGAGTGGAAAATTGGAATTTCATTGTTCATTGATTTCACATGAACCAGAACAAGTTTTCATGCAACATTTGAAAGATGAAATGAGATGGTATGAGAAATTATCTCTCAATGCAGACAACTGGTTAACCAAATATTTAAAATGATCATTGACTTGATTGACTTTAATACTCATTGTAAACTTTAAATATTTTTAATTATTTAAAATCAAAAAAAAAATGGAACAAGAGGAGGAGGGCCACGAACCTGTTCAACTCATCCTCTGCGATTTTCAATACAATAATAACAGCAACAATTTCTATTTAAATGCATTAATTTCCTCCTTCATTGACAAATTAACGACTCGACAAAATTCCATCAAAAAGTTCCGACGAAACATGCATCAAAATCTTGGATTTATTCCGATTGAATATTATGATTGCTTGGAATTTGCCCTACTGCACATTCGTGAGAATTATTTCCATATGAGTCGATTTTCAAAAGAGATTCGGGATAATCGTAAATTTAAATTGGCAGTTATAAGGGAGAGACCTGCTGACATTCTTTCAATGAGTGATTTGTTGAGTGATAGGGAGGCAATTCTGTTGGCCATTTCACAACCTGGATTTGGGTATATTTTGGAGAGGGCTAGTGTAGAGTTGAGACTCGATTCAGAATTGCAGAGAATTGCCGAGCAGAATGGATCGAAACGTGACGATTACATGTTATGGTGTGAGGCATGGACAGAATTGGATATTTATGAACCAGAGGAGAGAAGAATTGTGAGAAAGATGCTTTCGAGGAATGGTGATTATTTTGAAATATTACCTCACATGCATGGTGATTGTGAATTGGCCTTAATTGCCATTAAGGATGATCCATCGGCAATTTATTTCATTTCTGATGAGTTGAAGAGGGACAAGGATTTCATTTTGAAAGCTATTAAAAGTAGAGTTGGAAAGGGATTGAAACAAATGGACAAACTTCCAGAATATTGGGGAAATGATCGACAAGTTCTTTTGGAAATTGGAAAACAAAATTACCATCTCTTACAATTTGCAGAATATAATTGGAGAGAGGATGATGAATTTGTCATGGAAATGATACGTGAAAAAACAATTATTTTGGAGGACATACCTGAAAGATTCAAAACTGAAAGACATTTAGTATTGGAACTTGTTAAAAATTGTGGAATTGCTTTGAGAGTATTGAGTTCTGACATGAGAAATGACAGGGAAATTGTTTTAGAGGCAATTAAGAATCTACCAAGTGCCTATCAATTTGCTTCTGAAAATTTAAAGAATGACATTGAAATTATCAAGACAGCTCTCCAATTATCAAGTATTGTTTTTCATATGATCCCTTCACATTTCAAGAATGAAAATGAATTTGTTCTGATGGCCCTCAAATCTGGTTTGGATTTTAAACAAGTTACCATTGAATGGAATAGAGATTTTGTTTTGCAAGTTTGTAAGATTGGGAAAATGCCCTTCTCTGCAATTCCTTTGGAATTCATTTCAGATTTTGAAATTATTGGAACAGTTATTAAGAATATGAATGGAAGAAACTTTAAATATGAAGATTTACCAGAATATATTCGAAACAAGAACATTCTTCTCAAATTGATTGAATTCATTTCTCCCAAACTAATCATCTTTCTACCACCAGAATTGAGTAATGATATGGAATTTCTCTTAGAATATGTAAAATTCAATGGTGATTTCCTTTTAAAAATTGATCGTCCTCTCATAACTGTCAATTTTATTACAAATGTACTTGAGGTCAATTGGCAAACATTTCAATACACTCTATCCAAGAACATCATCCTTCCCTGACAGCCTCAAATTAACAATCGGTGAGAGGTATGGTATTTTCTGTTATTCAGAATGTGGCAATGCATTGGATAGGAAAATGCTCAAGAGTGAGCGAATGAAATATGCATACCCAGAATTGGAGAATAGTGAACTGTTATAATTTACCAATTCAAAAAAACAATATACTGTAAATTTGTAAATTGTACATGTTTCATTGGGTAATTACTCCGTTTGCTGTAACTCTTCAAAAATTGGTCAACTGATTTTACAAGGTTGCACCAATCAAAACTGTTTCATACTCCACCACCAGCACTTGACCTCCAGTAAAGAAGAGGTTACTCACATCAATGCAACCCTTCTGAACATATCGAATATCGAGAGATGGTACCTCTATCTCGTACCTTCAAATAAAATCGCGAAAAAAAACAATTTCACATCATCCACTACTACTGACAGTTGTTGTTGTCGCTGATTTTCACACACAAACACATCAGAAAATGTTTATCCGTCCTGGACCTCGTGATCAACAACAGTACATGTTCGTTGCATCGATCAGTGTTGTCATCATGTCAATGCTTCTCATTCTTGGTAGCACTAGTCAAATATTAGCCGCATCTCTTGCACAAGAATATTGCAATTATGTGGTCAATTCACCACTCAATGATAAATTAAATTCCAAGTCAAACATGACAGAATTGGGATTAAATGTTGCCACTTCTTATAATCCAGGTATTAATTATGAAGATTATAGAAATATTTATGCTTACAAGGCAGAATATCCAAGACTTTATCCATTATTGAACTGTCATTTGAAAGTTACACCAAATAATTCAAGACCTGGTTGGGTTCATGATTTTTCAACTGGTTTAAATGTTGCTTTAAAGAAATTAGTCAAGTATGAATTTGAAACTTTTAGAGGAACTGGTTTGGATAACATTCCTAAAATTGGTGACTTGTTACAAAATTCTGGATTTTTAAGTACTTCAAAATCAGCACATGTTGCATCTGGATTTGCCAGTAATAGATACATGTTTAGATTTTCCAAATCTGGAGGTAGAGACATTACAGGAGTTGAAGGTTTACCATTTCAAGGTGAATTAGAAGTCATTGTACCACCTGGCAAATGTTTCAGAGTTATTGCTATGGGAAATGGTTCTCAATGGTGGAGAGATATGAGTCCTTCATTTGTTTCAGAATATAACACAAATATTACATTTATTGATTTGATGAAAGTTAAATGTCCAAAGGATGGAAAGAATTATAATGCCGACACTAATAATGATGTTCTGTCAATGCCAAATGATTGGGAATTGGAAAATTTCAAACAAGAAATGAGATTGAGAAGTATTGGAGCTGTTAGAGATGTACCAATTGGATGGAAATGTAATCCAAATAGTTATAATACTTCAGGTATGTTTTTTTTATATATAATAATTAATTACTTATCTATTTTTACATAATTGGTAATATTTCAAATTTACTAAAATGGTAATTCATTTAAAATATAGATGGTTGTGATTGTGGATGTGGTGTTTTCGATCCAGATTGTTTACAACAAGGTTCTTCTTTATTCAATTGTCCATCTTCTGGTGCCTTCTTTTGTAATTCCACAACTGCATCATGTCAAAGAGTAATGAGCAAATATGGACCTGTTCCAACTGAGTGGAAATGTCTTGCTTCCTATTATGGAGATGGTGTCTGTAACTGTGAATGTGGTTATCCAGATCCAGATTGTACCAAACAAACCTATGATTCATTTGCTTATGGTTGTCTTGTCAATCAATTCTGTAATGTCAATGGTCATTGTGAAAATAAGAAATATGTTCCACCAGATTGGACATGTTCTCCTCAATATTATAATGCATCTGATGGTTGTGATTGTGGATGTGGTGTTATTGATCCAGATTGTCTTGATATCACTCAAGAAGTTCTCAATTGTCCATGTGCAACCATGAATTGTACATTAGGTCATTGTACAGGTGAATGTAATGGAATTAGTTTGATGGCCATTCCATGGTTTTACAATTCTTCATCTGCTGATAATGGAAAGTCAACTGATACGATCGTTGTTTTTGAAGGAGTTGGAGTTTTTGCTGCCTCAGTGGTTGCTTCATTCTTTGGTGGATGTTTCATTACTGCCTTCTTGATGGTTGTCATTTACTTTTTGGTTCAGAATTGTAGAAAGAAGAAGATTAACAATGCTAATGGACTTCAAGATCAATTCATTCAATTACATAATCAACAATGATTAAAATCATATTGAAATAGTTTAAATTAAAATTTGTTGTAAATATTATTGAAATTACTTAAAAAAATTGGTGCTGGTCAACAGGAATTGAACACACGACATGACCTTTCAGAATTCCCATCACTTAATTAGGTCAATTTGCAATTCAAAATTTTAATAAAAATCAAAAAGAAAAAAATGAATAATAATCGGAACCGTCCTCATCACTCCCAACAAAACAATCCTCGGGGAGGTAAAACCAATCGAGTTTCCACAAATGTTTCCTCCTCCTCAAATAATGTAAACACAAATTCGGGAACTCAACAATCAAACAATTCCTCTGCATCCTCTTCTTCTAATACTCAATCATCATCACCACCACCATCATCTTCTAATGCTCAATCAGTAGGAAGAGGTGGCAATTCTAGGGGAAGAGGAAGAGGTGGAAATTCTAGGGGAGGAAAAAAACAAGCCTTTAAAGTATTCACTCCAAAGCAAAGTCCACTATTGAATATTGATGTCATTAGCTTTGGATATTGGAAAGATGATCCACTCGTATCGGAAAAGCCTACTTTTTATAATTATAGTCGATTTATGTATGAGAAAGGTGCTTCAAAGGATTTCAAAGAGAGAAAACGAAATTATTATTTGAGAAATCATGATGGAATGTTGAAATTGAATATTAAATTTGATGGAAAGTTATTTGAATTAAGATTCAATTTGGCAACTATTAAGAATGGAATTAGATTGTTGGAAAATTCTTCTTGGAATTGGAATCAAAGAATATTCCACTCATGTTGGAACAACAGTATATGGAAAATTTTAAAACAACCTCACGTGCAAGGATTTGCAAAGAAACAAATACTCTTTTTGAAGACATTGGACTTACTCAGGTGTTTTTACTGAAATTGAGTTTGTTCCAGGATGTCAAAAAGCAGATACCAAAATTGTTTGAGTTATTGAAAGAGAAAATAGAGGCAGTTCCAATCAAAAGTATTGATTTCTGTCACAAGAAGTTTGAAATTTCAAACTCCTCTTTGGAAAAGATTAGAAAACTTGACTTTTACAATATTCAATATTATTTATTGGTATTAGAAAGTCATGGTATTTTCAGTCCATGCAATTATAGTGACAAATTTTTCGAATTGTTAAAAGGAGACGAATCAAACGAGTACAAAATCAAAATGGGAACCCTTTTGGAAAAGATTTACTTTGACTATTTAATCAAGTATCCAAGTAGAGTTTACAATTTGGAAGAAACTATTGAAACGTATTTAAATTCAAAAGATTACCAATTACAAATGAGTCGTTCTATATTAATGCAGGGAGACTCTGCACAAGAGGTGAATCTGTGCAAAAAGGTCATTGTAACACCTACCAAGATTTACTTTTTACCTCCTGAGGTTGATAAAACAAATCTAGTCATCAGATACGCCGATAAAAAGTGGGGAAGTAGAGAAAACTTTTTTAGAGTTAATTTCTTAGATGATAATTTCAATAATCTGTTCGCGAGTGAGTTCAGAAATATTAGCAATCGTATCAAGCAACTGATGAGTAGAGGTATAATGATTACTGACATGAAACGATTGGAATTTCTTGGATTTTCATCTTCACAATTAAGAAATTCGTCAAGTTGGTTTTTCCTCAGAGATTACAACAAGTTGAAACCATCACCACAGGACATTCGATTATATGGGAGATTTCACTGACATTAAAACACCTGCAAAGGTTGCAGCAAGATTTGGACAATGCTTAACAAGTACAACTCCATCAATTGAAATTACTAAAGATATTGAACCAGTTGAAGATATTGAAAGAAATGGATTCACTTTTACAGATGGTATTGGAAAGATAAGTGAAGAAATGATGCAACGAGTAAAGGAAAAGCTTCAATTAGGAGAATCATTACTATCAGCTATTCAATTTAGATGTGGAGGAGGAAAGGGAGTATTAGCAATAGATCCAACTTTAAAAGGAGAACAAATAGTTTTCAGAAAGAGTCAATTCAAATTTACCTCAATACAGAAACAATTGGAAATTGTGGATTACTCAAAGAGGAGAAGTGGATTTTTGAATAGACAATTCATAACAATTTTGACAGCACTTGGAATTAAGGATGAAATATTCATGACAAAACAGAGAGAAATGATACGTTCCATTCTTAGTATAACAGACGATGTCTCAAAGGCCTATGAATGGCTGTCGATTTACCATTCCAACCATACAAGGACATTTATTTGCCATGTTCTTAAATATGTACCAGAAATTGCAACATCAGAAAATTTTATCATGAATATGTTGAGTTCATATAAGGAACAATTATTGAAAGGATTACGAGACAAGACTAAAATATATATTGAGAAATCAGCGTATTTAATGGGAGCCATTGATGAGTATGGAGTTTTGGAGGAAAATGAAATCTTTGTTAATTTATCACCTATCTTTCATAGACCTAATGCTGAATTTGGAGTAGTTAAGGGAAGATGTATTGTTGGAAAGAACCCTTCTCTACATAAAGGTGATTTGAGAATAGTAACAGCAGTCGATCGTCCAGAACTTTACCATTTAAATGATGTTGTGGTATTTTCTAAGAAAGGAAAAAGGCCAATAACAAACATGATAACAGGCTCAGATCTTGATGGTGATCAATTTTTTGTCTATTGGGATCCAGACTTGATTCCTGAATCAGATTCTGAACCAATGGACTATTCAGTTGGAGCTGTAGCCAAACCAACAAACAAAAAAGACGAGGAGGAAGAAGAATACAAGATTAAGCAAGATGATATTATAGACTTTTTCATAGAGTTTATTACGAGAAATAATCTTGGATTGATTGCCAATACTCATTTGGCTAATTCTGATTTTAGAAAAAATGGTTTAACATCGAAGGAATGTTTAACACTTTGTGAGCTTCACTCAACAGCTGTAGACAGTGCCAAGAGTGGTAAATTTGCAATCATTCCATCAAAGGTCAAATTATATGAATATCCACACTTTATGATTTCTTCTATGAAAAGAAAGTACAAGTCTAAAAAAGTGCTTGGAAAACTATTTGATGAAACACAATTCAAACATGAAACACCAGGAAAATGCAACAAAAAGCACAATTCATTACTCATTGTTGACGGATTTGACAAGTACTTGAAGGAAATAGAGCCACATTATTACAATTACAGTAGATTTGTCAACTCGGATATGGTAAAGTATGGCGTTGAGGACGAATCACAAATTATTTCAGGTTGGATTAATACCAATATCAAATGCTTTGGACATAAGGAACATGATATTCACGAAACCATTGCAATCACCATTTCATTCTACCTGAAACATTTTAGGAATGTTTTCGAAGAGATGGTAAGGAAATATGGGGAGAGTGAGCGATTGGCAATTGCCTCTGCCTGGTATTACATTACTCATACAGAGAAAAATCAGTTCAATATTTTCAGTTTTGGGTGGATAAACTTTAAGGAACTGGTAATGATTGCTACGAAAGAGAAGGAAATTAGAGTGGATTCGGATGAAGAAATTCAAAATCTTGAAGAAAATAGTGAAGGAGAATATGATGAGAATTATAATGATGATGATGACTTGTATGACTTGACTGGAGATGAATCAGAAGTAGAATCAACATGTTCAGAAGTGGATTCATGGACAGAAGGAATGGATAATTCTTATTTCTATTAGTTCAGGAACTCTTTTCACTTTTTTCAAATTATACATTCTTTTCTGAGATTATGTAGTATCTTTGAAATAAAGCACATCATGTTAGTGAACTTCTTTACTATTTTCAGAGAATTATTTGATTCCACCAATAGGAAACCAGATTATTTGGCAGTGTTGCTTTAAACTGGGTTTGGTGTTTCAATAAATAATTAACATGTGGTGCTATTTTTTTGGGAATTGGAAAGTTGAGAACATTGTAAGTGGATATAAAGAGGTATGAGAAAGATGGTAATTCTAATACATATTTCATATCTTGAACCATTTTGAATAGGTTGGATTGTGATCTATTTGACTTGAGGTAACATGCTTGTATGCCAATAAATCTTTGCTCGTTTTTGACCTTGACAGGCAAAATTATATCTGCAAATTTTGCTTTTGCAGAATTAAGAATTACCCTTTCCACAGGTAGAACATCAATATCTGATAGAGAATCAAATTGCTTGCATAATTTTACAACCCCTTTGAGAGAAACTTGGCCAGATTTGCAATCATCTGGAATCATACTTTCAGGAAGTACTTTTTCAATTGGAAGACATGATCCAATCGGTACATTAGATTCCAAACAGCCCAAACAATAGCTTGCCCAAATAGAGGCTGCAATAGTTTTTTTGAAATGATCATCTTGTAGTTTCGTTTGGAATTTCGGTTTTGTTAAATGTTTATCATAAAGGAACCAGCATAACTTGCTTGACATAGCTCTTTATCCACTCCAAGTTTAACACACCATCCAATCTTTTGAAACTCCGTCAAACTATGCTTATCCTTTGATCTTGGGAAAAGTGGTTGATATGGTGGTTTTGTAATTCCCATCACTTTGATTAATTGGAAATACTGTGCTTCACCTTCATCAAAGAATCCAACTTCAGGTTTGTCTGGGTATTTCTTCGCAAAGGTTTGTATTGTCTTTCTACATTGTTCCAAAATATCAAATTCTTGGTGAGATAGAGTTGACCTTTCAAGTGGGGAAATTGACAATTCGTCAGCTACCATTTTAGCAAGGTCTGAACCATAATGGTAATACATATTTTCCATTGCTCTTCCATTTCCACTACACATTAATAAAACAGAAACAATTATTCTGGATAGATAAGGAGAAAGCTCTTTTGCGCTATCACATGCCACTGGATTTCCTCCCAATTCTTTGACCACTATGTAGATATGCAGAGAACAATTCGAATGTAATTTCTTGAAAAACATTTGCTCCAAACAGCAACTCTAGGTTTACAACTTTGAGATTGTAACATGTATCGGCTGAAGATAAACTGGTTTGGAAAGGAATTGGCAGATAAAACAAGAGACAAAGTGGCACTGGATTTCAGCTCATATTTCATGCTTTCGAATAGGAGAATTCCAACTTCATAAAGAGAACCATTGGGGCTAGTGTTTGTGTTGATGGCATGAAATGAATCAATCAATACAATCAGAGGCAATAAATTCTGTTGATTCTGTAAAGATATCTTCAACTTCTGGTGCATTTAATTGGACCAATTGAGAGAATATAAAGATGAGTTCTTCAAGAGGGCCATTCAATCCATTCTTGTCCATTTATCAAAGTCTTTACATTTGTTGAATGGAATGCAGGTGGTGGTAAAGTGTTTATTGTTGTTGATTGATTTATTAAAAGCAAGTATTGCACCAGCACCTCTAACAACAATGCAATGTCTGTTGGGAATAAGGATTTTAAGTTTGAACATTTTTTTTGATTTCCAAAATTAAGGAAAATTATTTTAAAAAATCCAATGGCTGCCTCAATAAGATAAACTGAGTGCCAAACTTTTTCAAAAAGAGTTGAATCCCAACCTTTCTCATAGTACAGCAAAATTTTGAACAACTATTATTGGCCTGACCGCCCTTTCCAGCGTGTGAAATAAAACTCATTCGAAAGGTCATTGTAAACAACCTAATCAACTGGAACAGTAAATTTAAAAAAAAAAATGAACGAAAACCAAAGCCTCCATCACTACAAACTCTACGATCTCTCTGAAGATCTCATCTCACAAATATGTGACTACTTTTTTGCTAAACCTCTCGTAATTTGTTATCCATTTCCAGCACTTTCTTGCATTTCCTGTTCCGATTACACTTCTCTCATCTCACTCGTGCATACGAATCGTAAATTGAGAGATTTGGTGAGAAATAATACGGATTTGTGGTCGAGATGTTTATTTAGATTTCCATGTTTTTTGGATTGCAACTTGAAATTATGTAAGAAATTAGTGATGAGATGTGATGAGAATTATGCAAATTTAAAGCTGCCAACCTTTGAAAGTTATTCGAAACAAAAGGTAGATTATTATATGGGAGAGGTTTCTTATTGTCCTCCCATTGATGATGATTCCACTTTGGAAACAATCAAGGAAGGAAAGGTACCTTCCACAAGTACTTTTATTGCACAAGAAAAAAAAAACAAAATTCATCATTATTCTTCATGTGAATTGGAATTACTCGATTCCTACTCTGAATTTGTTAATGTTCTCTGTGATACAGATAGTATGGATATTTACTTTGAGGGTTTCAATCCTCTACCTCTAGAATTACACAAGAGAAAGGAAACTCATTTGACTATTGGAAGGTATCATGAGAAATTTCCACACATTCGATGTGCTTCTTTTAGATCGCAATCGAATTATGTAGATTGCAATTATTGGTTCAATTCTGAAATTGATTTTGAAAAAAAGAATTGGTGGCATGAAATGGAAGGCATTGTTGTGAGCTATTCATCCTTCTTCTCACTCCAAGATGTTTTGAAAAGGAACCTAATTTCCAAATTTACAAGTGAAAAGAAAAATGAAATGAAGAGAGTTAACATGTCAATCAACTTGGGAGAGGGGAAATCGAATGTATTATTGAAAAATATTTCAAATTTTGTGCAAAGTTGTCCAAATATTCAAGTAACAACGACTGTATTTGCTATAGAAACTCAATGTTTTAGTGTTCTCTATCAATACTTGAAAAGAGTTTCTGTCACTTTGAAATCTGCACCAGAGGAGACAATTGTTCTAAAGGATATTTCACTACCACACTTGAAATGGCTAGATTTTCATGGAAAATACCAAGAAGAATTGAATCCAACAATGCAAACTCTGAAATTACATCACATCAAGTTTGACAATGTTGATGCACCTATACTTTCATATTTTGAATTAGAGCATTTTGAATTGAGTGTTGAAAACCAAAAACTATTTCCAAAGCTGCAAACTCTTGAATTGAAATATTCAAAATTCAGAAAAGATTTCTTGATTGACAAGCATTATGACTCTTTGGAGAATCTAAATGTTAGATCATGTGTCGAGGACTATAATCAAAAATTGGATTTGTATTTTGATTCGAAATTTCACAAATTGGAGGTTTTGAAAGTTTCAGAAGCAAGAAATATACAAGCACTAGATCTTCCTAAATTGGATGATGTTGACATTTCTTCATCCTTGTCTTTCCATGCTAAAGATTGTAAACTTGACAGATGTAATTTTAATTCAGTAACTGAATCAATCAATATTGAACAATCTAGCCATCCTATTTCTACATCATTTTACATGTATAGAAATCCTCAGTTTTTGTCCTTATCATCTCCTTCATGTAAGAGTCTATCTATATTCATCCTACAAATTACAGATCAATCTATTTGTGAAATTAATGTTGGGGAAATCAATCATTTTTCCGTTCAGATCCACAGCATTTCTCTGTTAACAATTAATGACCCAAATAATTTCTTAATTTTCCCTTATTCAAGCAACATTGACAATCTTGATTTGAGCATTAGTAATAGCAATAAGAACCTATTAGATTTGCTTGTAAATAATTTGAAGCAAGTGTCTACAATTAGGAAAATCAAATTCTCCAACATGTCATCTGATATTTGGAATCAAATTTTGTCAAGCATTTCAGGAAAAGCTCAGGAATATGAAGTAGTGGAATATATTAACAGTGATGGTCTCTATATGTATTGTACTCGAAAATTATCAAATCTTTCATGTGAACAAACAAGCAATGTAACGGAAAAAGTTAATGCTATTTTATCTAATCCTGGATTAATGATAGCAAGTTTAACTGTCTATCCAGAGATGAAAATTCCCCCACCAGTTGAATCAGCCACTCTTAATAGTTTAACAATTATGACAAATGGTAATCAGAAACTAATCAACTTTCCAATAGATTTGCAGAAACTTTCTAATTTGGAAACACTCAACATAAGTCAGCAAACAATATTCTCAAACAATGCAACATGTATTTTGAAAAGCTTAACTATTTCATCAAGTCAAACAGTAGAACTTGACATGGCACTGCTTCCATTATTAACTAATCTAAAAATTGAGACCTGTTACAATCTAAAACTTCATTATACCAAAGAAATAGACAACTCTAAATTGAACCTCATTCACATTAACCTTATTGACACATTTAATGTTGAATTTCCTTGTTGGTCTCTTTCATCTGTTAAAGAGCTTTGCATTACAAAAATCAAAAAAACAACTTTGAATACTTTGATTGATTCTACAAGAGCCAAATGCCTTAAAGTTAAGATGATTCACTTACCTGATAAGCATGTAAAATAATAGAAATCTCTTCCAATTCTTACTATATTTACAAAATTTATTAATATTAGTTCTATAATACAACAACAGAGAATAAAGTTTTCAATTCTTCTTGACGAATTGACTAATTAATTTAGATACTTCACTACCATTGAGTTCAAATTCATAATTACCATAAATATGAACAACTTGCATAGAGTTTTAAATTAAAGTTTATCAATTCAAATTAGAGATATTTAGAGGAACTACCAATAAGATTATAAATTTCTTCAACTGTTTGTTTGTAATATTCCTCAGAGATTTCCAATCTTCTTAACCATTGTCCAAAATACTCTTGTAGACGATTTGTTTTTGGGTGTGTCAAGATGTGATACTTTTCAAAATCTTTTCTGTTTTGAATCTTATCAGCACTAGAAATGTTAATTCAACTATTTTAAATAGTAGGAAACTTACATTAACATCTGATTAACTTCCTTTAGTGAACTCAATGCAAATGTTTCTGAAGATGCACAGTGAGATAGGTAAGCGTTTGCAATATTTCTGTACTCGGTGGCAAGCATTATAACTCTGATATCCCACTTATTCCTATTCTCATCATTCAGCAATTGGTTGTTAAAAAATTCCTTGATTTCTGAGTCTCCTTGAATGAGAGGGTGTAAAATATAAGCTTTTTGAGCTAGTTCAGAAGCTCCCACTTTTTTCAAAATGTACATCCCTTCATCAATATGATTGATGAGATGAACACCCGATCTCTCAGCATGGTGATCCCCGTAGGCCTTCTCCACAGCTTGATATTCCACAAAATTACACTTTTCCCAATAGACAACCTTTCTTCCGTTCAAACGATCCAACAAGAAGGAATCTTTTTCAACAATCAATTCCGATGATTCATTTACAATATAATCAATCACCTTATCATCCTTCCTATAATCAGGTCTTACATAATAATATACAAACTGTTCCTCCCTGTTTTTTTCAATAAACTTGGTAATATTCACTTTGATGGCAGCATCCTCCAATACACATTCATATTGTCCATTCCATCCATAATGATATCCATCACATGATAAACTCTGAGTGCATCTATTTTGTATGTACTGTAAAATTTCATTCAACTCAACAGCCTGGCTATTAAAACGGGGAGAGTGAGGTTTGGTTGAGAATGACGACATTTTTTTTAAAGTTTATATTTATCTAATAATCAAGTTCCTTTTTCCCCAACTTATTAAACTTGTTTTTTTGGCGGGAAATGGTTTAGCAGGTTTAAAATTGTAGATGATTTAAAATTGGCGCCAAATATCATCATTCAAAAATATACAAAAAAAATGTCTGATGAACCCCAAGAACATAATTATACGTTTAAGCAAACAAAGAATGCTATAACAGTTGAGCTACCAAGTCCTGAAGATTTGGTACAGGAGGATATTGATGTTTCAATTGTAGGGAAAAAATTGTCAATTGTTGTAAGAAAACCGGGAGAAGATGAAGAAAAATTATTGGAGGATACACTTCATGAGGCTGTAAATCCAAATTCTTTGGACTGGAAACTTGATACAAATAAGTGGAGAATTTCTCTTACAGTCAAAAAAGTGGAGGCAATTGAATGGCCAAGTTTGTTTGTTGTAGTAATTAATATTCCTCCAGTTTTCCAATTTGCTGATGAAAACAAAGTTAATGAAGTGATCAAAATATTTAAGGAAGCAAAGAGAAAGGAAGATGGGGGTGATGATGGTGATGATAGTGGTGGCAGTACTAGTAGCTCTCATGAACTTATCTCAATGAAGCATCCTATTAAAGGATATTCAATTGTTAGTTGGGCAACAATGAATAGAAAGTATCCTGTTATTGAATTTTTATTGAGAGCTTTTGGACCAAAGAAGGTAGCCAATTTGGTCAATGAGCAAGATTTTGAAATAATCAAGGAATGGCAAAAAGAAAAAAGAAGACTCCATCTTCTTGAAAAGAAGCAAAATGAACCAAAAGAATCAACTGAAGAAGAAGAAGAACCAGAAGAAGAAAAAGACTTTGCCTCGGGACTTGTTGAGAAATTTGAAAAGTATACCGTAGAGTTGATTAAGCAAATTGGAGAATATGGTATTTATGAGGGAGAAACAGCCGAATTTGAAATACCTGTTGAAATACCACCAGTAGTTGAAGAGGAACCACCAAAAGAAGAACCTAAGGAAGAACCCCCTACCACAGATGAAAACTCTGAGGAAAAGAATGAAGATGACAATGAAAATAATGACGACGATGAACCTAAGGAACCTGTTGAGAAGAAGCCAAAGAAAGTCAAGGTTGTCGAACCACCTAAACCAATTATTGTAAAATACAGACATGGTTTCGGATCGGCATACTATCCAAATGACGATGTATATATTGGTACTTTCGACAACACCATTCGTGAGGGAATGGGTGCCTATATTTACAGAGGTGACTATTTGAAACAATTGAGGGAAAAGAAAGAAAAAGAACAAGAAGAAAAAGACGAGGAAGATGATGGAAATGCTGAAGGTGATGAAGAAGCTTTCAATCCAGAAAATGTTCCTCTCTGCTACTATGTAGGAGATTGGAAGAAAAATATGAAGAATGGAAAAGGAAGAATGTTGTATCACAATGGAGATAGATTCTATGGTGACTATGTGGACGACAAGAAACAATGTGAAAGAGGAATTTATTTGTATAGCAACGGTGATATGTACGTTGGAGAGTTTAAGGACGACCATAAAACTGGAAAAGGTGTTTACACTTTCGCAGCTGATGGTTCTAGTTTAGATGGAGAATGGAAAGAAGGTAAATTTATCTCTGGTGTTTGGAATTGGAAAGATGGAAAGATTGCCTTCTCCTCTGAAAACTTTGCTGGCTCAAATATTGATGGTAACTTTTCGTTTGCTAACTTTAAGAGTTTTGGTTCGTTTATTGATGGACAATGGAAGATGAAAAATATCACTCTTTAATGCACCTAGTTCTGTAATAAATTAAATAAACTTAATTGTTAAATTTATTCTTGAACTTTGAAGTTTGATTCGTAATATCCTTCACTTTCGAAACATTCCATAAGATATTCCTTGAAAGTTGTGAATTCATGTTGCAACTTATTCATAGATGAAGCTTGCTTGAGGCTAAGAATGTAAACACCGTCTTCTCTTTCGTCTCTTGTCAAGTTGAGATCACGATTCGAAAAAAGTTGAACCAAAGTACTTTCCTCACCGAATGCCTTCAATAAAATTGGTGGCATCAAGAATGGGAATTCCATAGTTTGTTCTTCAATTTCACTATTGTGAAGGAAGTGTGAGTAAGCCAAATAGAGCAAGTCGTCTAACTCTTGTTGTAAATCTTGTTTGATTTTTTGGAATTCTTCGTCTCTGTCACAATCGTTATTTCCATCATTATTATCAAATTCATCTCTCGTAGAGAAGTCAAATGAATTTTCAGTCATTGCTAATGATTGAGTTGTATCAACCTTACTGGACTTGGCTTTCTTTGGCTTTTTACTATCAATCTTGTCCAAAACGTCACCATAATCATCCTTTGATTTTGATCCATCTTTTTCCTCTTGAGAATCGAAATGATTATAGTTGAATTTTGGAGAGAGATTTAATGGTTCTCTCTTTGGAGGAGTGAGAGTGTTTCCATTGTTTACAGTCACAATAGGCTTATCATTCTTTTGATTACCAATTCTAATACTGCTACTCCACAGCAAGTACAAGTTATTCTTTGGATCAACCTTAAAGTACAAAACCATTCTAGTAATATTCTTGTGTTCAACACTAAAGAAGTGGTCAACAATTGCAGAACAAACTCTCTTAATTTCCTTTTCCAAGTGAGGAGCACAAAACACTTCATTACTAAAGTGACTTGGACCTTCATAAGTGACTGCTCTTTCGTATGGAGAGTAATTCTTTCTATCAGTAATTCTATGAATATTTACACGCCTCTCAATCTTGGTTACGTGAGGAGACCAGATGGCTTGAATAACAAAGTTGTATGGACCTTTTGGAGTGATAAATTGTTGTAAAATACCCTTGTCTCTCTTCTTTCTTTTGAAGAGGAAATCATCCAAACTATCAACATCCAAAAATTCAACATTATTGATTATTTCACCAGTTTTTTCATCCTCAGTTTGAGAAATGAATTGGGCAACAATTCCGTGATGATTATCATTATTCATAACATTTTCATTAGAGGCTGCAGGATTATTTGGATCAACTGCAGGAGTTGCTTGAGTTTGTGTTGTTGCTGCAGCGTTAGGATCTTGTTGATCTCCTGATGCTCCAGTTCCACTTCTTGGTACAACGATATTTCTAGTAAATTCATTCATGATAGCCTTTGTTTCCAATTCCTTACCACTCTTCTTTTTAAATTCCTTTGTAGCAGGATTTTGTTGATACCAAACAGTCGGAAAGTTATGTTCATATACAATAGTTTGAGGAACAAAAACCAAAGGACAAGATTCCAAATTCTTATTCTTCTTCGAGAGGTAATGATTGAGGGAGGTTAAAACCTCGAGTTCGAGAGGGTGACGATGTGAGGACATTTTTTCTCTTGCTTTAATTTACATTTTGGGCGCCAAACTGAAAAAACTGGAAGAACTGAGGAATAATTACAAGATGCTTTAATTGTTTGTCAAAAAGCAAAAATATTAATAAAACATACTATTAAAACAACTCAATTTTACAAATCATTAAACATCATTTTTTTATACAAAATTAACTCCTCTTTACAAAATTTTAGCTTCATTCTTCAATTTATCCACTAATTGTTCTGCATTTTCAACAAAAACGCATGATCCAGTCTTGGCCTTTGGTTCAGTAATTTGAACATATTCCAATTGAGATTCTTCGAATTCAGTTCCTTTGACAAGATCGGAATAGTTGAGAGTAGTCAATGGTTTCTTCTTGGCTTGAATGATGGCCTTCAAATTGGCAAAACGAGGTTCATTCAATCTCAAATCACAACTAATAACAGATGGCTTACCATTGAGCATAAGAGATTCAAGTCCACCATCAATTTCTCTTTCAATTTCAAATTCCTTTCCTTCCTCACTGGTTGGTTTTAATTTGCTGATGAAAGTAGCTTGTTGAGTACCAAGCATGCTGGCAAGTAATTGGGCAACTTGTCCATTATCACTATCAATAGATTGTTTACCCAACAAGACTAAATCAATTTGATTTTCTTCAACAATACGACGAAGAATGTGAGCAACTTGTAAAGGTGAAATCCATTGTTGAACTTCTCCGCTATCAAAATCTGTTTTAACGTGGATGGCTTCATCACTTCCTTTAGCCAAAGCTTGTCTCAAAATTTCTTGGCATTGATCGGTACCAATAGAAACACTAATTAATTTTGGTGAATTGAATTTTTCTTTAATTCGGATACCTTCTTCAAGAGCAATATCATCGAATGGGTTCATACTATGTTTAACTTGTTGAGTAACAACGCCAGTGAGAGTCTTGTTCACTCTCACGGAAACACTGTAATCAATAACACGCTTCAAGCCGACGAGGATTTTCATTTTTTTTTAATTTTTCTTTTTCATGTCCATTTTTAATTGAAGAATCAATCATCATGGATGAATAAATATTTATTATTAAATAGGTTCGGGTGATGATTAATTTTTTAATGAAGATTTTATTTTATCATCAAAACCTTATCGTCCTCTTATTAGTAGTTCGTAGTAAGATGTAAGTAAAAGCGTAACTAATACTATGTTATTAATAGTAAGAGAAAAAATGCAACAACAACAACAACAACAATTTAATCCAGTAGAAGTCTCTTCTATTTCCTGCCAGTTCTGCAGGTCCCAGCATCGTCGATGTAGCAAAACAAAACCAAGTTGTTATTCGTGTGTCATGAGAGGTGTTGAGTGTATTTATGGTTCTGGTAAGAGGAAAAAGAGGAATAATGAAGAAATGGATCAAATGATGACTGTTATGAAAGTAGTGCCAACTCCTCATCATCATCAGGAAGAATTTCAACAACAACAAGGCTTTCCAATGTTTACCTTTCCTTTTCAAAAGCCTCCACAATCATCATCAGCTTCATTATCAACACCACCCGAACAACAAACAATTAAATCTTCGTCATCTTCATCAAATAGCAGTCCCGAAAGTAATAATTCTAATCAAATTGTAAATAGTAGAAGTGAACGATTGCAAATAGTTGATTTTTATTTCGAAGTGGCTTGTTTTGCTCATCCCATCGTATCGAGGAGTGAATTGGAAAAGTTTGTGGAGATTTCTGCTCTGGTTGAGGGAGAGTTTGATACACCATTCATGAATGAAATGGCTGCCTTGTTCTATTCAATCAAAACTGTTTGTGAGATAACACAGGGAAAACAACCTGATGAGACTGCCAGTATTGCTAAACGATATCTTTCTAACTCTTTTGCTAATTATTCCAGTTTCTATATTGCTGGTGCCTATTTCCACATGTGCATTTACGAACTCTTACAGGAGAGACTTGATAAGGCACAATTGTACTTTAGAATTTTACTCTTTTTCAAGCAGAGTTTATTTAAAAATCCTAACGCCTCCCTCAATGAATATCAACTGAATGTCAAGAAGGCAATATTTTATTTGGAGAAGATTGTTTTCAAGGTAGATCAAAATGTGAAACAAATAATGACAGTGGAAGATTTTCTTGATATTATTCCAGATTTATTTGTATTTAATAGTACAAGTTTGCCAGCTGGCTGGGATGCATGTTTGAAACAGCCAATTACTTCAGAAAATTGTTTGGAAGTTTGGACTCTGGTCGAATTAATTCTCACCCAAGCTAAAATACATACACCATTCAAGACAAATCCAGAGCTTAGTGACCTCTACTATAGGTTAGCAGAGAATGGCTCAAGAATTGCTCTCTTATCAAAAAAAACTACCAAATCTTCAATTATTGAACTCTCTATTGAAGCGAGCGCTTTTTACATTGCTCAATCTCTCGATCATCCTCGATTCTCACTCTTACCATTTGAAGTTTTATTGCATGTCTCTTATGCTGCTGAATACCATTTGCAGAAAGTGGATAGTGGAATTATCACCAATAATGGTATCAATTATCTCGATTTACTGAGGAAGGAATTGCATGCGTATAACTCTCTCAAATCCAAATACCGTATAGTAGCATTCCACTTCTCTCAAGTTTTCGAAAAGATTGAAAGCCTGTTAAATCAGCACAATAGTCATCTAACATTTATTCACTAATTTTTTAAATTGCCAAACCTAATGAACCTAACGTTAATTATTATTATTTTTATGGCCAACTATTGTTTATTTTAAAATTCTTTAAAACCATTACACAATTAAGGATTGTTCATCAATCTAACTACCAACAATTTTCATTTAGAAGCAGTGTAGAATAGGTTAGCTAACCTATTTTGGTTGTAACTCTTGGGTTTCGGTATTCAAATGCTCGACTCCTCAACACTGCTCCTTGGATGTCCTTGGAGTTTGAATCTCATTGCCGAAGTCCATTATTGCATTCCTTTAATTTCTGCTCACACCCAAGTGCGCGGCATGACCATGGACAAATCAAAAATGGTATAAATAGTCAACCAGGGTATTGAACAATGTAATCAAACAACAAAACAAAATGACAGTAGTTGAACAAGCTGTAAATACTGAACAACAACAACCACGTAAAAGTAGAAATCCATTCAAGAAAAAGAAGAATGATTTTTCTATGGAACTCAAAGATGAAAGAGAACCAAAGATTCACTTTTATGACCATTTGAGAATTTACAAAATCTTTGGATGGAGTTGGGTCTTTCTCTTCTTGGGAATTATTGGTTCGCTAGGAAATGGTGTCATTCTCTTGGTGTTTCAATTTCTATTTGGTGATTTGATTAACATTTTCCAAGCAGATTCGAACGGCAATTTACCAACCACTGAAAAGATTAAGAGTGACATTTCTCTCATTTCTATAAAATTCACTGGAGTGGCCATTGGTGGTATGGCTGCAAGTTTCATAGCTCAATTCTTTTTGAGTTGGGCCAATGAGCTGATTGGAGTTTCATTGAGAAAGGCCTATTTCAATGCCTTAACAAGACAAGATGTCGGATTCTTTGATGTGAAACAAACAGGTGCATTGACCATTGGATTGAGTGAAGATGTGGCCAAGATTCAAGAAGCTTACACTACTAAACTTTCATTGATCATGTCCAATTTGGGAATGTTTGTAATTGGTCTAATTCTTGCATTGATTAGTAGTTGGCAAATGTCTCTTGTCATGATGTCAACTGTTCCATTAATGTTGATCATTACAGTCATTTTAGGAAAGTTTACTGAGATTCTTACTGGAAAATCCAATATTGTCATTTCCAAGAGTGCTGCAAAGGCCACTGAAGTTGTTTCTTCATTCAAAACTGTGAAAAGCATGGGATGTGAAGAAAAGGAACAAGTCAACTTTGCCAATATTTTGAAACGTTTACGTTTGTATGCAATTATCAGAGCAAGTATTCAAGGTGTCAGTATTTCAAGTGAAAATATCATTTCCTGGGGAACAATTGCATTGGCTCTTTGGTATGGGTAAGTTGTAACTCTATTAAGTTTTGTGAAATTAACATTTTCCTAAAGTGGTAATTTGGCAGCTGATGGTGTCATTACAGTTGGTGATTTGGTCAAGGTGTTTGGTTTATTAATTTTTGCGTATGTTTATTATTTAACAATTTCTTAATTTTAACCATTTTTAGTATTTTTGGTTTATCCCAAGCTTTAATCATGCTTCCAGATATGTCAAAAGCTCANATGAGTCANACTGCCTTATTGAAAGTTATTAAGAGAGAACCGGCTATTCCATTCAAAGGTGGAAAACAATTGGGTGAACAAGTTGGTAAAATAGAATTCAGAAATGTCAAATTTAATTATCCATCTCGTCCAAATGTGACAGTTCTTAAGGATTTCTCACTTGATATCCGAGTTGGTCAATCGATTGCTTTGGTTGGTCCATCTGGTTCAGGAAAATCCACAATTGTTGGTTTATTGGAAAGATATTATGATCCACAAGAAGGTGAAATTTTCATTGACGGAGTTAACATTAAGGAAATTGATCCTCAATGGTTGCACAAATATGGTAAGTTTTAGACATTTGTCTTGTTCTATATTGTTTTCACATAGTTGGCATTGTAACTCAAGAACCTGTTCTATTTGCAATGAACATTAGAGAAAACCTAGCCTATGCCATTGGAATTGAAAATGTCACTCAAGATCAAATCGAACAAGCTGCCAAAGCTGCCAACTGCCACAACTTTATCCTCGAGCTCCCTAATGGCTACGACACCATGCTGGGTGAAAAGGGAGTCTCCCTTTCAGGTGGCCAAAAACAACGTATTGCCATTGCAAGAGCTCTCTTACAAAATCCAAAAATCCTCCTCTTAGATGAAGCAACCTCAGCACTCGACACTGAATCTGAAGCACTAGTTCAGGCAGCCCTTGAAACTCTCATGAAAGGAAGAACATCAGTTTCCATTGCTCATCGTTTGTCAACTGTTCAGAATTGTGATGTGATTTATGTGTTGGCAAAGGGAGAATTGAAGGAAGCTGGAACGCACAAGGAGTTGATTGGTTTGGAGAAGGGAATTTATAGAAAGTTGGCTGAGAAACAGATGGGATTTGGTAGTAGTAGTACTACACTGGCATCGTTGGATTCTAATCAGTCACTTGTTGATGAGGAATAGTTAAGGAATAGTTCAGATTTATTGTAAAATATTCGAAAGTAATTGTTGTAAATAAAGAAAATTAAATATTAGTGATGTGTTATGATTAGTGGTTTATCTCCTTAGAAAATTAGCTTATTTCAAAGTCAATAAAAAAATGTCAAATGTCGAAAGGAAGGAAGAACCAATGGAAGAGGAAATATCCTTGTTTGATGCCATCGGAAATGGAGACTTGAAAAAAGTTCAATCCATAAAGGATATCAAGTTGTTTCGTTCAACAACCAATAATGTTTGTTTCGAATATAATTTCAATTTCCAATGAAACTCATATCTAGCTCATGGTAAGGATTCGAATAACAATCTTGAAAATTTACATACAAAATAGTTTGTAAGTTGAAGACAAACACAATCAGAACTCAAATTCCAAATGAAAAAACAAGACTCCATTATATGAAGCTTGTCATTGCGGAAAAATTGAAATTGTAAAACATATTTTGAGTATTCCAAAAATAGATGTCAATAAGGGAGTAAGTGTTTGAATGGGAATGGGTGAATTTCATAACTGTTTGATTAGCATGTAGGTTGAGTTGAGTTTTTCTTTCTAAAGTTCAAAGTCTGTAAGTTACCTTTTTATTAGAAATGAGATTTTTGACATTTTGTCTATTTCAGCTTGGAGTAAGTTTTTATAGGAGTTGGGATTTCTATTAATATTACAGAATGTGAGTATTTTCTTAAATACATGTAATTTATCCTGAACTAATTAAGTTTGTAAGTGGAAACAATATTCGAAACCAATTAACCAATTACAAGTCACCTCTATTTGCTGCGTGTTCAACTGAACGCACTGAAATTGTCAAGCTATTACTCTCCACAAAAGGAGTTGAAGTCAATTATGGAGTAAGTAATTTATCCGTATCTCAATTTCCAACTCTTTCAGAATGTAAGTGAAATTCCAGTTTTTTGTAACTATTGTAATAGTATGTAAGTTTTTAAAAGAGGGAAATGATAAAAAAGTTGAAGAGTGCACTGTATGGAGCTTGTGAGACTGGTAATTTGGAAATTGTAAAAATGTTACTTGAAATTCCTGGAATTAGTTTGAATAAGGGAGTAAGTTTCTCTCAGATTTTTCGAAACTAAACTTTTCGAATAGAAAGTGAGTTTTTCAAACATTGAGTGTATAACAATAGTAACAGTCTGCTCTTTCGCGAGCTTGTATGTTTGGTCACCTGGAAATTGTTAAAATTCTCATGGAAATGCCTTCAATTGATGTCAATAAGGATGTAAGTAAATTTAACAAGTTCAGTAAGATGTGGAAATGAATAATTTAGGCTCCTTTATATGCAGCATGTAATTATGGACACATTGAAATTGTTCGATTACTAGTTAAAGATCCACGAGTTGATATCAACTATGGTGTAAGTTTACATTTTTCTCTGATTACAATTTTTGTAACAATTTCAAAGCCAAACGAAGTAAGTAGAAATTCATTGGAATTATTAAACAAATGAATATAAAGCATGTAAGTATTCGAATATATGTTAATATTTACCGAATTACCAAAGACACCAATTGGAGTTGCTTGTGGAAAGGGGTTTACCGAAATCGTTCGACTTTTACTGACCTTTCCAACCATTGATTTAGAAACAGATCTCATTAGAATAGCTCAAAAACGAGGAAGATCAGACATCATAGCACTCTTAAAGCAGTACCACAAGTAAAATCCAAACATTTTATTGTAAAATTTATTGATTAATAGTGAAAGTCTTTGGAGAGAATGGACTATTATTAAATTCCTTTCCAATAAAATTATAAGGAAATACAGATGTGAGTTGATCACCACTAACCTTATCCAAACGAGCAATTTGTTCTTCAGTCAACTTGAATTCCAAACTCTTCAAGTTATCTTCCAATTGTTCCAAAGTTGAAGGACCAATCAAAGTACTTGAAACAAATGGTTTGTTGAGTACCCAATTGATAGCAATTTGACTTGCAGTTCTACCTGTTTCTTTAGCAATTTCCAAGAGAACATCTTGAATGTCAAAATCCTTTTCAGTAAATTTGACAACTGGACGTCTTGATTTTTCTTGACCTCTTTGATGTTTTCCTGTCAATTTGCCACCACCCAATACAGACCATGGAACAATTCCAATATTCAATTTTTGAGCCATTGGAATAATGTCCAACTCCATTGAACGATCAGAAAGGGAATAGTTACCAGTATACGAAACAAATGGAGAAAGTGCATGAAATTCAGCATATGAATTGGCACGAGCTACTTCCCATGCAGGAGTATTACTAATGGCAATATGAAGGACTTTACCTTGTTTGACTAAATCATCCAAAGCTCTAATGACTTGATGAGAGTCAACTGTGTAATCCCAATAGTGAATGTACAACACGTCAACATAATCAGTTTGTAAACGGTCGAGCGAGGCATTGACAGATTGGACAAGATTCTTCTTGTGATTACCAACAGAGTTTGGTTTTTGATTGACACTAAAGGAATATTTGGTGGCAATGACAAGTTCATTTCTGTCAATGTTGTGTTTCTTGATGAGTTGACCAATGAGTTTTTCACTTTCACCATCTTGATACAAGTTGGCAGTATCGATGAAGTTACCACCAGCTTGAAGGTATCTTAAAAAGATTTTCTCATTTTCTTCGTCTGTGGATCCAACACCCTATTCGAATAAACTTTCTAATAAAACAAATTCAATGAAATATTAACATACCATTGAAGTGGAGAAGACAGCATTGTGGCCAAAGTGACCAGTACCCAAAGCAATTGGAGAAACTCTCAATCCGCTTGATCCCAACAACTTGTAGCTTGGAATAGTTTTGAGTTGACTTGTAGTTTGATTATCAGACATTTTATTTTTGTTGGAAACTCATATTGACCTCTACTCTCACTATTTAAAGAGTAGATTGGATTTCATACTCATGATGAAGGCGGACAGATTACTTTGTGCTTCCTTAGATTTTGTAAACTTTCGTGAGGAATAATTTTGGTTGACTTCAACCAAGCGCTCGAAGAGTGATCTTTCAATTTTAATGGAAACCACTCGACGATGTTTGAATTCAAGAAAATGTTGGATGATAATTTCAAATACGAAATTCCAACAAGCACAAACTTTCAATGTTGAAGATTATTTTTGGATTTCGAATAATTTGTGCATCCTTTGTAAATTAACCTTCAAACAGCATGATGATAAGGTTTGTAAAATGAAAATATTAAATATTTGGAGAATTTTGATCAATGTTGAACATGAAGCTAATTTATTATATTATTAAGAAATTAAATTATTAATATTGTAAATTAATAAATAAAATTATTAAATATTAAAAAATTTTATTTCAGTGTAGCTGATCCCAATAGGATCATGAGGTATTATCTTGAATTAAGAGAACATGAGTAATATTTTCTGTGTGCTTTACCAACAAGTAGTGATAATAGACTTTGAATTTCATGCCAATTATCAATGATTTTAGGATTATAGGATTTAACTAAAATAATATTTAAAGCCTTAATAAAGCCTCTATGATTTAAATTGAGAATTGAATTGTGTCTATCCCAAAAAGTGTCATGGGGACGAAGCTTACAGGATGCTCCTGTAAGATTCGTGAATTTAGTTAAGAAATATCTTCTAAAACATTCGGTTTCTTCACAGTAGTATATGAAATGTTCCAAATCCACTTCACATTCACAGTTATCACAATAAACTTGACGGAATTGTCTAATATGTGAGTCGGTCATGTTTCTCCAAATTGACAATTTGGTTTCAGTGTCAAATCTTTGATCCATATATTTCAAATTGATATTAGTGAGGGACTGACTTTGGTTAAAAGGTAAGTCAGATTTATCCTCAACAATATCTAAATATTCTTTTCTCTGGATATCTTTGATGTATTTTCTATAGTCAAAGATGATTGTTTTCTTATTAGTATTAATTAAAATCTTTTGGTTTTGGGATAATAGTTTGGTAATATCAATCATATTTTGTCCTTGTGCACCTTCTTTTGCTAATTTATCAACTATAATATTCTCTGGATCTTCATGCCCTTTCACTTTAACTAGATGGATATTTAAATGTTTATCCTTAATGGTACCAAAGAATTCTTCTTGAAATCCTTGAAAGTCTCCTCTGTAACTCTTTTTTAAAACTTCAATAGCAACTTGACTATCAGTATGTACATTAGCATTGGAATGATTTGGCAGCATTTTGATTGCTGTTAATATAGCCATGATTTATTAAATATTAAAAAATGTCTCGATTACAGGAAGCATCTTTACATAAAACGCTCGGATCACAGATTATGCAACTCTTGGAAGGAAAAACTACAAATTCATCTTCCTATTCCTTTCAAACTCATCAAGTTAATTATGTATATGGATTGGATAAGATTAAATCAATGGTTCCGAACGTAATTATAAACAAAAAGTATGACAATCAACAACAGATGAATGGAATGAGCAAATTACAAATTGAAAAGGAAGAAGTTTTTGCCAAGCCGGAAGTGATGAACATTCTCGATGATATTTTCAATGTAAAACTTCAAGGAAAATACAATAACAATATAACAGAATATGTTGCCCAGGAGGAGAAACATTCGTTGGGAGAAAAGAAACAAGTTGATGTGGAAGTAAAGCTTTTCGATGATGAGGATGATGAGGAACTAGTTGATAAACCTGCAATTTATGATGAAAATCAAAAGGAAGTGAAAATTAAATTATTTGATGATATTGATGACGACGATGATGTTCCATTCAAGGATCAATTAAAGGAGAGACAAGTGCAAAAGGAAAAGTCAGGACACAAGAGAAAGAGAAAGGAAAAGAAATTTTCCTTCTTGGAAGATTCTGATGATGAGGATGAGGAACATGATAAATCCATTGCATTGAATGATGAGGATGAGGAAAGTGATGAGGATGAAGATTTACTCAAGAATAAGGCTGCAGAGACTCACAACTTTATCAGCTCTACAAAGGTCAAGAAATCTGAAAAACCAAACAAGGTAGCCAAGAGACATAAGGAACAAAATGAGTGGAAACAAATTCAAACATTAATGAAGGAAAAGGATGAAAAAAAGAAAGATTCTTCTAAGGATTCAACAGATTTATAACAAATTATGAGAGAAGGCTTTGACAAAGAAGTAGGTCAGCAATCCAATAGTACCACTTGTTGCATAATAGATGTAAATGGTGTAAAAGACAACACAACTATAGTCAGTAATGACATAGAGAGCCAGTAACACAGTTGAGATAAATGGAACAATCAAATTCTTCAATGAGTAAAGAATTGTAAACTTGACCAAATTAATCATCTTTTGAGGTTGCTTGTACTTGTTATAATGAAGTGCTCTGTAAATAAAGTATGACTTGAGGTAAATCCTAAAGTAAATGAAATGCATCAAAATATTGAGAGCACAAAATAATGAAACCTTAATGTGTTCCGTATGATCCAAGAAGAAGACCAATAATGGTAAAACTAGTAATTGGAAATGACTGAGATATCTAGAGGCCAAAGAATAGAGATTGAAAATCTTCTTGTCCTTGAATGACTTTCCTCCAATTACAAAATGATGATACTCTTTGAAAGAGGTAAAGTAAATATGGCACTTGCTTATATAATCAAATTCAACTACAAGATTCAGGAAATATGAAACAATTAAATTAATAAAGAGGAATAAAAATAAACTAAAGTTGGTGGAATTTTCAAATAAAAAGTTCCACACATTCAATAACCAACCATTAGCCATTCCTCTCGTAGAATGATCATCATAAACAAAAAAGTAATGTTTGATATGATTCTTAATATAATAAATAGCACGATGTTCAATTTCATTTCCACAAGATGCATTAAAGTAATCCATACAAATAAAGGATAAAAGGAATGAAACTACAAATGTTAAATAATACAGAATATTTCTCCTCTTCTGATACATGTTTGTATAAATTCTAAAAAGTAAAATTAAAAATATAATCACAACTAAATAATTGTAAACATTCTTCAATGAGAAAATCATAATCATAAATGTAAAGAATAAATAATCTAGATCGTTATAAAAGTACAAAGTCTTAATAACAGCTTCGTTCATGGTCGAAATTTTAATAACCTTTGATGTTTGTTGTCCCATCTCCGGTAAAATCATTCTCAATCGGTAAAGTAAATGATTTTCAACAGTAAGGTATCCACTAGTTTTTGTTTGGATCAAAAGTATCAAGACAATATTAAATATAATTCCAAAAATTGAATTAAAACAATAATCATAAAGTGTATAGAATAAAAATTCAACGACCGAAGCAATACCACTCTGATTGTTGGCAGTAGTACTATTATTCATGATCATTGTTATATTGGTCAGTGCTGATGAAGACACATCCGATCCAAGATGATTCACTGTCGCTGCTTGTTGTGCCATTTTTTATGATTTGCTTTTTGGTCCGAAGATGAATCATCATGTACCTGAGGAGAAATTGTTTTTTGTTCGTTCGGTACGAAAACTCTATGAAATTTGATAATTGTTCAAAGATTATATGGAATAAGATAAGATTATATTGTGTGGTTATTAAACTATTGGTTGTTTATGGGTGAAATATTGAGGAGATCTCTGTTATTGATGGAATTGCAAGTTCTATCTTGACTCTTGTTGAAAATTGAGTGTTGTTTGATTGGGGTTGGCTTGGAAATGATTGGTTTGCTTGTGGCAGAGATTAGACATTGGTCAGGAAGTCGAATTACAATTTCTTCCTGTTCTGAGCTATCATGGGATTGACTTGTATTTATAGAGTATCCAGATCGAGAGGACATTGAGCTTTTAGCTCTTAATGTGGATAAAGGTGTGGCACTTCTTGAAAAATCCATTCTACTGCTCGAGGAGTGATACAAGTTCATCGATTGCTCAGCAACAAAACTATTGATTGGTTTGTTAGGATTATTCACAATGATTTTCTGACGAGGAGGAAAGACATTCCACTTCTTTTTAGCAGAGAGTACTGCTGTTCTATCCACATTCATGGAAGTGTTTGGTCTTGGTGGTGCATTTTCTTGGTAAATTAGCGAGTGATTGGAAAGGTAATTGTTAGAGGGAACTGAATGGTAGCTTAGGGTTGAGTGAGGTCGTGAGAGGTTTACAGATACATTAGGAGAAACACTTCTTTGTGAGTGTTGTGACATTTGGGAAAGATTAGTGCCATCTCTAGAGAATAACACATAGTTAGGGGTACTGATTCGAGAGGGTAGTTCTGGCATTTCTGATTTTTGAGTGTTAGATTTTTGAGTTTTGGAAAGTATCGAGTTGTTAGTGTTATTTGTTTCGTCCAGTCCTGTAATGAAGAAGGTTTCACGTTCTGCTGGTGCTTCTTCCACTTCTTCTGGTATCACTGAGTTTGATCTATCAACAGGTTGAATGATATAATCTGCATTGAGATCGTCAATAAAACCCATTGGAATATTATCAGTAATTTTGTTCCATTGAGGAATTGTTCCATTATTTCGTTCCTTTTCCGTTTTTACAAATTTTTCAGAAGCTAACAAAAAATCAGACTTGTTGTAATAGCTAATGTCATTATTTGAAAATAGCTCTATTGGATTTCCTTCCTTTTGATTGGATATTGAATAATTCAAACTCCTATCCCTTGATTTCTTACTATCCAAAAAGCTTAATCTTTCCAAAAACGAAGTCTTTGTAGGTTCTGGATTGTAAATAAATGATTTGTGTTTTTCATTGAATTCAAATTCATCTGGAAACTCTACACTTTGCTTATTGGGAACGACAAGAGCACATAATCTGTCCTCTTTTTTCCTTACAGCTTTATCCATGGTGGGTGGGACATATTTTGGTTTCTTTTTCGTTTTAGTGGTAGGTTTCATGTGTTGTTTGTATTCTCTAATGATTGTAATCTTTGGTTCAGAGGATGAAACTGCCTCATTATTCATACTACTATTATTTACAGTCAAGTTGGGAATACCTTGATGTTGGGAGTTTGATGTATGTTCGGGTAGAGTTGTTTGAGGTTGTACAACTTGTTGATTATTAGAAGAAGCATGCTTATTTACAAGATTTAGTAAACTAATTGCACTCGAGTCAATTAGCTGAGGATTTTGTTGAAGGAAATTAATAAGTGATTCGTCCAAGTGTTCCTTCAATATGCTCGATAAATTAGAATCAAGAGTTAGAGGAATATTGTTACCATTGGTATTAATACTAGCACTATTATTCATCACCGTCTGATGATGTTGATTTGTTGTTGTCGTCGATGTATTAAAAGAGGAAGCATTGATTGGATGAGGAATTGGTGAAGCAATATTCCGAATATTATGATTGGCTAACCTTGGTGTCTGACTGTTGCTCCTTCCACTATGTTGTCTGACAAAATGGCTCTTCTCTCCTGTTATGCAAATATCAATTGATGAGTCCTCTCTCGACAATAACGAAGTAGAACTACCTTGATGATGATATAAACCTCCTGATGATGAGCCATGATGATTGGATGGCTGTTGTCCTAATCGAATGGGAGGATAGTGGAGAGGCATTGTCCACTTGAAGATTGACTCGGAAATGTTTTTATAAACTTCCAATAATAATCTTGTTATTGCCTAGCTTTTGGCTGTGCTGAAGATGAAGTGAATGTTGGTGCTGTAAATTTTTTAATTAATTTTAAAAATGTTGGTTTGTAACGGTTAGTTGAAGTCGGAAAACTACAAGACAAAATTTGCTTAAAATCTATGGATGAATTAAAATTGTTTAAATTCATCAAAGGAATGATTATTCAATAAATATATTATTAAGGTGCATACAATATTGTTGTATTTGTAAAGGAAGTGTAAGTATTGAGCAAGAGCTCTAACGTTCATTTAAAAATCTTAGCATTCAAAATTGGCGCCAAAATAGACGTACATCAAAGCTGTTAAACACACTTAAAAAAAACCTAAGAAACCTCCAAACAGTTTTTGTTTGCCTCCCTAAAAGAGAACATCCCGTTAGAAATAATCTCATCACCATTATTATTAAATTAATTTATATTTATTATGAACACTAGTAGTCTTAATACAAACAATGCCGAAGAACAATTTGAATTGGGCATTGCTATTTTAAACAAAGCATGGAAAACAAAGGAATTACAAATGTTGGATGAAATTGAAGGATTGAAAAAAATTGGACAAAAAAAGCAAGAGGAAATTCATCAAATTAATCAACAACACAGCAAATTACAATTTGAATATCAAAGTCTCAATACTGCCATGAAAACTATACAAGAAATGAACCAAGATCTCCAAAGTGAAAGAGATAGACTGTCAGCTCAAGTAAAGGCCCTCAACGGGGAACTTTCAAAGTTGAAAGCATTCAAGAAACAAATTATTCAATCAATCAATTTGGAAGAACTTGAAGATCCTTCTTCGAATGGAAACAACACAAGTCAATTCATTCCTCCAACTCAAACAAATAACAGCATGATGTCAGAGAATAGAAGTTTCAATTCTTCAAATATCAATAATCAATCAATAATGCAACAACAAACTCAATCACAACAAGCTCAAGCTTTGGAAGGCAAGGAATTCTTTAAGCAAGCTAAAGAAGTTTTGACAAATAGACAATTTGCTGATTTCTTACAACAAATCAAACTGCTTAACAATCAACAACAATCAGCCCAACAAACTCTAGATAATGTTAACATAATATTCAAAGGTGAACATCCAAACTTGATAGAAGGATTTAAGCGTATTTTAACACAAAGACAACAATCAGCAGCTATGAATAATTCTGAAACTAGTTTCATGTAAAGTAAATTAATCTTCCTTTTCTCCTTTGTAATTGACGTCATGTGTATGGAAAGAAAATAGATCAATGTTTTCAATGCAGTTTCGCTTAGTATTGTATCTTTTAATTTTTTAAATGTTCTTCTTTTACGTGTTAGTTCTCTGTTCGTTTTAGTTTTTGGTGTTCCCAAAAGGTTACCACAGCTGAATGAACTTTTCTTCCACTTAAAAAAATTATCAGAGACAGATGCTTGGTATCTTTTAAATCAGCACCCATCATTAGCTGATTATTTTTATTACTGTTTACAACATCATCATCATCATATCGGAATGGAGTTGTTAGTGGTAACTCTACTGAGAATAGCCCTCAAATTGGGGTTAATAGTAATTGATTTTGTATCATGCCTCTTTTATTCACCAGCATTATTATTACTCACATTGGCATTGGATATTTCACATAATTATGGAAGTAGAAAGCGTTTATACTCAGACTTTAATAATGGTGTATTGTTGATCTATTATTTAATGTTTCCAGTCATGTATCCGATCGTTACACTTGCAGTACCATCCATTGTTTTGTATCCAATATTTGCATTCTATGAAACTTATGCTCTTTACATTTCGGAAAATTCTACAGGTTTTTGGAGTATGATGATTTCATTGACAGTCACCTTCTTGTCCATGTTGGCCATGTCAATTAGAGCTTTCATTGTGTGGGATGACAAGATTGGAAGAAGCTATCGTAATAGTAATGTAGATATCTTCTCTGATTGGGGTGAATTCCAAATACGTTTGCCTAAACATTTATTTTCTATTGTAATGTTGGTAAATCCTGTCAGATTCATATACTTTTTAAAACAAGGATACAAATCTCAAACATTATCTGCATTTACTGATTTAATGGCTGATTATACTGTTAAAGCAGTGTTAGATTATTTATGCTTGCCATTTTGTGTATGTATTATTGTTTGACTTTTAAATATTTTAACTTGAATTATCAGTTATTGATTGCAGTTACCATGTGGAGAATTCCTCATGTTTGGAGCCAAAAATGGACACACGAACTATTTTTCAGAAATGGATGCTATATTCTTATGGAAATACCAGCATATGCTTTGAGTATTCTATTTAATATTATTGGATTTTATAGAATTAAGGGATTTATCAAAGGATTCAAAGAACAACCAGCTGAAGGGTTTGACAGAGCTATTTACTGTTTCTCACATTGTGTAGAAGTACTTATTGACATGCCATTTATTGCTCTAGGTCTTTGTCTTTCAATCACCATTTATAGATTTATTCCAATAATTCAACAATATAGAGATGAAAAGAGAACTAAATCTATGAGAGTAATCACATTCGAACAATTTATTTGTCTGGTCCTTGATTTGCCTTCATTATTGGCATTCATTACATTATTTGTAACCAGATACAGATGGGAAATTACTAGATCCGAACAAAAGAAGCTCTTTGAGAAGGGTAATTTCTTATACTTCCATTCAACTAGCTTGTACATGTTCTCTCAAATGGTATTGGATTTTATGCATATAGTTTTATGTGTTCCAATATTTGTTACCTTTTGGAGAGCTTCCCATCTTTACTCTTCCATATTTATTGATGTCTTTTATGATGAGAAATTCTTTTCAAATAGTGATAGCGATGAACTTGATAAGGTAGAGGTTGTTGGAAATGAAATTTTTATTCAGAGAAGAGAACTTATTAGGGATATTTTCAAAAATTGGATTATTGATATTGCTTTTATTTGTTTAGGAATTATGTCATTGTGGAGAATTCCAAGAATTATTCTACACTATCTTACCATCATTACCAATGAAGAAAAGGCGGGAAGTATGAGAAACAAGGCCATGGAAGAATTTGTACAAAGTATTCTTGATGTGGTAGCAATAACTGCAATGGTAGTCCTTGTCGTTCCAACTCTTTACAGAGTAGGTACAACTATTAAGAGAATAAGAACAGAAGACACTCTCTATCAATTTATTATTATTTCTGAAGCTTTTGCAGTCTTGAAAGATTTACCTTTTATTTTGTTGGGTTTGCTGTCAATGTGGCGTTTACCAGTAATTATTCTCAAGATTTGGGTATTCCATAAAGAAGAATATGAAACTGCAGAAAAGAGAAGAAAATTAGCTCTTCAACAATTTTTGGATGCCATGATAGATATCCCATTTACTATTTCTCTAGTTTTAATGATACTCTCCATCATGCACATCTTTACTATCTTCCTCTTATTTAGAAAATACAAAAAGGCAAAGAAGGAAGAAAAAGAGTTGGGTAAGCAGAGAGAATTATTCACCTTCTTTAGAGGAAAGGTGTTAAAGCAACTTTATTTGCTTCCTCTCCAAATCCCATTAATTATCTGCACTTATTTGGTAACATTCACAGTCTACCGTATTCCAATTACTGTCACAACTATGAAGTCTCTTGTTGGGCAGAAGGAACCAAAGAAATTGGCCGCCAAGGTAATTGTTTCTCAAGCTTTATCAATTCCTTTGGATTTGATTTGTACTGTATTTTCTGCAATTATTGTTCTCACAGTTTATAGAATCAAGGATTTAGTTGCTGTTCTCAAGACACATCCTGTTTTCAAATCTACATTTGCTATCAGAGAAGCATTGGAAGTCCACAAACAAATAGCTCTCGTTTTTTGGAATCTAGTTAAAGACATTCCTATAATTATTTTATTCCTTCTTTCATCCCTCACTGTTTGGAGAATCAAACATATATTAAGAGCCTTAGCAAACGAAACAGACTATAAGAAACGATTAATCCTATTGGGAACTAACGCTTTCCTAACGGTCCTAGATATTCCTTGCATTTTATGTTCAGCCTTGCTATTGGTATCCTGGAGATCGAAGCGAGTTGTAAATATCATTACTGCTGCTTATGTTTCAGGAAAGCTATCAGAAGCTCACTATTCCATTCTTTTGGAATTTTACGAACTCATTCTCGACATAATTCACATAGCTCTTATTCCACTTCTTTTATGGAGAATTCCAAATGCACTGAAATCAGCATGGATCGAAGAAACAGCTAAGGGAAGAAGAGGAATTATTAGATACCATCTTAGTCAAATTATACTTGATGTACCATACATGCTACTCACATTGGTAGTTGTGTTGTCTGTTTACAGAAATGTTGAGCTTTATCACTTCCTTTCAAAGAAGAAATCTAAGAGAGGATATAGAGAATTTATTAGAGATCAGGCATTGCAATTAATCATTGATATTCCACTTGTTATAATTTCTCTATGTACTTGTATTGTTATTCCATATAGAGTTTACTTTATGTTCAAATATCTTTTCCTCTATGAACAGTGGAAGAACAGAGATGAAGAAAGAAGAAGAGAACTTAGAGTTTTAATTGCCAAGACACTTGTTGATTTGCTGACTCTTGTATTTGGTATTGCTCTATTGGTAATGTTCTGGAGAATACCATTCGTTGTGTACAGATACTTGATGCTAAAGGAAGGTGTTAGAAGAACATTGTGGATTGAATTCAAGAGTGCTATTTTGGATATCATTTGCCTTGCAGCTTTATTTATTAATCTTACATTTGTTTATCAATTCCCTTACACTGTCAAGAGATTGTATTTCTTCACAGTTGCATGTATTAAGCATTTAATGGCGTTCATGAAAACAAAACCATTCTCAACCACCAAATCAAAAACCAAAAACACAAGTGAGGATAATGGTGAGATATTACCAAGTGATATGTTCTTTGAAATTTTGACTTACCTCACCCCTGAAGAAAATGCAGCAAGCTTTGATCGTGTCTGTAAACATTGGCACGAATTGTCAAGACAGGATTCCTTCCTTTGGCAATTGTATCTCGATATTGATAAGAAGGCAAATTTGATTGACAAAAAGTTCCAAGCCAAGTATAACAATACCAATAATTATAACTCTTACCACTATTACAATAATATCAACTTGAATGAAGCTTACTACAGTGCTATTGGATCATATAAGAATGAAGATTTCACATCTGTTTTCAAGAAGGCCTTCTCTGCTTCAGATTCTGAGAATAGAAATGAGTATATCAAGAGATATCTAGAAAAAAAGAGTCGTTACTCATACAAGCAGTACACTTTTGAGGATGCTGTCAATGATGACTACAAAGCTGGTTTCCATCATATTGTCAAGGCTGAAACACAACATGTCATAGAACACATCTACAAGCTTTTCTTCATTAGATACAAGCTCTTGGGATTGGTTCTTTATCCGTTCTATTATCTCATTAGCCTCTTCTCACACGTTGAAGGAATAGAAAGTGATATGACATGGGATAGAATTGAGTTCTTGGTACTGTTAATTCCAATCAACCTATTCATGTTGTTGGTTTCCCTAACTGAAAAACTCTTCAACCTAATGGATGTTTTCCCATTCTTAGGGTATAGATGGTGGGGTGATAGGGACTTCCAACTGTGGAACTATAGAAGTTTTTATGGAAAGAAGTACGCAACAAGTGTATTCCTTGGTATTGCTTCTGTTCTTAGCTCTGTGGGAATAATTCTCTATGGATTTTCAGTTGCATTCAGTCCTTTCTATTTTGATATAAGAGTACTTGTTTGTAAAACTGTAATGAGCATTGGTAGTATTGGTGGGTGGTCTTCATCACTTGTTAGTAACCTTTACAACATCTCTCCAATTCTTTACTATGTATTTATTTTACATGTTTATACCTTCTACATTCAAGATTTTGTGTTAGGTTGGGTGTTTTGGTTATTGTCTTTTGTATTGATAGCAGAGTCAGGAATATTCTATTGGATCAATATCTTGTTATTTATTATTGCTTGGGGATACTGTGTATTCTGGTATGGTTTTGTTTCACTGGAAAGTATACATGCATACAGATCCTATTTCAATGCTTCAGTAGGAATGAGTATTTTAACAGATATTTACGTTGGGTTACTCAAGTCTTGTGGAAGATTTTGTAAAAATTTGGGAATTTTAGGACAATTAATACTAATGCCAATTACTATTATATGGATTGGTTGGCCACTTGTGATTGCCTATTATCACATGTATATTTATACAGTCATTCCAGCATTGGTAGGTTCTGGTTTTCTTGCAGTTATAGGCTTTGATGCACTAAAGCATTTGAATCAATAAATTAAAACAATAATATCTTAATTGTAGTGTAAGGAAAGATGATTATTCCTTAATACGCTTAATAACGAGCATTAGTAGTGTAACGGTATCATACCAGCCTTCCAAGCTGGTGACCCGGGTTCGACTCCCGGCTAATGCAAATAATTTTGCTTATATTTGTAGAGATTGTACTTTCGTGCGTTGATTTCTGAGTCATCTTGATTCTGAAGAATATATTTTGACTCTGGATAGTGGAGCAACACCATTTGCTAATTGAAGAGGTCAATAGTTAAACAGTATCTAAAATAAACAGTAAAATGCAAAATTAATTCTGTTTACTGGCTTCTAATCAGACCATTTTTTTCACACAGCTTACTGCCACGTCAGGAAAACTTTGTGAGAGTTCATACCCTCATTCCAACAGACCATTATTCACACCTCTTCATAAGGAAATTTCCTCAACTTGAAATTGTCTCAATATACAGCGCCCTTATCACATCTTCAAGGTTGCTGTTGTTGGCATTGAATTCATCTTTTTCCTCGCGCCACAAAAAGTGAAAGTGGCCATCTCGCTCGTTAAAGCTCCAAAAAAACAAAATGAACAGCTCCACTTTACAGGCCACGTTCACAACTTCTGCTTCTGAGACACAGAGGGAAGATAGTCTAATGATGATTGAATCGGTTTTAGAGAATTGCAAACTTCCGCCATCTCTTGTGGAGGATAGATGGATGATTAATAAACCACTGAAGAATTTACAGGATAAGACATTATTATATTGGGCCTGTGAACAGGAACAGGAAGTACTCGTTGATAATTTACTCAAGATTCCTCATTTAAATACAAATATTGGAGTAAGTAGTATTGAGAAGAATTTTGTCAACTCATTCTGAAATAGTTTGTAAGTTATTTAGATAACGAAAATGTTGTAAAAGCTTGAATATCATCTAGATGGTAAGTGAATTAATTCTAATCATAATTATTAATCAGTTATTGTGATGATCATGATGAAACACTTGTGTCACTTATGTGCTTGTAGGAAGTAAGTGATTCAGAAGTTAAAATTTCATTGACACGTTCATAGGAAGTAAGTAAACACTTTGGATATCAAATTTCCAAACGCATTTGAAAAGACACCTCTATGTGTCTCTTGTCAAAGAGGAAATGAAGAATTGGTTAGAATGTTGTTAGATTGTAATCGCACAGACGTTAATCAAGGGGTAAGTATTAAGAGAGATTCCAATCCATTATTTTCACACATTGTTCCAGTTTGTAAGTAGGCACCATAACTAATGTAGTTTATCCTAAATGGAATAGTTCGATGTAAGTGTAGATTATTTTAACCAGCTAGGAACGAATGGATAATCAATCATTATTTTAATAGTGGGTAAGTAGTAATTCAGGTTGGAGCAACAATTAATTCACACTCTTGCCAGCATGTAAGTATTGGATACAGTTTAAAGATTCTTACACAACACATAGGAAGTAAGTACCAATATTGAAATATTGTGTGTTAACTGACTTGCCTCAGACAGTAAGTATTCCAGCAATGAAGTTTGATGGTTAAAAGGTTTTGGGAATTTAGATGAATATGGTATGTTGCTCCTTTGGAATCTCTAAACTAAAGTTCTTATCATTTTTCAGCTTGTAAGTTTCGCATCACCAACAGTCTAGACTTTACTTTTTTAGATAGTAAGTGCATTTGTAATATTTGGTTCTTTTTACACATTTCCACAACTTCACAGTATGTAAGTATCTCAGCAACACTGACGCACAGCTCACTACAACACAGAAAGTAAGTTGCCACACAATTTAACATCGCTATTAACCGTCTTCATCATCAACTGCATCTCTTCTCCAAACAACCACAACCATAACAACCACAATAATAACAGACACCTCTTTTAATTGCTTGCACTCTTGAGCATTGGAACATTATCAAATTGCTGCTCCATGCCAAAGCTTCTGTCGACTCTATTATATTGAATATTTGCAAAAAGAAGAATATAGATTTGGAGGAATTGAGAAAGCAGGCATTGGTGGATCATATGAATAGAGATTTTGCTTCGGATGCAGTAAATTATTGGCACTTTGAAGATAATATTTCTGTACGGAAACTTGAAATGGATAGATTTGATAGATTGATTGCCTTTAGACCACTTCTTGCACGAATGACTCCTAATTTCTATAAGAATGTTATTTCGAATAATAATTTCATTAGCTCTTTGAACGAGAAGGAATGCTCTATAGTTCAGAGAATTTTGGATCAAATTCTCTATCAAAAACATTCCACATTATCGAATATGGATACAGACGAAAGTCTTTGCATTCTCTTTTTACTTGGTCAAGCTCATGGAGATTTAATTTACATGAAATCAATGATTATTCAATCAGTGATTACAAAAATTGGATTCGATAATGTTTTGGATATTCTGGAATCTATTGAAAGCTATCTCACAAGAGATGCTTCATTCTTTTCATCAACATCAGCAGCTTCTCCTTTGATGAAAATTAAGGACTATTGTTTGGATTTCATGGGAAGTCAGGCATCAGAACCTGGATACGAATTCTTTATTGAAACTGATGAAAGAGTTGACAAGTATTTGAGATTAATCATCAAGAGAAAAACTATCAAACCAGTAACTTGGGAAGAAAAGCCAAACAATATTTCCAAATCACCACTAATGGACCTATTCAATGACCACTCAACCAGTGATATTTGTTTCCTAGTAGGAAATCAGAAAATTCATTGCCACAAAACAGTTCTCATCTCGAGAAGTGTCTACTTTGAAACTCTATTCGAAGGAAATTGGTCCATTGAACTGGAAGAATATGGTCCAGAGATGAAATATCTCATTCAATATTGTTATGGATTCATGAACTATGTTCCCTCAATTCATCAAATTCCACTCATCAAGAAAGCTCACCAACACGAAATGAAAGATTTAATACCCATTGTATCGAAACAAATCATCGTTGGAAAGGACAACTTTGAAATGTTATGGAGTGAATTAGAGCACTACTCTGATGACAGCACATTTTCCGAAATAATTGAAAGAGTTATCAAATATGGATTTGATCATGGATTATTCGGAAGGGAGGAGCAATCTTTTAATCAATGGTGTAAGCAATAAAACAATTTCACAGTAGAATTGTTAAAAATTGGAATGAGTCAGATATGTCATTTACCTAAAATTGTTGTTGTTAAAATTTAACCGTTACATTTTAACAAATTTAATTTTTAATCTTTTTTTAAAAAATGCAAAAGGAAAACCAGCAAGGAAACTTCTGCATCATCACCTGAAGTTGGGTTTAGTATTGGCGATCAGAGAATGTTGGTAGCAACCACACCAAATTCTCCTCTATTAGATGAAGATTTATCATCAGGAAATTCAGATGTTGAAAGTTTTTGCTTTGATCAACAAGAGGACATGATCATCAACACAATTCAATTAAAAGAGGTTTCGAGTAATGCTGCTACTGGAGCTGCTGCCTCATCAGTAATAGAGAGTATCAAAGGACATGAAGTAATCGATATTACCGAAGATGATGATTCACAGAATGATCAAGAAGTAACTAATCTTGAAAATGTGATGGAAATTAATTCATCGGATGAAGATGAGGAGATCATGCACAATGATAAAGCTGATAGTGAAGACGATTCCGATGATGAAATTTATTTCCTCACCTCTGATGAAGAAGAGGACTATCATCCATCAAAAACCACAAAACGAATGGACAAGATATTGTCAGAACTGGTACCTGATGTTTTAGAGGGAAACTTTTCTGTGGGAGGAGAGTTTGACATCTATCCAGCTATTGGTTTGCAATTACTAGTGTCAAATGACACGAATGTTGTGGTGGAGAGAAGGAATATTTCACTTCCATTTGCTTCGAAGGAACAAGCCAATGACATTATTCAACTCACCACAATGAATGAAGAAACTAAACCATGGCAATTGGAATTAAATCAATTTGAAATTACCAATCCTAATTGGAATGATATGATTAATAATTTATTACAAAAGGAAATCAAACAAGGATTAGGAGTTGGAGCAGGTAAGGAAGTAATAGTCAAGCTCAGCAAATTATTGTTATTCGAAGGAGAAAGACAATACGATTTTCATTCAGATCACAAAAAGGAGGACAAGATGTTTGCCACTCTAGTTGTCTATCTTCCTTCTGTCTATACAGGTGGAGAGATGAGTGTGAAATACAAATCAAATGAAAATTTCTATCCAAACTCATCAAAATCTCACTATTCCACATCCTACGTTGCTTTCTATCATGAGAGTGATTTTAAGGTAAATGTTTTGACAAGTGGATTAAGATTGGCTTTGGTGTATAATGTTATTTTCAATGGGCCATATTATCTAATGCCAGCTGCCAATGCTGCAGAAATGACACTGAACTACCTGAGCAAAACACTTAATGAGTGGGAATCAGAAACTCCCTACATTATTTATATTTTGAATGAACAATATTCGAGACATGAATTGAGTGATGGTAGTAATTTGAAAGAAAACGATGCTGTTATCTATGACTGGTTACGTAATTACAACTCTATACATAATAATTTCTACCTATGCTTGGGTAATATGCACAAATCTAAATCAGGTGATGTTACAAGTATGAGTGTGCAGGAGTGGAAACGTCATAAACGTCTTCAAAATGAAGGAGGAAGAAATTATGAAAATAGTGATCTCGACGATGTTGACAGTGAGGATTTGGAAAACTCGTATTCTACTTATACCATTGAATATTTGAAGAATGGAAATGAAATATTTTCTAAGGAGATCAAAGTTTCAGATATTTCAATAATAATTCCGTTTGATCGTATTAACGATTTTGAGAATGATGGTTTTCATGTTTATCATGATGATAGGTTCCTGGTTAAAGCTAATTTTAGGTATGTGTAGATGATTGAAATTTCTAACAAACTTTCAAGATATCATTCTCGTTCTTGCTTAGCAATTATTCCAAAGAAGAATTATGTTAATGCTTTGCGTTTTTTGGACAGTAATTGCAAGCATAAATATTTTGACATGTTGGTAGATGATCAACTTGAAAATCCAAACAAGGCGAATGTAGATAAAATATTGGAAATGATGAAGACTAATTGGTTGCAAGAAAGTGCCCTTCTAAATGCTGTACTTAAATTGAAGAATGATGAAATAGCTACTGAATTTTCAAACAAACATTTATGCTTAAAATCATGGCAAGACCTAATAAGCACCTTTGGATTTATGAATAGTTTCAAACAACCATTCTTCAAATTTATAACATCTAATCTCAGTAGCAAAATGATATTTGATTTTGCTTTTGAGACTATTTTACTACAGGAAAACTCAACTCTTACATCAGACCTGTGTGACTATGTATTTGAATATTTATCAACCACAGGATATCTTTCGCCCTATGCTGTAGAAAGAATATTGAATTGCATGCAATTATGTGCTGTCCCTCTAATGGAGAGTACTTCTGTCTATATGATTAAGCGTTGTATGGTCGTAGATCAAACTGAACTATCATTAATATTGAAATACTTGGAGAATTATCATTCATATATGGTTTCAGCATTGAATCTATTATTGGGAAATAAGGAAAAATTTTTAAGGTACTATACTGTTATTATTTACTATCTAAAATATTTCTTTTGTGAGGAAGTTAAAAACTTTTTGGAAGGTATTATAACAGAAATGGATTTGAATACTTCCCTTAAATTTGTCATTCACTTGAATGGACTTGGTGATCATGAAGTTGCCAATGTCATGCTATTGAAACTTAGAGAAAGGATAATTAATCAGTTCATAACGGATGATATTAGTGTGGAAAATTGCAAGGCCATTATTTCAGCTATCTGCTATTGCAATTTTCCAAATGAATTATCAGAAGTTACGTCAGCAATCACTTCAAAAATTAAAGATTTTGTTGGAGTTGCCAAAATACTTATTCCTCTCATCAAATATATTGAGATTACGTATGGTAAGAGTGCATTCATTGATGTTAAAGCATTTGCTCAACTTGTCACCTGTAGTATTGAGCTTATTAAATCAATTCTCAATATTCAAGAAAAAGCTGACGTAAGGGACTGGTCACTTCCAACCTTTGTATGTGAAACTAATTGTTCAAATTGCAGAGATATTAATAATTTCCTCCAGAACAGCAATCCAGCATCAAAGAAATATGAACTACACAGAACTATGCCACTATTACGATCTCACATTGAAACAAATCTACATTCAGTAACTGGATTGTTCTCTTATATTACTTTCGAGACGAACCAGAGGACTGCAAGTGTAATTATTCAAAAGATCTCTAATCCTCGTTTAAACATTTACGAACAGTGCAGCAAAACTAAGGATGCCCTGAATTATTTGGAGAATTTACTATCAAACACTCCCATCATTCAACAGCAACCAACACAAGCTTCATCTTCTCTAATTACACACCAACCAAAGAGATCAGGAAGTTTTTCTTCCTCCTATCCTAACAAAAAGAAAAAGTAGCTTGATATGCTTTGCCATTCCCATTCTCTTACAAATCAATCTCATTAAAATCTTTACAATATATTAAGATTCTTTACAAATCAAAATTAAAAACCAATCACAAAACAAAAAAAATGGGACAACAAGCAAGCCAAGCACCACCTCCGCCATACGAATATAAAACAGATACCACTTTTGATACCTTTTCCATACCAGAGAAGGTAAAACCAGAATTTGATGATGCTATTCTTGATCACAATGAACAAGTTTTTTCATTCTTTGCTCTCGCACATACACGAATTCAAACAAAGGCTACAGAGTTGAAGCTGAGAGATTTTGATGAATTGGTTCCGAAGGAAGAATACTCTTTATCAGACACAGAATTTTTGTTTAATAATGTGGCTATGGGTAGGTTTTGATCCGATCAATATTCATGAATTTGATTTAATATTATTCATAATTTAAATAATTTTACATTAAAATTTGGAATTCTTAGGACAAGCAATGCTTGGTGGAAATTATGAATGTATGAAGGATTGGAGTGGAGTTGATTTGTTGGAAAAGAAATTTTCGGCCATGGAAAGAAGAAAATTAGTGGAAGATTTACGATCATGTGGAAAGGCAACTTTTGATGGAATTACAGATCCAAATTTGCAACATCATGCTAATTCTATTGAAGATTATAGACATTTATGTAACCAGAAGGAATCATTGCAAAAGTTTAAACATTACTTAACTATTCTAAAGGATGACCAAAACGCTCATCTTGAAGATGCTTCAGATCAAACCGAAATAGAATTTACCGATAAAGACAGAAATCAAATGGATGAAATTGTTGAAAAGCTTAAACTGCAAAAAACACTGAAAACAGTCGTTGGATATGGAGATAATATCGTTCTATTACCACCATCTTTCCATGTTTTGGCAATGCAATTAATGACTGTACACTGTAAAAGATACATTTTAGATTGTCTACAAAAGACTAACAATGTAACGAGCAATGAGGAAGCCATTAACACCACTTCAGTTGGAGATTATCAGCTATGCCTCTTCAATTCTCCATGTTTTTCGAAACTTGGTCTTTGGTTATCTGAAAAGATGGAAGCAGACAAAGCCAAGAAATAATTTGCACAATTAATCAAAACGTTTGTTATTGTATTAGTTTGTGAATTAACATTTTAGACGATTACAATATTATTAAATAATAGTAATTGCAAGTACATGATGAAAATAGAACTCTCTGTTTTTGTATAGAAGTGTACGATCGTGACCTGGTTGGGTCTAGACCAAATGGATATCAAATCGATCAAGTTCAGGTGGGAACTAAAAAGAAATCAAAACAAAAAAAATGAAAGGAAACTCAGCAAGTTTCGTCCAACTGTTTACGCTACTGTTGTTGACCTGTTTGTGTTGCCAACAGTCGGTTATAATGGCAAAAAAGATGTGTACCGATTCAATAGTGATGGATTCGTATTTTGATAGCAAAAATATGGCCTCTGATCTTACATGTTCAACCTCTGCATATAAGGTATTAAATACACTGGATCTTGTTGCAACATTTCCATACACAACCAAAGGAAAGATCATTCTTGGAAGTGGTTTGACAGTAACAGCCAAGTACGTCTTCTCCCCAACATCAAATAGTCAATATCAACACACAACATCTGTTTTAATCAATGATATTTTCATAATGAATCTTCCATTACCAACCTATTCCTTTTGTAACGGATCAACCTTTAGTTTAGATTTGAATAGTCAAGCAATTACATCTTATTTGAATTTAAGTGATATCAATACTTTCAAAATTACAACACGAAATGCAAATCCAACAGTTTCACTCTTTATGACTCAAGTCAAGTTGGGTTTTTGCTATGTTACAAATGACACAACAATTGTTGATTTGGTGTTAGCATCAAATAGCAGTTCAATTAATTTTCTTACTCCTTCTTCATATAATCAAGTCAAATCTGAACCATTCAATGGACTTTTTGTAAATAATATGACAGATTCTGCCAATATTCCAATTGTAGTCAATAATAAGGCCATTGATCCAGCTGTCAATATCACTATTACCATAAGTTCTTCAATATTATCAATATCACTAGTTTCATTGCAGAGTATAAGAAAGATTTCTTCTTCCAACATAGTGGACATTTATCCTGAAATTGAGAATAGCACAGTATCATCCTCAAAGATGACATTCACACTTTATAATGTCAATTTATCATATTTGGAAACATTGACATTTGATGTAAATTTCAAATTGAATGGATCGAAAAGTGAGACATCTGTTTCCTCTTCCATTGACATATCAGTTGATTCATCGAATGATTTTGTTGAGGAAATGAATTCATCAGATAATTCAAAATCGTTTTCATATTCAATTTTCCAAACCAAGCAAGTTTCAACCAATTCAGAAATAAGCTCAAATCCATCCATGGTTGTGAAGAGTCAAGTTTCAGATTTGTCGTATTTCATTCATGAAGCACAAAGCCCATTCAATTCAAACAATTGTTGGCTTCAAGTGAACTTGATTGCATCTAGTGCATTTTCTGGAAGTTTATTCATTCTCTCCAACAAGACAATGGAACAAAAAAAGATTTCGTTCATTGACAAAGATTTTATTGGGTCTCGATTATTCTTGGTTGTTCCATCAGAGCAATTAGACTGCACAGGATCGAGTAACACAGCCATTTATTTGAGAGTTGAAGCAACCTCTGCCACATTCAGATTGTACTTGTCACGAAAGTTTTATTCAACATTGAGTGATGACAGCTTGACAATCAATTCAATTTTTACAGAAAAGAATGAAATAGGTGAAGCATTTGGACTGACCATTTCAACAATTAACAAATTGGAATCCATTCCATTGTTGACAAATTTGACCTTTGTCAATGATGATTCAAGTACAGACAAATTTATTGCGTTTAACACTTTAAAATCACCAAGCATTGAGTTAATGAGTCAAATGAAGGGATCTTCTGTCCCAAAGAATCAATTTCCGAATGCTCAACTTTCTTCCAAGAATTTTCTTTATTTTTTTGAGACAAGATGTCAATTGTGCACTGTTAATTTGACTCTTTCTTATCCTACTTTATTTTCAAATCCATCCACTATTTCTTTAAAAGTAGCAGGGTCTCAAAATCAAGCAAAAGCATCTGTATCTAATGGAGTCCACTGGTTATTCCTTGACACTAGTAAGGTAACTTCTGACACTGTAAGGTTATTTGTTAGGGCAACTGTTAAAGGTTTACCAAGATATAATCAACCTTCAAAACTATCTCTTATTGGTACTCAGGATTTTATTGATAATTCATTGAATTCTAATGGAGCAACCAGAACAATTCAATCTAACGAACTTTACAATCAAACTTTGAACTGTAACTCTTCAAACATTGCTTCTCCGTACGAGGCACAGATTTCACTTCTCACCCCAACAACAGGAATCAAGGGAAACATTTGGAAATTTGGATTGTTTATTGATCCATCTCTCCAATATTCTCAAATTACATTTTATTATTATGCTGCAAACTATACCAATAATGTATTTGGAACTAATGCTAAAAATTACTTATCAACATTGTCTGGTGATTTCTATTATACCCTCAATGTTGATAGAACCTACCTTATCTCTAGCGATTTAACTATTAATTTGGATAGTAGGTTGGGAATATTTGATAGATCATATGAGGTTTATGCTAAAATTGGCCAAAAACCAACCACAACAGATTATGATATGAAAATATCTGACCTATCCTTTAAAAATTCTTCGAAAGTCTATTCTTTGAGGTATTCTTTTTCAAACACAGGAACATTTTCATTGCAAGAATCCAACTTTCGTCTAATTTCACCTTCGAAATTGGACATGATAGGACAGCAAATCTATCTCTTCTTTAGAGAAATTCCTGGCTCTATTGTTACGAATGCATATTCTTGCTATTTAAGTTCAAACATCTATTTCGAACACAGCTATACTCCCACTGTTAGATATAATTCAGAGTCAGCTATTGACTTGAAATATCCTAATCTCTATCTGAATGCAAGTAGTTTGAACATTTCACAATCCACTATTGATAAGTATATTAATGTAGAATTCACAACTAGTTACGCAATCCCAAATGACGAAAACGTCTTCTTGGTCGATTGGACTACTAGTGAACTAATTCCAATGAACAAGACCCTCTTCAATTATTACGATGTAACCTATTACAATTACAAGTATCAACAATCCTTCACCAAGTTGAATGCTAGAATGAAAATTACACAAGAGATGGTCGACAGTAAGACTTTCCTATTCTTTAGTATGATTTTCCCATCAACCACCAATTCTAAATACACCTCTAATTATGCCTACGTTTTTGTGGAAGAGGATGCTCAAGTGCAACCTGAAACTCTTCCAATTCTGATTACCTTGGGTGTAATGGGAGGTTTATTCATTGTATCAGTTCTTTATTTAGTACTTTGTTTATTCTTGATCTATAATGGAGCACTTAAAGATCCATCTATCAGTGCCAATTATGATGCCTCGTTGAATGCATTCAAGAAAGGATCAGGAATGACAGTATTTTATGATTTAGTATTATTGCTTGGTCCAGCACTTTCCAGTATATTGGAAAAGTTAACCAAAAAGAAAGTCCATACGATAGTGTCCAACCTAATTCTTGGATTTGTTTGTTTATTCTGTAGTGTTGCATTCTATGTTGGATTGCTCATTTCTATGGGAGTGGGAATAGCAACACTATCAAATACCGAAAGTGACATTATTCCAAATGGCGCTCAATTGGGAAATGCTACTTATTATACCTGCTGTAAATATAGAGCACCTAGTTCCATAACTACCTATGCCACTATAATGGATACACAAGATAGAACCCTTTCATGCATTAAGTACTCTTCCAGTTCGACTTATCCATCTAATATGACAATTAATGGTGTGTTATATCAACCAAGTATCACAAAGAACAATTTTACAATGGGATCCATTGCAACAGCCAAGTTAAGATGCCCAAATTCTGAAATAATCTTCTTGAATACCAGCTTTGATCAGATTCAAGCATTGGGTATTTCAGGATTAGTTCTTGGAACTATTTTCCTATTCCTGACAGTTCTTTTCCTTGGAACTGCACTTGCTGACTATTTAATTAAGAAATCAGTGAATGATCAGTGGATTTTCAAATCCATTTTCGCTACCAAATCAGCAAGACAGCACCATAATATAACAACTCATTCCAACGCATCTACTGCACCTCATTCAGATACAGATAGTGAAGAAAATAGACGAAACCACACCATTCAAGTTGATAATTCTGTTTCAAGAATGCAAGAAGAGAACCTCAGAAGAGAAAGAGAAGCAATGGAAAGAATAGACAGAGAGGAACGCTTAAGAAGAGAACGAGAGGCCAGAAATCAATTATTCGCAACCAACACATCCTCAACAATTCCTCCTGTTCCTCCAATCACCAGCAGTAGCACTATTAACATTCCACCAGATGTGAAACTTCCACCACCAAAACCAAATCAAGCTACTCATGTCGAAATGACAGAATTCAGTAATAACTCAACAACATCAGCAACCAATAATAATCAACAACCAAGCGCACCTCCAGTATCGAATGAGGAAAATCATAGTAATATTTTGATTTATGATAATTCGTCTGACACAAGAAATTATCATGTGAATCCAACATCATCAGTTTACAATCCATACGAAAACTCTGAAGATATTGTTGTTGTTTATCAAAGATCAGATCAAAAAAATCCACAATCTCAATAAAATTACACTGTTAAGGATTTAGACAATTTCGTTCTCATCATTGGTTAGATGTTGCATAGGAACCAAGAAACTTACATCTCATTAAATAGTTTAGAATAACTTTGAAGTTGTAAGTTTGATCATACTTACTATTATTCTTCTAACAATGCTCTACTTTTCTTCTAGGTCATCCCAAATCAGATACTTGTTCAAAAATAAATATTCCAACTAAAATTAAAAAAAAAGCCACAACAATTACCTAAACAATTCGCACGAGAAATTTTCAATTTATTTACTCAGAACAGATAGATGCCATTAACCACTTCTTCACTCTTTGGTGGAGAGGGTGATCCTATCATTATACCACCCAATAGTACCATTCAAGTTAATTTTAATATAGCAGGCGCAGGAGGAGTGTTGACAACTCTAGTTGCCAATATTCTGATTGCCTTGTTGTATATGTTATTATTCTTTTTATGTTGTAGACAATTGTCTTTGTTCAATCCGAGGAAAAAGAAGAAATTATTTGATGAATACATGAGGGATTTGGAAGAGGAAAAGGCTCATCAGCAAGCTAATGAAGAAGAGGATTCATCCCATCATTCTCAACAACAACAACAACACGTAGAAAATAGTAATAATGAATATTATACATCGGCCAGTACAATTACTAATCAAATTACGAGTGCCTATCAAGAAGTTTCTAATCAATATCCTTTTAATCAAATTCCAAAACTTCCTTCCGAACCAACAGAGATGAAGAAGCACTTGTTAGGAAGATTGAAGATTGTAATTTTGGAGGCTTTCAATTCTACCATCTTGTTCTTCCCAACAATGCTTGCTCACTTTAGGGAGGGAATTGTGTCCTTCTTTGTTCCTTCGAAGGCAAAACAGGAGAGAAAGAAAATGATGGCTCTCTATGGAAAGGACATTGTAATTTACTTGTATTTCCAACAAATTATACTTTATATCATGTTGGTTTGTAGTATATTGGCTTGTGTGGTATTGTTACCAATCCATCTTTCGGGTAATCCTCCAATATTTGAGTATTCTATGAATAATAGTAGTAGTAGTTTCAATTATTTACCTTCTTCTGATGACATCTCTTTATATTCGAATAGTGATGTTTTGCAAAAAGGTATTAAGCCAATCAAGAATTTAACGCAAGAGGACAATATATTATTGAGAACGACTGTTGAAATGGTTATTGACTCACCTGTTGCATTGTATGCTCACGTAGTTGTTGGTATAATTTCAATTTGTGTTGGACTCTTCTTCTTTTTCCACTTTGTTTTTCATGAGGTTGTTGTAGAGAATCAATCAAGAGAAGAAATAGTACACCAAGAGGATAGTAATATTATTTCATCACAAAAGGATGGCCTATTTGAAATATTCCAAGAAACAGATAGCACTTCTATTGCTATTCATAATAAGGAGAAATCTATTGATCCTAAAGAAATTATTTCTCCATATGTTGTCGTTGTAAAAGGATTGCCAAGGGAAATGACAAATTTGAAGGATTTTGAATCGTTTGTTGAGATTTACTTTAACGACAATTTGAAAGTAGATCATGAGGACAGCAAAATTTTGAGATCAGTTTTGATTTATGACTTTATCAATAGATTAACCATGTCAGCAATTTTAAAACATATTGAGGAAGATTTGGATCACTTTATCCATTTGAAGTTGGAAAGAGGAGAAGAATTACTTTCCCTTAAGGAGCATGTCATCTTTGATGAAGGTGTCGTGGATTCCAAAAATGTTCTTTCCCACTGCTTTGGTGTACATACTCACGGAAAGAAAATTAACATGTTGAATACTGAGGAAGCTATTCAACATTTAGAAACGAGAAAAAGGCTGATCCGTAAGGAGGTCAGTAAATGGGATGCCTCATACAACCAGTTACTTCATACCAAAAATAGAGAAATTCCAAAAGTTAATAGTATTGACAGCTTTGATGATTCAAGTTTTATGGAAGATATTCAAATTGAGGACACTAAAGCTGAAGAAACCAATAATAATGATCCAATATCTTCAATTTTCGTAAACAATGAAGGAATTAGCAGCAGTGGAGTTGCTTATTTAATTTTCAAGAATACCTCTCATGTTAAAGATGTTTTGGGAAGATATTTGAATAATGAAATTAGATTACAAAATAATGTGATTACCATCCACCCATTAGATCAAGAACCAACTGATATTAACTGGTACACAGTTTGCAGAAGTTCTGGTTTGACAGGCTCAAGATATGAAGGAATTGCAACCAATATAATGATCCATCTTTTCTTGGTTCTATTCTTCATAGTTGCCTCAAGTCCTGCATCAATACTCTCTGCTATTCAATCACTTTTCAATGTTGGTGTTGTAGATATGGATATTCAAAAAATTCAAAGAGCCACAGGTATTGTTGGAAGTATTTTCTTCCAATTCTTGCCATCATTCTTCCTCTATTGGATTTCTAGATTAATTGGTTTTGTTATCAGTAAGGTAACCATGCTTGGTAAATATGATAGTAATCAAGAGTACAAGAGAATTTATCTTCTCAGAAAGTATTTCTACATGGTTCTTACCATTTTAGTCATGCCAAGCTTGTGGTTGTCTTCTATGGATGGTATTGTCAATTATATCAAGACTGAAGAGAATTTCCAAGAAATGCTTGCAAATATCTTCCTTCCAGCATCTGGTGCATTGATGGTATCGACTGCTATTCAGTATGCATTGATTGGTAATTTGGATGACTTGATTAGAACTGAAGATGCTTTCTGGTATATTTGGAAAACAAAGCTTTCTCCTTACAGAAAGGCAAAATCTCCTCTAGAGAAATTGAGAGCTGCCACTGATCAATTCTATTTTTCTGTTGATACTAATTATGCAAAGATTTTGGCTGTTTTCACTTTGTGCATGTGTTATTCAGTTTTTATTCCAATTATTTTACCATGTGGATTATTCTACATGATGATGAAACATTGGATTGACAGGTATTTACTTCAAGAAATTTACACTGCTCCTGCTGGTTATAATTTGGACATAATTGATAACAAACCAAAGGGAATTGATTTCATTTCCATTCAGAAGAAAGTTATCCTCGTTGTGAAAGTATTCATTATTGCACTTTCCATGTCAGCTTGGTTTTTGATTGTATTCTTTGGTTTGAGAGTTTATACAACAGCCGCATTCTTACCACATTTGATTATTAGTATTGTGGTGTTTGTACTGCTAGTTTGCTTACTCTATCTCATTCATCACAATGAAGATAAGATTATTAGAAAGAGAGTCATGTCACAAGTTGAAAAACAAAATCATGAAGTCTTCCATCATTTTGCAACAAACACTGCATTCTGTACACCTTTTGAAAAGAAATAATACTTTTATTACCTCTTGTGTTTCCTAATGAGCGCAATATAAAGACAAGTATTGCTTTGAGATTTAGATGGAATAATTCTTATTGTTTTTGGCAACACCTGAGATTCCACATATGGAATATCTAAATGTTGGAGAACTGGACTATCAATGAATGGATGAATAAGTTCTGGTTGTTGATTGGTATCTTCCCTATACTTGTCCAATATGTATTGAACTACATCTTCGTTCTGCTCCCTAGTGAAGGAGCATGTACAATACAGAACAACTCCATGCTTATTAGAAATTCCATCATATGGAGCTAGACAATTAATGTAGGCATTCTCCAGTAATTTCTTTTGTAAATCCACAATGTTGTCCATATTATTCAACGTATAGTCAATTTGTTTGAAATTTCTGCGGTAATGCTCAACTCTTCCATCAGTGCTACATTCTGCATCAACTACAATAATGTCATACTTTGGAGCTAGTGTATCAAAAATATTCTTTGGTGGTTGTTTGGTCTCTTCCTTAAGATCTTTCCTCTTTGAATTTCCATATTTTTCATAAATTAAAATACCATTATCTGGTAATTCCTTAACTTTTTCAATGTATTTAAATCTTTTCATTCTTGTTGGTTTTTCCACATTCGAATAACGTGTACCATCAGCATATATCAGTCTAATATCATTAATATTATACTTTTTAAAAATATTCTTGCATGTCATTATTCTATGATATGAAACATCAATTCCAGTAATCGTGTTAACTCTAGAATTTTTACATTTAAACAGGTCATAAATCAGACATGATTTAGTCCCTGGAGCAGTACAAACATCCAAAACATTTGGCAAAATATTCAAACTATTTGATTGATTGTTATCATCATTCATGAAAATCTTCTCCAACGACAAGATACAATAAATACTACTAATATCCACACCAAAAACATTTCCCTTCTTATATTCCTCCAAATTTGAAATATTAATTGTCTTTGGGAGTGTATAAATTTGATAATAATTCTTTTCCATATTTTGAATATTCAAAGGCTTGACTCCACATTGTTTTTCAATTGAATTTAAACAATTTAAAATTCCCTCATCATTTAAACATGACGATAATCTAATATACCGTATCGATTCGTTCTTTTCAATAAAATCGTCTTGTTCCGATGATGGATAATATTCACTGAGTGGAATGTTGTATTTCTCACAAAATTGTTGCAATAATTCTCTAGTTTCTTCTGATGAATTTTCTTCCCTACTGATGATGGTGTTGCTGCCACTATTACTATTACTACTACAACCCGATGAGTTGTTTATTGTTGCTTCATCTTTTGAGTTGCCATTAGAGGTTGCTTGTTGATTTTCATGCATTTTTTTTAAAGTTGTTTAGAGAATGCTCATTGTAAATTGAAACAAAGAGGAAACTTGATTTGCAAATTCATCATCCGATTCAACAAAAACAATCTCCATGATATTAACAAGCTAAAACATCATCTCGCTTTCTTGATATTTGATTTTGGAGATATCAAAAAAATGAGCAAACGAAAGAGACAAGATTTGGAAAATTATCAATTAATTAATTCGGAGGAACAACTACTCACGATCGATTTTAATAATCATAATAAGAGTTTGGAAGAGAAGGCAAAAAAAGTTGTGAAACTCGAACAGGAAATATTTTCAGATGATGTTTGTTTTGAAATAATTTCCATGATTGATGATTCGTGGTTTATTTTGAATAATTGTTCCTTGATTTCAAAACAATTCTTTAATGTGATCAAGGAACGTTCAAAACTTGTTATTCAATTTAAAAAGAAATTTACAGAGAAAAGAATTGAATTATTCATGAACAGTCAATTTATGAATAGTATTGTTAATGTTAAATTTTCTGCATGGTTGTTTGGCTCGATAGAAAAAGCGAAATTCATAAGTGAAATGAAACAATTAACATCGCTTATTATTTCTGACAATGGAATTGGTGATGAAGGAGTCAAATTAATAAGTGAATTGAAACAATTGACATCACTTAATATGTCAAACAATCGAATTGGTGACGAAGGAGTCAAATTAATAAGTGAATTGAAACAATTGACATCACTTGATATAAGTTTAAATGATATTGGTGCAGAAGGAGTCAAATCAATAAGTGAAATGAAACAATTAACATCACTTAATATTAATTACAATCGAATTGGAGATGAAGGAGTCAAATTAATAAGTGAATTGAAACAATTGACATCACTTAATATTTCAAACAATGGAATTGGTGATGAAGGAGTCAAATTAATAAGCGAAATGAAACAATTAACATCACTTAATATTTCAAACAATGGAATTGGTGATGAAGGAGTCAAATCAATAAGTGAATTGAAACAATTGACATCACTTAATATTTCAAACAATCGAATTGGTGCAGAAGGAGCCAAATCAATAAGTGAAATGAAACAATTAACATCACTTAGTATTAATTACAATCAAATTGGTGATGAAGGAGTCAAATCAATAAGTGATATGAAACAATTGACATCACTTAATAAGTAGAAGTATGAAAGTGAGTCACTTTGTATATTTTTAAAACAACAATTTTACTTTGAGACTTTGGAAGAAAACTTTAGTTTCAAATTCAAAAGTAGACTCTTAAATAGATTATTTATCTTGTGGATGGAAAATCACAAATTCTTGTAGGAAATATTTCTTTTCAAAAAACTCATTTTTCAAAAATACAAGAAAACAATTCAACAACACCGCATGATGATTACCATTACAGATAAATCTCTCGTTCATTTTACTTTTCATGATAATGATGATGAACATTCATCTACTACAACAAAAACAACAACAACAACATTAGTACGACTATTATTTCTATCGAACAAGCTGAGAGAAAAATTCTCATCACAACAAGAGGGAAAGTTAAAGTGGCTGATTCGGAGGGAAACTATTGTTCATGATTTGTACTATCTTCCTATTGAATATGCCAATGATGAAGAAACTATTCAAAAAGTGTTTTCAAAACTGGTAAACAATGGTTATTTAATTACAACGACTTGCTCATTTGGAGGTGTGAGCCCATTGGAATATCTATTACCACGAATTCATCCAGATCTGATTAGGTTGGGCATTAGAGAACAATTACAATGTCATATTAAGAATTGCCAGAAAGAAACTAATTCAATCAATAGTTACGCCAATTCAAAATATCAAGATATCAAAAAGAGAGTTCAGGATTGTGGAGGATTGGCAAATATTGGAGAGGATCTTGCAATTGAATATATGCAGTTTATTGGAAAGGATGGTGGAGTATTGCGTAGATTATCTAAATCTTTGATTAATGACAGAAGTTTTGTGTTGAAAGCTGTTGAGATTTGTCCTGTTGACATTTTCGCAGCTCCTGATCATTTCCAGAATGATAGAGAGATAGTAATCACAGCATTACGCAATGATGCATGGATATTGGAAAATTTAGAACATGCATTTCAGGACGATGAGGATATATTTGAACTTGTTGCACGAACAGATTTGGCAGCTCTAATGTTTGCTTCTGAACGATTGAGGAATGATACTTCTTTTATAATGAAAATGTTTCGTAAAATTGCACAAGATAGTTCGATGGACCATATGAGCGAAAGAGAAATTGCTATGCATATGGTCAAGATGAATGGTTTATCTCTTCAGTTTCTCAATGAGGAATACAGAGATGATTTCGAAATTGTTACTTGCGCACTGAATAATCATTGTCACTCTCTTGCTTATGCTTCTGAGAGAATTAGAAGTGATCGAGATTTTATGAAAAAAGCAATTGAGAAGTACAGCGTTGTTTACTCGTATGCTTCTGATGATTTACGAAATAATGATGTTGAACTTGCTTTGATTAGTATAAGGGGAGGGAATTGGATTCCTGTTGAGCATGAGATGAACAGACAAGTTGTAAAAGAGGCTGTGAAAAAATCAGCATTACAATTGACTAGAGTTCCTGATGAATTAAAAAGTTGTGCACCATTCATGTTTGAGATTATCAATGAAACCACTGAACCAATTTTGAAATATATTACAAACGAATTGAGATTTTCTCAAGATTTTGTATTGGAAGCAATCAGGATAAGTAGCAATAATGTGCTAGATCTTAGGAATGCAGAAATGGATAATAAGGAATTTGCGAAAAAAGTTGCTCAACTAACTGGCTACACATGTACATATAGAAACGACCTATATGAAGCAAGAATGGAATACATGTTCCATGGAGCAAAGTGCTAAAATAATGTAACTCTTATATCTAATGTGATTATATGAAATAAATTCATTTCTTCTGGAACAACCACTCCAAACCCTGATAGAAATTACTTTCATCTGAATGAACAACCACCATGGTATTCTCCTTCTCATAACCAGCCTCCTCAATAACATTTTCAATGGTTTTTTCAATCTTGTTGTTCATTTCCTTAAAAGTTGAATGTATCACAAACAAGATAAGTCTATAATTCTTTTCCTTCTCGGTGAAATTTAAAAATTGTTTTTCAACTTCCACACTATCATCACCCTTTGAAAATTTCACTATATTCCACTGTACGAAAATACCCACTTCTCTTATTAATTTCATTATGATCATCCGTAATACCATTGGAGGCATAAAATAGATCAGAAATCTCTTTAAATCCTTCGGAAAATACATTTTAATAGAAAAATAGAAAGAAGAATGAATAAAGATCAGAACGAATCATTTTTTTTGATTTTTCTCAATCTAAAAATAAAACGACTATATTTGAGTAAAATAGCATTGATATACTTAGTACCAATGAACGGCATTAAATAAGCAACAAATAATGTTGGTGATAATAAAGAAAAACCTTAAAAAAAATTAACTACATTAATGTCCACCGTTCGTGCTGATAATCAACAAGTAATCAAGCAAGAGGAAAGGCAAAAAGAGAAATTTATAAAACAATACAAAGAGGTTGGAATTGTTGTGGTGGGTGTTGTATCGCTTATTGTTGCAGTACTGAATGGCTTAAACTCGAACATTTATTCCAGAGAGAAAAAAGTTGAAACTGTTAGTCCGATTGTTGATAATGTTGCTAGATTGAATCAGAGTTTCTACTCTTCCCAAATCCAAAGCAATCCTTTTATTGTTACAAATGAATTCTCTGATTTATTCACCAACACATTGAAATCAATGCAACGTTGTGAGTTGAGTATGAGAGGATTTTATGGAGAGAGTGGGATTGGAAAAACAACAATGCTGAAGGAGAGTTTGAGATTACTTGAACCATTTCCTTACTTGTTGGTAAGTCTCTCCAAAACAACAACAATTAAGGAGTTGGCCAAGCTCATGAATTTAGTTGTTGATGATGAAGCAAGGTGGTCAGATATCCAACTAGCAATTAATCAGTTCATTGCCTTGGCTCATCAGAATCAGAAAGGCCAATGTCCAATTTTAATCATTGATAATGCAAATAGAAACAGGAAAATAACTGAACAATTTATTGACATGGTTAGAGAAAACACAGAACGCCAAGTCGGGTTGCTAATAGTCATTTCTGATGGTTATTATACTGGTCTAGATACAGCAGGCGGCAGATTGTGGACAACAGAACTTTTAGAACCCTCGCATGAATTTGGAGTAAAGTATCTTAACAAGCTGAATCTCACAAATAATGATACCATAACAAGAGTTTTAGATATTACTGGAACAAAGGCTGTCTATTTGGGCTATGCTCGCTACTGTCTCAAATCTAATGGTGGGCGAATGGACTTTCGTTGTTTAGAAACAATTATTGATCAGTTAATTACACGAACAATCGCTTTATTACCCAACAAAATTAGAGAAATAATTATGACGAAAGCTGCTGAGCTAATCAAAGACCCTAATGGTAATCACACGTTACCCCAATATATTACAGAGGAAACAGAGAAAATGATTTACAGATCAAACATATTAAGGCAGGGTAGTGCATTCAAGTCTGTTGTAATATTTCAAAATAAGACTGTCAAAAGGTACTTTGAAAAAATATTTAAATAATAAATTAAATATTGAGTGAAATCTCACTGAATTCACATTTCTGAAAAACTAAGGGTCCTGACAACCTTTCTTTCTTTGGTTGTGCGAGAGGAGAAATACTCCTTATTTCCAAAATACGATTTCACTTTCTTGCACTGTTCACGGAAATGACCCAGTTTTGGATTAACATTCTTCTCAGTTGAAACAAAAAGATGATGGTACAAACTAATTGCATCAAGTCTATTTTTCTCTGATCTGAGTATCTTTTTTTTCAGAATTGACAGAATATCTTTAGTGGTTTCATCTGAAACACTGGTTCTAGCTTCTTCCAAATATTGGGAAACAACCTCTCTGTCTTCTAAAGATTCTAATCTTTCCTTATGAATAATCTCTAATATTACTAAACCTAGCGCATAGATATCACTCTTTGGGGAAACTAGATTGTAATCAACTCTCTCAGGAGATCTGTAGCCTGAAACGATAAGAATATAATGAATTTAAAAACGTACCTTCTGAGAAACTCTGTGTTGTGATAGGTTTATCATCATTACCAAGGCATTTTCCAGAGTTAATGTCAAAGTCTGAATACCTTTTTGCAATTTCAAAATCAATTAAAAACCAATGATTGTCATAGAGAACAATATTTTCTGGCTTGATGTCATTATGAACAAAGTTTCCTTCCTGTAGATAACAGAGCTGAACTAGCATATCAATAAAAAAATCCATAACATTAATCTCGTTCATCTTTTCAAAGAGTTTGGCCATGCTTTTTCCAGCAAGTGTAAGTGAACAGTTACCTTCAGACGTCTGAAGTGTTGGAGCATATAGTGTTAAAAAGGAATAATGATGAGGACTTTCATAAATGTTATTCTTAGAGTTAAACTTAATGAAATACTCAAAACCGTTAATTTTCCCTTTTTTGATGGTTGAGCGAGTTTGGATTATTTCAAAATCCTTATCATATTCGATTCTTTGGAAATAACTATCCCATACAGGAAATGAAAAATAATTCCTTTTTGTAGACTGTACAAGGCTGTGCTGTGTCGTTAAATAGTTCCTTACTTCCTCATTCTTTGGATAAATAAGAGATGTCATAATTCTAGAAATGAGCTGGATGCGATCACTAACGACATTGTGCTGATACGATCCAATGAATGAGAGAGTAAAATTTGAAAGTAGAATGGTGTCATCATCTCTCATCTTTGGTTGACAATGTAAGGTGTATAAATTTGAAGCAACACTATCAGATGTGATACCCATGACTAATATTTGTTTGTGCCAGTCTTTAATGTCTTTCTTGATCAATTTTCTCATAACCTGCGACAGTGCCATTTTCATCTGAGATACGAGGGCAATAAAGTCCTTGTGGCTAGTATGGTTTTCATAAGTGTCTGGTGAATCTTCTCTTATTATTCGAATACATTTAAAACTAGTTCCAAAACTAACAAGCGTAAAATCATCAGGTCTAAAATCTGGAATACTGGTCTGTAGATTGGCTTCCAAACTGTCCACATGAACAAAATCCTTAATACTGGAATTTCTGATTGATATTGTTAGCATGCAGAATATAAAACTTACGATCCACCAGAGCAATCAGAAAAAATAGAGGTAAAGCTAAGCATTGGTGTGAAATACAATCTAGAAAGTTCCATTTCGCTTGTAGTATCTATAGAATCTCGAAATGGAGGGATAATTGAGCTGAAAATTAAATTATCTATTGTTTTTAGTCTGAGGGTATCACTATTTAGAGGCATTTCAACATTATATTTGTAATCTTCATATTTCCTGTTCAATACTAGCCCTTCCTTTTTCAGTTTGTCAATAAGGCTCACAATATCAGAGCTCTGAAGATAGGAGAGTAATAAACTTAGAATATTCTCGATGGTTTCCTTCTTTTCTTCGAATAGAGGATTTGTTTGGCAATTGTTTAGTGTAATACCAAATCCGTGCAAGGTATATTTAAAAATAGTTTCCATCCTCTTTGTTGTAAAAGTAAAATGGGCTGGAAGTTTTAGATTTTCGATTTCCTTAATGTTTGCCACTTGATGTTTTTTTAGGATGGCTCGGAGTTTGGACTTTGAGGGTTTGAATGTTTTTTCGCTAACATTATAAAATTCGGAAATAAGTTCCAATGAGACTGACAAGTGCACATTCTCAATAAATTTATTCTCGCCAGTTTTTTGCTTTTTTGCAGTTGGTATGCTTTCAGAATGGTTTCTTTTCATTTTTTTTGATTTATTAATTTAAGCACAAGTTTTGATTTGGAAAATGGCGGGAATTTTTGAATTAAGCATAAGGAGAAAAAATCGCACCACATATTGAACCACACAAAATCCTCATTGAGAAGGAAGTAATTGGTGAAACTTCATGATTCTGCTTATTATTTTCTGGAGATTCTATTCGATTTCTAAGGCATCTCTTTGCAAATAATGGATCAATATGAGAGTTACTTGATTTGGTTGCTCGAATGATATTTCTCTGAGGGTAGTGTTTGAAATCTATTGAATGGATGGTCTTGTTGACTAATCCAGACATGAATTGAGATGAAAATAATTGCCTCTTTCGTATATAATCAAACATAATTCCATACATGACGAAATGTTTCTTTTGACAGGATGTCAATATCATATCTCCAAACTTGTTTCTCTGGGCCTTGTAATACAGCATTGGATTTGCCAAACCATGATATTCTCCACTGCAGAAAAATACATAATGCTCGAACAGCACATCCCAACATTTGCTCTCATTCATGACATTTCTGAATTGTTGACATGCAGAGCCCAACTTGGCAAGAGCTGACAAGTTGGAAACCAACACTTTAGAATCGATAGAATCCAGCAATTCAATTCTCTCTATCGAAAGATATGAGAAAATTTCCCATAGAATATCATTAGAAAACATTTCATTCGAATTTCTTCTAATTTGAAAATCTGATGAATTAGTGTTGCTAATCAGTGTTGAATTTTTTGCTCTTGTTGATAAAGACCTTCGATTAGATTTGCTCTCCTTTGAGCTTGGCTTGTAGTAAATCGATTTCCGAAGTGTGGAGGCATGTTGTGAAGTAGTTGTGAGAAGCGGATATTTTTCAGTGTTGGAATGTTTGCTCATTTTTTTTAAGGAGTTTTTCGAGTTGAATTGGAATCTTGTTGGAGGAATTTTCGAAGGACTTTTTCCAAAATTCATGATTAACAGCAAGTAAGAAGAAGCAGGAGATTATTAAGCTTCTAATGAGACTGAGACATGTTTGCTTCCGAGTATGAAGTAATCTCACATGGGTTGTGTCAGTAGTGTCAAGATCTTTATGATGAAACACACCATGATCAAATAGATTGATTCCATCAAGATCCGATTAAAATAGTTTAATTAAACTTTGATTGAATTGTAATAGATGAACTTCACCAGAACAATAAAATCAAATAAAAATTGATTGAAATAATTGTCATCATCAAATTTCCAATCAAAAAAAAATAGAGTTTCATCGTTCGCTGTAAAATAATAATTTTTTGAAAAATGTTCGGAAAGAAGAAAGCACAGAGAGATCCAACAAGTTATGGCGATCATGATAATGAAAATCAAGATGCTGCTTTAAATAATTCAAATGATTCTTTCAGAGGATCATCATCAGATGGTAATAATAATGGATCATCATCCGATAGTAGAATTCCAAAGAAGACTATTACTACAGTCTTGTTAGGAGCTGCTGCTTTGGCATTGGCTGTTTCTAGATATAAGATTTGTCAGCCTAATCAATATTTAGTTAGAACAGGTATTGGTATTACAAATATGAGTGTTTCAAAGAAGGCTGTTGTTTGGCCATTGCAAAAGCATGTATATGTTAATATGAATCCAAAGACTTATACTGTAAGTTATTATATTTGAAAAATTTATTAGAAATTGTGTTTTTTGTGAAATAGTTCAATTTGCACAATATGAGTAAGGAAAAGGTTGAATTCAACTTGCCAGGTAAGTAGTTTAAACTATTGTGAAAATGAGTTGATTCGATCATTGAACTCTTATTTTAATTATTATTAATTTTGGGAATTAGTTACTTTCACAATTGGTCCTATCGATCCAAATACTGATAAGGGAATGGAAGGATTTATCAAATATTGTCAAAAGATTACTGAAGCAACTCCAAAGGAAATTGAAACATTGTAAGTTTTAATAATTTTAAATTTTGGAAATATCAAATTTTTCATCATAGGATTGCTGGTATTATTGAAGGTGAAACCAGAGGATTGACTGCTAAATTAACTGTGGAAGAAATGTTCAATTCAAAGGAAAGATTTAAGGAAGAAGTTGTTGCTTCTATTGAAAAGGATTTGAACTTGTTGGGTTTGACAATTTTCAATGCCAACATTAAGGAAATGTCTGACTATGACGAAAGAAACAAGTACTTTGAATATAGAAAGCAAATTGCCATTGAAAAGGCCAACTATCAATCACAAGCCGATGTCAGTGAAGCCAAGAAGGAAGGTGATGTTACAATGGAATTGAATCGTAGAGATACCAGAATTAGAATGGCTCAATTGGAACAAGAGGCTAGATTGTCAGAAAACGAAAATGCCAAATCAGTCTCCATTTCTAATGCTGAACTTGAAATTATTAAAGCTGAAAATCTTAGAAAGTCAGAAATTGCCAAGATTGAATCTCACATGGCTGCCAAGGAACGTCAAGCTGAATTGCAAAGATCTGTCAATACTAAATTGAAGGAACAACAACTTGAATTTATGAGAAGTGAAAGTTTATCAAAGGCAATTGTTGATGCTGAAGCTCAAGAAAGAATGGCCGATGCTCATTTCTATTCCGAAAGAAAGAAGGCCGAAGCTATTGAACTCACTTTGCAAGCTCAAGCCAACGGTCTCAAGATGATTTACGAATCATGTGGCAGAAACCCAGTTCTCACTCAATTCTACCTCGGTTTGAATAGTGGATTGTATCCTGAATTGGCCAAGCAAAGTGCTGAAGCTGTTAAGGGACTTAATCCAAAAATCAACATTTGGAATACTGGAAGTGATGCTGATAAGAATTCTGACTCAATGCAATCAATTATCAAGATGGTTCAATCCTTTGCTCCAATGCTTGAAGGAATCCAATTACAAGGTGGTGTTAAAATTCCAGATTGGCTTCCACACTCAACTGTAAATCCATCAAGTGAAATTACTGAAATTTCTGATAAGAAGGAAGAATAATTCCTCTAATAACTCAAATACTGCAAACCATCCATTCTCTACTAATCCATCATATCAATAAATAAGGGAATATTGATTAAGGAGTTTGAATCGCATTAATCGCACTAATTCTTGTCGGAAGAGATCGGAAAAACAAATATAAAAAAATGGCTAAAGGACTCACCCTGCTTTTTCATTTCGTGGCTATTTCCTCTCAATTAGCTGCCTTCTATTGGATGCATCTTATTGGAATTTTATCATTATCAATGATTTTGAAAATGTTCACCTTGTGGACTGGTTGTGTTCAAGTTATTTATTTCGGATTATCATTGTTGGAAGGCTTGTTTGGTGGCAATACAAAAAATCAACGATCATCAAATAGTATATTAAATGATTTATTCCATTTGACTTTATTGATGGCTCTCGCTACAGTTTCCTTGTTTTGGAGTATTTATTGGCTTGATCCTGAGAATATGGTTCCGAAGGGAATGTACTATCCTGATGGATTGAATCATTTACATCATACTGTGCCTGGAATTTTGGTGTTGATAGAGTTGATTCTTGTTAGATCAACAAGTGATGTTTTACATGGAATTTGGAAGAGAAAATTCTATATGGTATTGTGTATTCCAGTGGCCTATCTCAGTTTTACTGGACTTTCAAAACACATGAAGGGATATTGGCCTTATCCATTCATGGCTTCTTGGTCATTCTTGGAATTTGGAATTTTCTGTGTTTTTGCTGTCATTTTGGCATCAATTTTGCATTATTTAATCTACTTGTTGATTAAACTATTGAAGAAACCAGAAACTGTATCATTAAAATCAGAATAATCTTTTGAATTGAGAAATAATATTGGATTTGTGGAGTTCAATTAATTTTAATAATTTATTGTTGAACAGTATCATTTTCATATTGCCATTTAACTTTTCTAATAAAAACTTCTTCCAATGATGCCATTGTACAAGTCCAATCGACAATGAATGCATGCTTAGCTTCCTTTCTAGTCATTACTTTGAATAGAGTTTCTAATAATTGTTTGCTATCGTTTTGATGATTACCAATTCTAAATTCCAATCTGTTTGCAAAAGTTTCATTGTGTGAAATTAAATTAGGTGGAATTCCATTTTCAACCAATGAGGTTTGAACATAATTTCTAGCAACTTCATTATATTCTGTACTTGATGTTTGGACGTATAACTTGTAACCTTTACCATACTTGGTCTTTAACTCGTGAAGTGTTCCAATAGTTTTCATTTCACCATTAACGAGAATACCAACTTTATCACACAAAATTTCAGTTTCTTCCATAGAGTGAGTCAATGTCAAAATAGCTCTATTCTTATCTTCCATATATTTCTTTAAAATCATATGAATACCATGTGCACTCAATGGATCCAATCCTATATTAGTTAAATTTAAATTGTTAAATATTCCAATAATATTATTCAATACATACCACCAGTAACTTCGTCCAAAATTAATAATTCAGGTTTACCAATCATGGCAATAGCTAAAGATAATCTTCTTTGCATACCACCTGATAAATCTTTACAATTTCTTCTTCTAGCTTCTGTCAAACCAACATCTTGCAAAATTTCATCAATATGTTTTTCAATTAATTTTCTAGGAATTCCCTTAATAGCAGCAAAGAATTTCAATTGATCTAAAACTGTAATACCGAAAAATCTATCAAATTGATGAACACACCCAATTCTGGTAGCTAAAATATTGCTATCTGTACTGTTAATATCTTTACCAGACACTATTATAAATTAAATATTAATTAGGAAATAATTAAATATACATACAAGTACAAATTCCTTCATATGGAAATTCCAAACCAAGAATACAATTAACAGTTGTAGTTTTACCAGCACCATTGTTACCCAACAAACCAAAGCAAATACCTCTAGGGATACAAAATGTAACATTGTTGACAGCAACCTTTGATCCATATCTTTTAGTCAATTGTCTAACTTCAATGACATTGTTTTCCATATTTGTATTGTTTAAAACGTATTGAACTTCTCTTTCAACAGTATCATCAGCAACCTTATCAACATCGTGTGGTGTAGCTACTGCATCTGTGGAATAATTCTTATTGAAATTATCCTTCAATTTCATTGTTTCTTGTGATAATTTTTTAGCTTTCAATAATTTGTATAATTTTTTAAATAACAAGATTACTAAATTTGCAACTGGTACAGCCAATGCAATAATTAATGTAACTCCAATTAAGAAGGCATAGGCAATTACCACTTGTTCACCATAATTTCCTTCAATAGGAACTAACATACTTGGCAAAATCATCAAGAGTAAGATTCTCAAAAAGGCAATACTTGGAATTAATAACAAATAATATGGCATTATTCCATTAGAGAATACAAATATAGCAACAATGGATCCTAAAAATCCAAAGATTAACAAACAAAAACCAATAAAATATCCTGATTTAACCTTAAATACAGAGATTACATTAGCAATAGAAATGATGGTAATACCCCAAATTAGTAATGCGGTGATATAAATGCCTGCACTATTTAATTATTAAAACAATTAATTTAAATTATTGAAATAACAACTTACTTATTCTTTAAAAAGAAGGGATTTTGGAATGCCAAACCAACTACAATTTGAGCAACAACATAAATTACATAAATACCATAAAAGAAACATGTTTTAACAACTGCATGTAAAGTACTTGTAATACCATACTAAATTTACAATTAAATATTAAATAACAATTTGAATGTGTAAACATACCAATTCGATAATTTCCATCATACCACCTGATCTATCCTGTGCAAAACTATCAATAAAAACAGGGAATAATAAAGATAAGCAAATAGGAATAATGGCTAATGTAATTAATGGAATAAAGTCAGTAGTACCAAGTGCCATAAGAGAACTAGTTGAAGGATCGTTATTAAATCTTAAAGTAGTATGAGTAATGGGATTTATATTACTATCAGGCAATGATTCTATAACTGTTTTAAGAATTAATGAAATCAATTGATTATAAACTTGCTTATAATAGGATGTTATTTCTAAATTTAATTGTAAATTAGAATTCACATTTTCACTCTTTTTTACATTAATAATTGAATTAAATTTCTTAATAGTTTCATTATACTTGAAATTAGATTTTAAAATTTCACTTGGATCAATTGATTTATCCTTAATAAATGTAGGTGATGTTTTACATAAACTAGTAGGTGTTTCTCTATTACCTATTTAATCACATCAAATCAATAAAATGTAAATCAATCAATACTTGAATAATTTTCAAAATTAAAAAACTTACAAGGATGATAAACGCTATCAAGTAAACCTGCAGATTCATTATATAAATTAACATAACCCAACACATTTTCATTTGTACCCTGTTGATAACTCAATAGAAAATTAAAATCAGCAATTGGACATTCTATAGTATAACCAGACCAATCATCACGCTTATTACAGCAACCGTCTTTACGTAAAGAACTGTAAAAACTGGTATAAGCTGTTTCATACATAGAATCTCTTGAATAAGTATTAATAAGTCCAACTCTGATTAGTTTTGGACCTGCATCTGGATCCATGGTTACCAAGGTAATTATTAATGAAATAATACTTGGAACAAATGTTAATAATATGGACATGACAATGATCAATATCCAAATACAGTATCTTTGTCTTTCTTCTGCAAGAGTTTTCAATAACTGTGATGGAATAGATTATTGTAAAATAGTATTATTAAATAGTGTAAATATTGGTTTTTGTAATGAAATACGTACAATAGCTCTACTTTTAACAAGAATATTAACTTTCACTCTATCAGCAAGCACATCTTGTTGCAAATTGGCATTGATAGCAATTTGACTCGAAGTATCATCAACATAGGAATTTCTATTACTTGCCATCATTGTACCAGCACCGATAGGCGATGTTGATTGATACAATTGAAGATCTTCACCATTACCAATCGTCATTGGAGTGGAGGAATTATAATTCATCGACATTATAAAAAAGCCTCGGACCGATCAATTCTCAACTAGAAGCAAAAAAAGAAGAAAAATTTTGAATTTTCGCGATGTAATTTTTTTTGTTTTTAAATTTTTTGGAGTTTTTTTACAATTTTTCTTTGTTTGAGCTTCGATTTCAACTCTAATTGGAAGGAAAGTGGAAGAAAGATTTAGGGGCTGCTGTGGAATTGTTTTTCTAATTTGTGGACCTGTTGTTGGATACTGGATAGTGACCTGTATGAACGTTCCATGTATTGTTATTTGTTGGCTTCAAATGAGTTCCATCTTGGAAGCTTTTATTAAGAATTCAAAATTGGTGCAAGAAAATTGGTTAGAAATTCCTTTTCAACATTCTAAAACAGACAAAATAGATTGAGAAAAACAGATATATAACTCTATATCTGACTTGAAACCAATTTCTTTCTTTTGATTCTCAGAATTTGACTCAAAAGCTCAATTACTTCAAAAATACCAATTTTTACTTTGGATTAATAGGACAGATTCGAACTGGAGATCATAGACACAGAGTATACTTTCAATTTTCAGCCTTGACCATAATCATAATTGGTTGAGTTGACCAAGTTTGTAAATGACAATCTAAAATTTAATATTATTAAAAAAAAATGCAAAAACATTGTTCTTCGGCTGTTACTCCTCGGATAAAAGACTTCATTGGTTCTTTTATCATCAACAAGAATAATAATAGGACACTGATAGGACAACAACAACCTGAAGGAAAATCTTCATCATCATCATCATTTACATTGTACATATCATTACTCCACCATTCAACAACATCGGAATAGTCTATCACAATTAGAAAGTGTAAAATGTAATGTAAATACTATTAATCATTGTTGGATTAATAGCAATCAATATCGGAGATACGGACAAAAGGTGGATGGATTGTTATCGGATATTCATGAGAAGGTATTTTCCAATCAACACTTGTACACAACCAAGATATTTCATGTTGCTGTGGATGGATACAACCAGAAAAAGTACAAGGAAGCTACAGAATTTTTCACAAAAGTTATAGAGAAGGGAAAGGAAGTGATTGCAATTTCTAAAAAACCACCAACCAAGGAATTTACCATTGATAAGCAAATTCTATGGTCCTTCATCTATAGAGGAGTGATTACCAATTCATATCAGGATTTGCAAAAAGCTAAGGAAATTAATCCATTCCATCCAGAGGTTTTCTATAGGAGAGGAAATTTATTTTACTTTGATAGCAATTATTCAAGTGCTATCAAGGATTATTCTAAAGCAATAGCCAATCATCCAGATTTTTACGAGTGCTATTTCAATAGAGGATTGTGCTATTATCAATTGAAGAGACTCGATAGATGCATTAAGGATTTGGAAACGTATTTGAAACATGTACCAAATGATCCAAATACTCTCAAACTTCTTGGAATTAGTTATTATTACGAATATGTCTTGTATGATTCGAGAAGGGAATTACTTGTAAAATCAGTGGAAGCTCTCACCTCTTACATCAACTATAGAAAACAAAATTCCCTACCTCTCACTAAAGAGGACTATCTCATTAGAGGTTCTTCTCTTCGAGAACTCAAACAATTAGACCTTGCTCAACAAGATTTCCAAGCAGGCTCTAACTCTTCCATCAAATCACTTCTTCCTCCAATCATTATCACTCCAGTTGACTGTTTCACACAAGAACGAGTTGCTCTTGACACCCTTTAATTTATTTTTGTTATTATTAGTAAATATCTCTTTGTAAACTCATATTGTAATACTCACCCAATTATTCAATCAATTTACAGAGTTCAATGTGTTGGTAGGTACCTTACTATGTTGTTCAACCAAAACAAAATGATTTTGATCTCTTTCATGTTTTGCAAAACTTTACAAGTTCATTGTTGTATCTTTGTGTAAGGTACTAAAAAGGTACCGACCAAAAAAATATTTTCATATGTTCATCTCTGTGAAGAAGATTTGTGCCACACAACCAACACACGGAACATCTCTTCTTGTTATGAACTTTTTTTGATCAAAAGCCACTTGCAAGTATTAATGTTTTTTCATTAGAGAAAAAAACAGGAAGACAATAGCCACTAACACAGTTATATATTCTTTTTTAAATTTGTATCATACAACAAAGTACTATTATCATCATCATGAACGTTCTAAATCCAAATACTTATGTACACATTCTTGATAATGATTCGGGTGTTGTCAAGATTGAAATTGGTCCAAAACGTATTGCTTTGAGAGCCAATGAAGCCATCATTAATACACAAAATTTGTCAATCATCAAGGTAAGTGACCACACAACAATACAACATGTTGATCATCATCATTGTATTATCATCGCTGTTGTTAAATAATTACACTGATAATAGGAAGGACAATATGTTATTATTAAAAATCCATATGATTATGAGGAAGAAAGAAACTTGATGGGTGAACGTCGTGTTATTGAAGGACCAAAGGCTTTGGCATTGCATAGAAATGAAGTCATTGAAGCTATTACTGATGTTCATATTTTGAAACCAAACCAAGCTTTGAGATTGAGATGTTTGGTTGATAAGAAGATAGAAATTGATGGAAAGGAAGTTGATTTGAAGGTTTGTATTCTTAGTAATCATTTGAGCAATTTATTTTATTGTTAAATTAGGCCGGTGATGTTTATCAAATTAAAGGACCAGCCAGATTTATTCCAGATAAGGATACTGAAGTTATGAAAACTGTTAATGCCATCATGATCAATGAAAATGAAGGTATTTATGTTCAAGATACTGAAACTTCCGAAAAGAAGTTAGTTAAGGGACCTGCATGTTATATTTTGAAAGCAACTGAAGAATTGTACTATAAGCAATACACTGATATGGAAAAGACTGCTCTTGGATTACCTACTAGCTCGGATTATATGGCTACTGTTATTCGTCTTGAAAAGAAACAAGTAGTTTGTGTTTTGGATGCTGAAAGAAATGAAAGAATTATCAATGGACCAACCTCATACATTCTCTCACCTGAGGAACACGTTAAGTGTCTCTGGTTGTCTGCTGGTAAGCCAAAACAAATCAAACAAATTAAGGCCGCCAAAATTATGAGAGGTCCAGATTTCGTTTCTGATTCTTTCCGTGTCAGTACAAAGGACAATGCTGAACTCAGCATTTTGTTAACTTACAAGTGGGAATTTTTGGTTGATGAATCAGATTCACATGTCATGTTCAGAATGCTTGACTTTATTGGATATATTTGTGCTACCCTCATGTCAAGAGTTAGAGAACTTGCTGCTCTTTTCACATTCGAAGAATTCCACAGCGGAACTGTATCATTAATTCGAAAGCACCTTTTCAATGAATCCAAAGTCAATGTTGGAAACGAAGAAAAGTCCGTTCTTGGTATTTATTTTGATGAAATCAAATTATTAGTCTCTGAAATCGACGTTAAATCAATCTCACCTGTTAATAACCAAATCAATGATCTCTTGAACCAATCTATCAAATCTAATATGCGAATTGTCTGTAACAAGATGGAAACTGAAGCCTCCAGAGAAGCTCAAAAGGAACAACTTAAGGCAGAAGCTGAAATTCAAAAATTACGTGAAGAACTCATCGGTATTGAAAATGAAAACTTGCAAGTTGAAAAGGTTGAAGAAGCCAAGATTGATTCTCAAGTCACTTATGAAACAACCAAAGCTAACATTGAAGTTCAAAATTATATCAAATCAACAGATGCTCAAATTGAATTATCATACATGAAGGGCATGATTGAATTATTATCTACCGAACAAGGAAGAAAATATATGGAACTCAAGAAGGCAGAAATGGCTTCCAACATTCCAGATCAAGTTTGGTATCTCAATAATGAAAAGATCCACTCTTCTCTCTTCCAATAAATACTATATATTATTTGTATCTCACTAATACTTTATTTCTTTTTTCTTCCAAGTTTTAACTTGGCCAAGAATCCAAGTTTGTTTCTAGTTGGTTGTTGATTTTCTGACTTGTTAATTGTTATCTGAACAGTATGATTAGAAGAAAGCATGGTTAAGGCACCAGCTGGAAAAGACTTGGAAAATCTAGCATTGGATTTTCTTCCAATTACCAAACTTGAATCGCTTGCTGCATCATCATTGTGATCTTCACCGATAATGTCATGATTGTCGAGCTTTTTCCACTTTCGAATGGTTTCTTTCATCTTTTCTGAAACTACTGAGACTGCCCATTCTGTCTTGTCACTTCTCCTTGCATTAGAAATCAAATCTGAAACTGTCAATCCTTCAGAATTCTTGTGTGCTTTTGTAAATACAGATAACTGAATTGGCGCATTCGAATGCATCAAAGGAGAAAGAGGAGAATCCAATCCTGAACTAGGTTTAAAATTATTTTCCATCCATATCATTAGCCATTTCATTCCATCGAACAACCACATGAAATCCTCAAGATTTTCAATTGACTTGATAACTGCACCTGCTATAATATGAAGAATACTATTTCCTTGCTTGTCAGTATCGAATACAATAGTTTCCAATAAAGAATTTGAGCTTTTTGCAGATTTAGATCTAGAAATTGGTGAAGAAAATGAACTAGTCAAAGTAGAAGGTGAAAAATCAGAATCTGACGAGCTTGATTCTGAGTTTGATAATAAATTACTAGCACTGACATTCAATCGATCTGGTTGCTGCTGATAATTTGATAAAAATTGACAAATGACTTTCATCGATTCGTGATCATTCAAAGCAACTGATTCCAACAGAATATTTCTACCAAATGAATTCTTCAAAATCAATGCTTTCTCAAATGTATCACTTCCAAACAATGAACTTGCCATATTAAGAAATTCTCTTAAAAAATCCGAATGCATTGAAATGCTCGAATGTGCTCTAGCACTTGACTGGAATTGATTCGACCTGAAATCTTTCAAACATGAAAAGAGGCAATTCTCATCTCTCTGATTCCTCTTCAACAGGACCTTATTACAACGAGGTCCAATGAATTTCAGCAATTTCATATCTCGTTCTCTGCATGCACTGTGAAGAATGGACTCTGATGTGCCGAGTCCCAATCCAACAGTAATATTGAGTTTTGCACCAAAGAGGATTAGTAAATCTGCTAGAGAATAGTCTCTTCTTCGAAGTGCTACCACAATTGGAAGGTTTCCATGAGTGTCTGTGTGATGATTTAACTGTTTGGTTTTAACACTTGGTTGACTTAGTAAAAATACAATTGATTCATGGGAAGGATGTGTTGAATTTTCATCTGAATCAGTATTTGCTTGTTCTGAGCTTGTTTTTGATGTAGAAATTGCATAAAATAAGGGTGTTGACAAATTCTTGTCACATGCCGACCATAATTTCTCTTGTCTGGCATGACATTCTAAGGAATGTTCTCCATGCTTACAGTTATCATCACAGCAACATGTTAACATCCAATTCAGAACGAATACATTGTTATATCGAGCTGCCAAATGTACAAGAGTGCAATTATTTTTGAATTGTAAATGATTTACGACATGCTCGATGATTGATGGACCATCGACTGGATTTGAAGGTGTAGATGGAAAGGAATTTGATGATTCCATTCCTATACGATAGTATTTTCTTAAAATTCTTCCTAATTGTTCAACACTTGCTTGAAGAAATAAATCCGAATCTTCATTCGAAAGTGCTGTAAAGTGTGTAAACAGTTGTAGTTTATCATACCACATTTTGTTAGTAGACGCGACCGATAATGGATTCTTAGCTTCCAAACACACAACTTCATCCTCTAGCTCCATTTCGTCTGTTGAGATCAGTTTCGTTAGCTTTAGTTAGAATTTTTTGTAACAATTTAAAGAGGAACATTAACAATCACCTTCTCACTGAAAGTATCCCAACTCGCACCACTGTCAAACTTCTTTCTTGGTGTGAAAATCATGTTTTTCCTTACTAGGATCGCAAACTCCAAATTAGGCCTAAAAACTTTCTTTGGTTCAACTTTACAATAAACAATTGAGGTATTAAAAAGTACTTTGATAATACATGTGAAGAAGTTGGGTTGTATAGGATTGGGATTTGGTAAAGTAATGTCTTTAATCGAGCTAGAAATGAGTTTAGAATAGATTTATGTAATGTTAATGATATTAGTTTGGATGATTGTTGTCATTTGAACATGATGATAATCAATAAACATATATTTAAAATAAGTAACATCATTACATGGATGGTTGTCCTTTTTGAATGCCTTATTTGGCCTCAAGTTTCTTCTTTCGAAATAGAAAATTGTTATTGTAAGAAGAAATATTAATTGAAAAACAATCCAAACACAACTTTATCAAGTGCCAACACATAATCAATGAGAATATTGAAATAATATGTTTCCCTTTCGAACAATGGTCAAGACCCATTATTTCACAGAATATTTATCAATGCATTGATAATCCAATTTGGCTAGGAGCAAATTTACAAATTTTATCGTGTTGCTTATTCGATCCCTACCACAAACTTTTCTTGTTTTCCTACTAAAGAATACAAAGGTCCAATGAGAAAATGGTAAATTTTCAATCAGATTTTTAAAAATCTTTAGCACATTTTCCTTAGATACAAACGAACCATTAGATGATACGCTGATTTAAATCAAAAGAAAGCACTGCTATTGCACTTTTTCCCAAATAGGAAATTGAGCGCTAACCAATCAAAAATTTCAATTTAATGAAAATTTCATCAAAAGCTAAAAATGCAAAAAAAATTCAAAAAAAAATGTTAGAACAATTACAACTCGACAATTTACCAAATTTACCTCCGTGGGCTGTCTACTCCTCAATAGCAGTAGCTTCAATCGGGATACCCTACCTTCTCGTCACCCTCAATGAAAAATCAATCTTGAAAAAGATTAAAATTGTCAAGCAACAAGCCTCTGATGATTCCGATGATGTTCTTCCTCATGATCAACAGCATCCACAATATTCAAAGAAGAGTTATAAACCTCCAGTGCCAATTCCAGTGAATCAATTGCAACATTTTAATACTTTTTATTGTTTGTGGGTGAATTTGTTCAAGCAAAATCATGGAACGGTGCAATCGTATGAGAGGGCTATTAGATCTGATAATTTCAGACCACATTTTGGATTTATTGGGAATATTCCAGTGATGATGGTGAGTACGCCATCTGCTGCAAAAACAATCTTTTTAAAGTGGAAGGATGTGGAGAAGGATGATTCATTGATATTCTCTGAGGATATGCAAAAGTTTTTTGGTGTGAATGTTGTGTTTGCAAATGGAGATGTCTGGAGAAAGCATAGAACAATTATTAATCCTGCCTTCTTTAAGATTGAGAGATTTACTGATTGTTTTGTGAGAAATTCTCAAAAGGCAGTTGATTTATTGAAAGAATTATCTGGTGGAAAGAGTCAATTTGAAATTTCACCATCTGATTTGACTACTAGAATGGCTCTTGATGTTTTGGGTTTATGCATGTTGGGAGTTGATTTTGACTATCTCAATCAAATAATACCAAATCGTGGAAATAAGGATTCGGAAAAGAATTTGAAAGCCCTTGCAGCCTATCACTATGTGATGAATAATATGGGAAATGCAGCTAGACTCTTCTTGGGAAAGGCCTTTACCAAGTTGCCATTAGAACAAAATAGAAAGATGGACATGTCCATTGAGGAATTTAACAAGTTCATTGGTGAAATGATTGAAGATTGTAGAAAATCTAAAGATCCTGCCATGGAAGATACCCTTTTGAAAATGATGGTAGACTCTGTGGATGAAGAAGGGAATGGACTCAGCAATGAAGATATCAAGAACAACACCGCTGTGTTTTTCCTTGCGGGACACGAAACTACGGCAGTGGCTTTAGGTAAGTTGTTATAGAATTTTCTATTGTTCATCATCTTATTGAACTATTTCAGCTTTCCTCTTTTATTCACTAGCCAAACATCCACACGTTCAAGAAAAATTACTTAATGAAATTAATGAAACATTTGGAAGTAATGAAGATTTATCAAACTATGAAAAGATTCAAAGTATGAAATATTTGGATTGTGTCATTAAGGAAAATTTGAGAATTTATCCACCAATTCCACAACTTCCACCTCGTCGTTTGGCCACTCCACAAGTCATTGATGGATACAAGATTCCAAAAGGTTTCCTTCTCATTCTCAATATTTATGCACTTCATAGAAATAGAGATGCCTGGGGTCAAGATGCAGAAGAATTCAAACCAGAAAGATTCATGCAGTCAATTGTTCCAAATTCTTTTGTTCCTTTCGGAAATGGACCAAGAATTTGTTCAGGAATCGACTTTTCCAAACTCGAACAAAAAGCATTCATCATTTCCATTCTCCAAAAGTTTAGAATTGACCTAGCTCATCCAAATCAAGAAATGCAATTCAACAAACATTTGCCAAACCTTGCTCCAGTTGAAGGTTTTAAATTGAAATTATCCCTCAGATAAATCCTTTTGGATCACACATTCCACCACCAAAAAATCAATTTTGATTGGATAAACATTGCGTTTTTCAACAATATTTTACAATCAATATCTCTTCAAAGGATTGATGGAAAAATTCCAGCAACACGAAAAAAAAACGCGACAAGCCTTCGCTGATTTTTTCAGATTCTCTGTGAACCATTCATTTGCTTGTTTCAATTGCAGGATTTCAGAAAAGCGCGGGAAAATCATCTTCATCAATTTTGAAATTTATTATTATTGGAGAATGTTTCGGGTGGCTTTTACAGGACCTACTTTTAGAGTGAATGGGTATGATATGTTGAGGAATAATGCAGGTGGACCACCGTAAGTATTTTGTTTGATATTTAAAGTTGATCATCATCACGTGATGGTTAAGCAGAAATTTGATGGGACAAACATCCAGTGGTGGTGGTGAAGGATATTCTGGGACTAAAAAGTCATCTCCTCGGCTCATACTTCAAAAAACCTTTGGAAATATTGTTGTTCAAGCAATTTTGAGTATTATTTGCATGCTCATTGTAATCTCTCAAATTATTTGTGAATTGTTTGTTTATCCTGGAGCTGATTTGTTTGGAAAGATATTTCCAAGAGCTTTTATTTATCCAATCCTGTTGACCTTGTTGATTTTCTATATTATTGGGATTTATGCTTCTCCTACTTATCACTATTTGATTAATTTTCAAATGAATAATAGAGTATTGGAAATTGTGGAAGAAACTAAAAAGGAGAAACCAGAAATTGTGCTTACTGTTGAATGTTTTCACTATGAAACAAGAACTCATACCACCAGAGATGCCAACGGACATACAAGAACTCATACTACTACAGTGAGAGTGGTGACTCACACTGAATCGAGAACTTTACCTTTTGAATTTCACAGAGATTTTTCACCTCAATTTTCGTATGTTTCTTTACTTTTCAGTGTTGAATCAAGTTTAAAAATTTTTACTGAACTATAGATTCAAAAATACCAACAAGATTTTCATCAAATTAGACATGACCCAACAAGTGTTTGTGAATGATGGCGAATCGAAAAAGATTTTGGATCAGGAGAGAATTGCCATCTATATTGCAAATAGAGGACGTGATACACATATGGATTATTTCGAAAATTGGGGTACTCCAAACTTCCAAGGTCAATACCTGACTTGTAATCCAAATCTGAGAACACCTAGAATTGCCACACCTTTTTGGTATTTGACATTTTGCTTGTTTTTCGTTGGGTGGATTTATACAATTTGGTTCAATAAGAGATGTGACGCACAGGACTATACATTCATCAAACAATTGTCATATCAGCCATTCAATGATGGGCAAACTGATAACAATACGGATCCAACTATGTATCTCAATAGTGGTTATGGATTCAGTTCAAGTGGATCTAATGCTTTCAGGAGGACTTTTAACACTACGGAGCAACAATTGGACATGCCAGCCAATATGTTTACTCAACCAGTTCAACCAAACATTTACGGTCAACAACCAATGGTACAACCAGGACAGGTTCCACCACAATACGGACAACAACCAGGTCAAAATCAATTCGTGCCAATTCAACAAACTCAACCATACTATCAACCAAATATGTACCAACAACCACAAATAGGATTCGTAAACCAACCAGGAATTGCTTACAATCCAAACTTTGTCCAACAAGAACAATCAAGACAACCATTCCAAAATGATCCTGAACCAGTTCAATATTATCAATCATCAGGTTATATTCCACCAAAAATTTAATAATTAAAACTTGTGGTATCTTTCTGCTTCTTCCTTTCACGTTTTTCTTATGTTATTCAGAGGTGATTTCTTACCAGTCTTTTCTCATTGAATCAAAGATCTTTTAAGACAATTCAGACCTTCTTCATATGGTGCACCATATCGTTTAACAGAGGCAGTTAGTTCGATCTTGGAATATTTTTAAGAAAATGAAATAGTTTAATCTTTGATTATTTTCTAAATGGTTTTAAGGTGAACCCTTAAAAATTGAAAGTTGGGTAGGTTATATATCATTTCTCATGTGATAGAAAAATAAAAACTCAAACATATCAGATAAAGTCAAAACTTCATCTCGAGTGCCGGGAATTGAACCCGGGTCGCCAGAGTGACAGTCTGGAATGCTACCACTATACCACACCCGATTACATTCAACATAAAAAATTCCCCAAATCTGCTTACTTTTTTCTTTCTGGTATTGTGTTTTTTTCTAAAAACGTGAATTCATTTAGTGCACTATGCTGTCTCAAATTTTGCTCTTCCATTTGATCAACTCTAACCCATGTTTCATATTTGGAATATCATGTGCTTAAATCTCAATTTTTCAAGATGACTCTTCGCATCTTGTCTCAATTAATTCAAAATAATTTCTGTTCCTTTTTTGGGGAATTTTAAAAATCAAAAAAAAAATGTTTGCAACAGGAAATACATCATCATCGACGAAAAACAAAGTCATTGTGAATAGTGATGAAGATTTAGAAGATGAAAGTGATGAAGAAGAATTATTTGATCATGGGGCAACAACAGACAATGTTGATCTTCAAAATTCAACCTCCTCCGATCAACCTCTTGTGGAAGTACTTCAAACCTATTCTCCAATTGCCTGTAGAGAATGTAGAAAGGGACATAGAAAGGTTTGTTTACTATGCTTTTTATCATTGTTTTTTTGATCATCTTTGTAAAATTAATTATTGGATGGATTAATTTCTTTATTTACCACATCTGCTACTAGTGTGATAAAGCATTGCCAATTTGTTCTAATTGTCGTAGGAAAGACAAAGTTTGTGTTTATCCACAGGCTAAACGTAATAGAAAAGCAAAATCACCAACCAAGACTTTGGTGCCACTCTCTAACGCTCCTTCAACTGCAACAAACGAAGGAGATAGCATTGTGGAAAAAACTGAAAAAAGTCACAAAAAGGAGAACAAGAAGGAAAAACATGGTGTAAAACATGTACATGATGAGGAAATATCTAAAAGTGAGGAGGAAGATGGAGCTGAGCCAGTGATTGTTTCTGGTGTTCCAACTTTACATCCACATCGGGATGAACATCAACCTGCACACAAAAGGATTGAATTATTACAACAAATAGACAAGTCACCATTTGATGATCCAAAATATGAAACCTATGAGAATATTTTGAGTATGTTTGTGGAGCAAGTTCTACCACAAATTCAACCTTCATCAATTGCAAAACGGAAATTGGAGCTCGTTAGAGATTTATGCTTGTATGATTCATTAGTATCTTTCCACTTTATGACAAACGAATTAGGAACAGTGGATGACGAACCAACAAGTGAAAATATTTTGAAAACATACATCATCTCCATTCTGTACCGTCTTTGTGAGGAAACTCATGAACCTAATCATAATAATATTACTGAACAGCACAAAAATCATCACGATCAACATTACTATCATCACAAAAAACCTAGCTCTCTTCACATTTCAACAAATTTGCCATCATCCCTTGATTTCTCTATAGATTTGACACCTCTTTCTTTATCAACTCCAACCCCAGAACTTGCTCATCTTATAGGACACGACTCTTCAAATTTTCATCACATTGCCATAAGATCCAAAGAGCAAAAACTCTCAGATATCGATCATGTTGACTATTCACTCTTTCTATGTATCCAGTCTTTAGCATTTGATAGAGTAGGCCTCCCTCAAGTCTCGGAATTTCTCCTCAATAAGGCAAAGTCATATCTGGAACCTTTCTATTTACATTTAAAAGCTAAAAAGCATGTTAAATCCCACGATCACGAAACGTTAATACGAGTATTAATATGTTTTTCCTACATTTCACTTCTAGTTGCTAATAGACATCCAGAGGAAGCATCCAAGTACATAACTAAGGTATCATCGTATTTGGAATCAAGAGTAGCCAAACATGATACAACCACTAGTAGTATTCACTCACAACATGGATGGAAAGAATATAGGAATACTATCAAAGACTTGGATATTGAAGATCATTTACTTCATCTATTACTCTCTCATGTTCAAGTTATACTCTTCTCGAAAAAGATTAAGAACAAGTTAACATCATCCCAAGTTCAAGAATTTCTCGTCTGCTTGAATGAATTACACTCATCTACAATAGTTTCTCAATTTAATACTCTCTCAAAACTTCAAAATTTAAAAGAATCGGCAACAACTACCGAATTTTTAATCAAAACTTTGAAACAAAAGAAGAATAACGAGAGATTATTACCTCCATCCCCACAAGCAGATGAGCTTCTTTATGAATACTCTTACCTTCACATTCATGAAGAAGATGAACAAAGAATAAGAGAAATTGAAAATGAAACTTCATTCTGGGTTGAGAACTACCTGACCATACCTTGCAAATCGGTTCGTGCCCATCCAAGTGCAAGTATATCTTGCTCTAACACTCAGAAAGGAATCTCCTTCGATGAATGTTTAGAAAGAATGAAACTTTCCAAAGAGTTCCTCAATTATGGAAATCAAGTACTCAAAAATTTTATCCCTCCACTCTCTGCTAATATTTCTCTCTTGACCTCCCAGATGATTGCTGACACTATCAGTATTATTGTATCAAAGTTATCCATTGTTGGAGATGATATGTGTTCCTCAAAAACGAGTGAAAATTATTCTACACTTCCAAACATTAACACACCAACCTCAATATTAGCATCTTATTCTGTCATTGAAGCAACAAGAAATGATGCTTTCTATTTCAGTGGTCCAGTGGTCCTTCCGTGCATTGTTAAAGCTGTAGAAATTCAGCTCGAAGAATTGGAAACTTTACAATCAACTGCCCTAATGACTGGAGTTTTTGGATTGTATGGCTCTCAAGAATCTTTATTTGGTTCTTCTGTAGATGATTTATCTGTTCTAGGACTTTCAGAAGTTCCAAACCATACCATCCACAGAATTAGACAATACCTTAAATGGGGATTGGAAGCAATTGTAGTTTGTGAACAATTGAATGGTGTGATTGATGTATTCGATTTGAAGGAAAATGTGAGAAAGATTGTTGCTGAGGAAGAATTCAACCAACGTTGTCCAAAGGACTACTTTTCCATACCAAGCTATTACTTGAATACTCGAACTGATAATTCATCAACAAATATGCAAGATCCAATTACTCCTTCAGTTGAAATGACAGAGAGTGAATCATCATTTCCTCCCCTCTCCTCAACTGTAACAAATAATGACAACCCAGTACAATATCCCATTATTTCCCAACCAAATAATATATCCAATCAATCTGAAGTTTACGAAGTCAACCCACAGGAAAACAATGAGCTTTAAAATTCTGTAAATTATTTGAATTGTAAAAATAAACTTCTTTTTCAATCTTAAAAAAATTAACTACACCTCTGCTTCCCAACCACAACGTCAGAGAAGAAAATTAAATTTCGGAACGATTTTGTAGAAAGCCATTCTCAAAGCCTTTGGATGTGTTACAACTCTTGGAAGTAACAAGCTAAATAGAAGACAACTTTTGTGATCAACCTCATCAACATCATCATTATCAAGTATTATCTCGAGAACAATGTCAAAGAGAAGTCTATATGATTTCATAAGCAAATATGATTATTGTGAAGGTGAACTCGCTGAACGAATTAGTGATTGCGAAGAGGATCATGATAATAGTACTGCTAGTAAAAAGGCTAAAACATCCAATGAATTGTTATCAACAACAGAATCATCACAGCAGAACATCAATTACACATCCGAAATGTTAAAGTTTACCAATGCAAATGATGATCAACATCACAATAATAACGGATCAACATCATCAAGCAATAATACTGACAGGATTAATGGTAATAATCGCTACAAGCGACCTCTCTCTCCAAGCATATTTGGCCCAGAAGATCGTGATCATGATTGGCATACTCCTTTCGTCTCAGTAGAACATACTTTTGCATATAATAATCAGGATGATTTCGATGAACAATACGCAAGAGCCCTTCAAAACTCTCTCAATGATGGTGATAGTGTTATGTGCACAAATTATGATTTAAACTCTGATGTACCACGAGCCTTCCAAGCTGAAGTTCATCAACCAACAATCACTTTGGAAGAATTTTCAGCCCAGCTTGCTTCTCAAATTACACCTTCTTCATCCCACACCATGCGCGATGACTATCCAACTGGTTTATCGACCAAACTCTATCCCGAAGGTTACTCGACCCTTCTCTATCCCAAAAGTGAAACCAAGAACTCGAATGATTATTCATCAAGTTGTTTTGGTGATGAAGAACATGAGAAGAAGAAAAATAATTTTAAAAATAATTCCAACAAAAAGAATAACCTCCACGCAGCTAAAGAGACTCGTAGAGAAGAAGAACAACGACCACTAACAGAGCAGCAGCAAGATATAACAAATAGTCGCGACTCGAATAGTACTGACTGGCTTGATAGAAGCAATTCGACACCAATTGTTAACGATTCAAGGAAACAAAAGAGATCCATCTCTATCGAAGAAGAAGACATTGTTGATTTATCAGATCAATCATCTAATAATAATAATATTACTGCTTTTGATCAGCAACAAGTACAACAAAAAACATCATCAGAAAATAATTTATTGAACACAATGCCAATCCAAAGTGCAACTGAAGGAAGTGAATCATCCGATCATCCAACACTTACTTCCCAAAATTCCAAAAGACTCCAACAAGTTCCAGGTGTAAATTCTGCACCAACAACAACTAGTGAACCAACCTCCCCTACCAACACTGGTAATTCTGTTGCATCAGTAGCAGAACAAAACACTTCCTCTCATGTAAATACCAAAACAACAAGACTCTTTTCTGAAGAGATTGCCTTTAGACACTTGATTTGCATCAACCCAAAGAATGTTGGTGAGGTATCTAGTTATCAAATAGCACTGACTTTCGATGAAAATAGTTCCTACACAAGTAAGACAGAACCACCATCAAAGCAATGCCTATTCAAGGTTGGAGCCAAATATGACCTCAAGAGATTGATTGAATTAATTTCCGATCATTCCACCATGCCTATCACAACAGTCTGTTTCAAAAAGACACTCGGAGAAAGACAAAAAATTATTCCACTTTCAACAAAACTTTCAATCTTTGAAAAAATTACTCTCCAAAAACCAGTAACCCTCTTCATTAATGGTAATGAATTTGTTGAATTGGACTATGGCCATATGTACACAGAAGCTGGTAATGACCTTTTCAGAGAAAAGAAATTCGAGGAAGCTCGCGAATGCTACAATACTGCAACCAAACGTTATCCAAATGATTCAAGAGTGTTATCAAATAGAGCTCTTTGTTTAATCAAACTTGGTAATTTTTATCAAGCTTTTAATGATTTGTCAACTGTCATTGCAGACAAGAACGAATCAACATTACTCGATAAGGTATTACATAGAAGAGCTCATGCTGCCTCTGAGCTTGTAAAGAATTTGACACCTAATGACGAAATGACCAACTTTATCAACTCTCTTGTTGCAAATACCATTGTTAAGGATGAATCATTGGAAGTCAAATTACATTACCTCTGTTTGAAGGATATGCAAAGCTATTTCCAAAAGGTTGGTATTCTTGGTGATTACGCAACAGTCATCAGAAAGAAGGAGGTCGAATTGAATGATGTGAAATTAATCAGGTCATTCCACTACTTGTTACATAATGCTCCTAAAGTGCTTAATTACTGTCTTATAACAAAGCGTGAGTTGACAGATCTCAAGCAAACAACAGTCTTCCCATCATCTATCTATAGCCCAGAAAATAAGGATTCATCTTTAATTCATACACCTATGCCTTTCTGCTCACGTGAATGGTATGATTCAGAAATGGCCAGATATGAAGAGTTATTTAGTGTAAAATTGTGGAAACCATTCTATGATAATAATGAAAATATTCATGGAAAGCAAATGTCATCACAAGAACTTTACAAGTTTATTATTTTCACTACCTTCAAGTATCTGTTGTCAAAGCCTGATTTTGGTACTTTACTTTCTAGTGATATCAATTTTAAGATTTTCACCAAGATACTCATTTATCTTGCTTTTAGTGCAGGAACTCCACCAAAAGTTTATCTCTACATTAATAATAAGAGTGATGAAACTAAGATATCAATGCGAGAATATATTCACCAAAATGTTATTGAGTATGTCCATATCCAAGTAAGAGATTTCCATTTCATTGTAGAATTCAAACAACCAGCTTCATCAAGCTTTAGTGCAACTGATAGTAGCTATGGCGCAAAAGAAAATCGTGTTAAACATGGCTCTGAAAACTTCTCAATTAGAGTTGGAGACAATCTTCCTTCTGAAATTTTAGAATAAAAATAATCATGTTTATATTGACATATTTGAAATGTTAAAATCTCGTGAAATATCATCCAAAGAGCTACACTCAAACTCTTGTTCTGAACCGATCGAAACAGTGTTCAGCGAGGTATCCATTGAAATGCTTGCTGAAGTTTCGTTCATATTATCAACAAGGTAAGAAGTATTTGGAGTAAACTCATTCAATAAACTACATTCCTCATCGTCACTTGAAAGTTGTTCTTCATCCTCTTCATCACTCGAGTAGCTGCCAATGTTATATTTTACAGATATTTCCAATTCAGATGTCATTGATGAAAGGCTTACATTATCATCCAATTCTTCATCCAAATTGTCCTCTTCCGTGGACGAGTCTGATTTGTATTTAGACTTTTCAAAGTAATTCAGAACAGAATCAAAGCATTTTTGCACAGACTTTGAGGTTGCTATCGCTGTTGACACTGTTGATGGCAACCCAGTGTAAACATCATCAAAGTCAATGGAGTATGGAGTAGAATTATCTTCACAATCAGAAGAGGTTTGCAAGGTGATTTGTGAGCTTTCAGATTTCTTTGGAGAGGTGTGTCTGCTGGAGCTTTCCAATCGCTTCTTAACACTTGATTTTTCTGGACTAGAAAGCAGGGCAATGTACTTATCCAGCCACTCTGCCTTTTTCTTTGTATCTTCCATTCTTTTCATTGTCTTTTTAAATTTCTTGTCAGGTTTGTTGATTATGGAGGGAGAGGTTGTTGTTGATTTGGTCTTGTCTGATATTATGAAGGATGAAGTTGAGGTAGTATTTTGAGAGACACTCTTCCTTGGTTCAATATTTAGAGACTTCTTTTTCTTCTTTGAGTTCACCTTTTTCTTATTATTGGAGGTCATATTTGTGACAATCTTATTAAAAACTTCTGACTTTTTAGGTGGCGTAAAACCAGGTACACCTTTTGGTGTATCTTGCTTTTTGGCAGGACTGTTAACAGGTAGACCGTCAATAACTCTATTGTTGGTGCTAGGAGGACCATTTGTTATGGAGAGTACTCTATTGGATGTTGAACTGCCACTACTATTAGAGGATTTGGATGAAGTTGTTGAGGTTGTTGAGAGAGTCGTAGAATTATTGGATACTTTCTTTTTAGTTGGCTTAGATTTTGTTTTCTTTTGCTCAGATGAATTTTGAAGATAAATATTTGCTTCTTCATTACCATTTGATTGATTGTTTGATTGTTGATTGACTGATTGTTTGTCTGACTTTTTAGTTCTTGTAGAATCAGATGTATTATTCGATTGTATTGCATTTCTAGAATAATCGTTTTCATTTTCCTTATTATTTTCATCGATTGCTGTCTGTGTCTCCACTGAGCTAGTTTCCTTTCTTGTGAGCTTTTCCACAATATTTTTAAATTCTGAAGTTTCCATACATATTCTACTTTTTCTATCTTCCTTTTTGGTTTGATTTTTGGCATATTCTGCACATCTTTGTCTAATCATATCATACATGTCCTTCTTTTCATCATCGTCTTCATTATAATGTAAATAGTATTCCCAAGGAGTAGAATCAGAATACATTCTACCCATTCTAACTCTTTGAAAGAAATTATTTGGCTCATCTGGATTTTGATTATACCTTGAGGCTGGATCGTATCTGGTATTTAGTGTCACACTTTTGACTGAGATGGGGTTGTTACTTAGATAGATCGTATTTGTATTATAAGGCTGCATCTTACTTGGATTCTTAGGGTATGTGTTAGGTTGTGATTGCCTAGAGTTTGTTTCAATCTTTGGTTGATTCATATAATAATCCACAGATGGAGTTTGATGTGAATGAGCTGATTTATACATTGGTAATGAAGGATCTTGTGGATTCTCCTTGTAGCCAACTAATTTCTGCATCATTGACTTTGTGTCTGGAGAATATGGTCTATATTGCTTTCCATCATTACTTGGATAATAACCTTCCATTGGTTCTCTTGTTGATGAGTCTGGCCTTAGTTGTCGTTCTTGTTTGGTTAAGGCCCATTTATCTGTTGTAAGAGTTTGAGTACATAAATGACAGTTCTTGCAACATTCTGCATCCTTCTCGGCTCTTCTCTTCCACCCCAAAGATGTGCTATAGTGACTATTGTCGATTTTTTCTCGGAAGCCACTCATCTTGTCATCAAATGTATAACTCTTTCTAAGGACAGCATCATCGGAACGTGGAGGAATATTTTCTCTTGTTGGGAAGGGAGTAAATGTTGCTCCATAAACTCTCTCGGAAGAAGATGTTTGTTTTTGAGTTGTTGGCACAACATTGGATGATCCTAGACATTCCCTATTCATAGAGTCCCTTAAACTAAATGTTGGCCTCCCAACATTTGACCTCGAAGTATATTCACGATTAAAGAGGAGATTGTTGCTGCTACTATCAAGTGTCTCATTCATAGTTCATGTATTTTTTTGTGATTGAATTTTTTGATTTTGGCGCCAAATATTTGTAGACTTTTGGAGGGAAAATGAAGTTTCTTTTGTCTAAAAGGAGCTTTGTCAAATGGCCTTAATATTCTTTACAATAATGTAAAGGTAGTTTAGAGGTCATAACATTCCATTCATATGATCACTGGGGAATGGAAAAATGTCCTTACTCGTGATTCTAGTGAGACGAAACTTGCAAAAAAGGTCAGTAAAACTACGTTGATACAATAATAAATGGAAGCATAATAGTAACAACAATTAATTTAGATTTTGATAAAATTAAAGCTAGTTCCAAGTTCCTTGCTCTTATTATTAAAATATTATTATAATAATATTTTAGTGAACTATCGAATACTGTTGTTTTAAAACTCAAAAAATGCCAAAAAGACACTTTAGAACAGGAAAGGTCAGATACCACACAACTCCAAAAGTTGAAAAAATCAACACTGAACACAAATACAAGGGAGGAAAGCACAAATTTCTAATCACCAATGAACAATCCAAAGTGTCACAATTTGATAATTACAATAATGCTGATCGATATCAAAGATTGGAGCTAATTTCTGCTCTTAAATACGAAACCCTACTAAAGAATCAAATGAAGGATATTAGAAAGAGAAACTCAACGGATACGAATCATAAGAAATGGCATAGAAATCATCCAAAAGATGGATTTTATAATTCTAGACAAGTTTTTGATTAGTAATTAAGAACAATTCCATCGAAATTGACTCATTAATTATTTAACATTGGTGGAATTTGGCAGAACAATATATTACAACGGTGCATATTCTAATTTGATTATATATTTAACAGAAACTATTAATTTTATTATTAAAAAAATGAATAAACTGCAAGTCTACTTTCCTGATGACATTCTAGAGGAAATATTTTCTTTCCTTCACGAAGATTTAACATTTGTAAACATGTCCATAGTACTCAATTGTGTATTGGTTTCGAAACAGTGGTTCAAGGTCATATCGGAAAGATCAAAACTTTCACTATCCATTAAAAGTTACCAGAAAATACAAGGCCAATTATTGGAACGTGTTACAACTCTACAAGTAGAGCAAAGTGATCCTCTTTTTGATTGTAAAAAACTTGGTTTGCTGAAACAATTAACTCAATTGGATATTGATGGAAATAATATCGATGAGGAGGGAGCTAAATACATAAGTGAAATGCAGTATTTGGCTATTCTCAATATGTTGGGTAATAATATTGGAAATGAAGGAGTAAAATATATTAGTGGAATGAAACAATTGACTCATCTTAATGTTAGTGAAAATAATATTGGATTGGATGGGGTAAAGTACATTGTTGAAATGAAGCAATTGACCCATCTTAATATTGGGCAAAATAGTATTGGAGATGAGGGAGCCAAACTCATAGGAGAAATGACACAATTGTTAGATCTTTGTATCTTTTATTGTGGTATTAGCTCAGAAGGTATCAAACACATTTCCAAACTGGATAAATTGACTGATCTTAATATCAGTAGTAATATGCTATATGATGATAGTACCAAATATATTAGTGGTATGAATCAATTAACCTATCTACGAATTCATGACAATAATATAGGAGATGAGGGGGCCAAATTCTTAGGAAAAATGAAACAATTGACTGGTATTAACATTTGGAGGAATGAATTAACAGCAGAAGGAGTCAAATTCTTAACTGGCCTTGATAAACTAACTGAAATCGATATCAGTAGCAATAATATTGGTGACAATGGAGCAAAATACATTTCTGAGATGAAACAATTAACTAATCTTGATGTTAGTGACAATAATATTGGAGAGGAAGGAGCCAAATACATTGGTAATATGAAACAATTAACAATTCTCACTTTATGGAAAAATAATATTAGGGGAGAGGGAGCCAAATATATATCCAAACTCGAGAAATTAACTGAGCTCGATATAAGTGAAAATCACATTGATGAGAAAGGAGCCAAATACATAAGTGAAATGTCACAATTAAACGCACTTGATATTAGTGTTAATATTATTGGCAACCAAGGAGCCAAATATATCAAAGAAATGAAACAATTAACGGATCTTCTAATTTGGGATAATAATATTATTGAACAAGAGGAGCATCCAAAGGAAATCAAAGAAGTATCCACTACTCCATTAGCCGAAACTAATACCAAGTTGTCAACACCTTCTCTTGATAATACAAAAGGATTGAGAAAATTAATTGGATTAGCTTTCATCTTGCTGTCATTCACCACACTCCTATATATCTCAATTAAATAGATGATTCATACTTTTTTAACAGTGTTTCCTTCAACCATAGCATGTATCCAAAGGTAACCTCTCAAAATTATCGGAATATCCAATCATATTGGCCAACGCTTCGTCACTTCCTTTTCGTTGAACCCCTCAACAGTTCTGGTAACAATGAGTTCAGAGATCTTGCAAGAAAATTGTTAAAAAGCTGCTAGCTTAATTTTTTAAACAAAAATCATCAGAAAAAAATGGTTAGATATGATCTCGAGCAATTGCTTGACAATGAACTTGAAAGTGCATCATTGGGTGGTGCATTAAAGTTGAGTGTTAGAGAGCCTACTGCAGAGGATACAACCCGATCATTGATCATGATGGAAGGAAAGAGTTGTAGCAATGAATCAAGTAGCAATTTATCGGCAACCATTGAGGGTTTGTCAGAGGAGGAAACTCAGAGATTACTGAGTAGACTTCCGAATGTAAAATCAGAAGGTGGTGATCAAAAGGATTTCTTCATGAGGTTTGTGTTTTTAAATTTTGTGTGACGATTAACATCATGATAATAATAATCGGAAAATTCTATCTAATTATTGTTCTCATTAGAGAAAAATCATTGAAGGCACCAATTACTGCCGAGATTAATAGTGTTCCATTTCCACCTGAAATAAGTTTGGAAAAACCAAAGGAATTGATTGAAGAGGAGGCAAAGTTGTTAGGATCTGATTTGAGTGTGCTTCGTTATTCACCAGAAGGTGTTTTGGATAGATCAGTTCCATCTGTGACTATTACCTTCTCTCAACCAATGGTTCCTGTGAGTGGTGTTGCAGAAGTAGAAAGTCATAATATTCCAGTAGAAATTTCACCACTCCCAAAGAAGGGAGGAAAATTCAAGTGGTTGGGAACAAAAACTTTAATTTATGAAGCTAATTACAGATTTGACATGTCTACCAAGTATACAGTTACTGTCAAGAAGGGTACCAAATCAGAAATTGGAGGAACTTTGAAGGAAGATTTGACATTTAGTTTTGAAACTCCAAGATTATATGTAAAGCAATTTTTCCCAAACCAACAAGCTCATCCTCTCAACGAAGTACCAATTTACTATTGTGAGTTTGATCAAGAAATTAATCCAAGTGAAGTGATCAAATTTATTACTATCGATAATCAAAGTGCCAATTTGATTCATGATGGAAAGTCTTCGAATCCTCTCGTTGAGGAGCACATTGTTAAAGTTTTGAAAGATTATGAATTGGAGAAGAGAGATAGGAGCATTCATTCGTTTTACGAACAAAAACTCAAACATGCTCCAGATGGAAGACATTTGTGGTTTACCACTAGTCACAAACTTGGTCTCTCCTCTCAAGTAGTTGTCAAGAGTGGAGTTACTGGGTCAGAAGGTCCATTACCAACACAAAAGGATGTAAGCAATCAAGTCAAGAATTATCCAGCTTTCAAGTTTGAAAGAAAACACGGTGGTGAGCTACCAATGCAGGCTTTTGGATTGAATTTTACAACAAATATTGATTTGGAAAAATTAACAGAAAGTATGGTAACTGTTTCACCACCAGTAGAAAGAATGGAATTAAATCCATACGGATGCACTATCAGTGTTTCTGGTAAAATCAAAGGAAGAACTACTTATAAGGTTTTCTTGAAGAATTTGGTTGATGTTTGGGGTCAAATCCTTCCAGACACCACTGTAGAATTTACTGTTAAAAGTGCACGTCAATCACTCCAAGCATTCAAGACTGGTGTGATTGTTTTAGATCCAACTTTGAATCCAACTCCAACCTACCCAATTGTTACTGTAAATTTGGATTCTGTACATTTGAGTGTTTATCAAGTCCAACCAAATATGTATTCTTCATCTATTCTTCATCATAACACCTATTCAACTATTCAATATCCTGGTAAATTGGTTTGTGATAGTGTCATTTCAACAAAGGGAGAAATTGACGAACCAGTGGAGACTGAAATCAATCTTCATTCCTATCTTCAGTATCCATCTGAAAATATTGGTCAATTGCTTGTTATTGTTGAGCCAGAAAAAAGTAGCTGGAAGGGTGAGTGGAATCAAAGACCTGGTTTCACATCTTGGATTCAAGCAACCAAAATTTCTGTTGATTGTGTTTTTGACACAAGTTCATCAAGTGTATACTATTGGGTTAACTCATTGTTGGATGGAAGTATTATTAAGGATAATGTAACCTTCAAATTCAACAATCATTCCCCAAATACACCTAACTCATCAACTGGTATTGGTTGTATACGTAATATTGGTCATGAACAACAATATGGAGCATATGTGAAGGCTATTGCCACTCAAGGTCAAGATACATGCTTCATTCCAGATATTTATCACTATTACAATCCATATCAACCACAAACTGTTGCTTGCATGTTCAACGATAGAGGACTTTACAAGCCTAATGAAACAGTTTCCATCAAGGGTTATGTAAGAAACTTCAATTTGATTGACAATGTTGAAAAGATTGAAATACCAAAAACTAGTTCTACTTTCACAGTCTTGGATGCGAGAGGTCAAAAGTATCATTCTGGTAATGTAACTCTGAGTGAAGATGGTACTTTTGATATTCAATTCAAAGTTCCTGATAATGCCAACTTGGGAAGTCACTCCATCTCATTAGATGGGTTCTCTGCCTTCCATCAATTCCAAGTTCAAGAATTTAGAACACCAGAGTTCAAATCTAAATCTTCAGTACCTGCTGGAAACTACATTGTTGGTGGTTCTGCTCTTTGTACCACTAATGCTACTTACTATAGTGGAGGAGGAATCTCAGGAGCTAAATGCTCTTATTCTATCAAACAAACCAGTAGTAGTTATGTTCCTCCAAACCAATCCTCATACAATTTTGGAGGTTCCTCTGTAGCAAATTATTTATTCCCAAGTGGATCAGCTCTTGATGTTACAAGCTTTGAAGGTACTACAGATGTTAATGGTGAGCATCAAGTTGCTATTGCCTTTGATGAAAGTGATCGTTTGGTAAAGACACCAGTTACCATCTCAGTGGAGGCAACTGTACAAGATATCAATAGACAAACCATTTCTTCATCTACTTCCTTCCTTGTTCACCCTTGTAAATATTATTGTGGAATCAAGTTGAGCAAACAATTCGCCAAACCAAACATTCCAATAACTGCTTCTCTAATTGTTTCTGACATTGATGGAAAATTGGTTTCTGGTATTCCAATGAAATTGAAAGTAACCACCAATGTACAGGTAAAGAAGGGATACAAATTTGTTTCGGAAACTATTGAAATTGTTGATGAAGTTTTCACTTCAGGAAAGGAAGCTGTTGACGTTCCTTTAAAGTTTGGAAATGGTGGTATCTATTATTTCTCTGTTGATATTGTTGATTCTGAAACAGGCCAAACTAATAACTCTTCAACAAGCTTGTACATTACAGGTGCTTCTGTGAGGGAGCAAAAACTTGGAAAGAATATTACAAAGAAACAACTCACTCTACTTCCAGACAAGACTGAATATCAAATTGGAGAAAAGGCTAAGATTTTAATTCAATCTCCTTTTGAAACAAGGTGTGAAGGTGTTTTATTCACAAGACTTCATGGAATACATAGCCAACATCCTATTCAAATTGATGGTGAGCCTGGCTATATTGAATTTGAACTTGACATTACTTCTGACCATATTCCAAATATTTTCGTCAGTGCTGAAGTTACTGGTTGCGAATCAAGGGTTGATGCTATAGGTAATGTTCTTGAGGATTTACCAAAACAACCTGCTTTTGCAAGTGGTGAATGTATGATTAAGGTTTCAAAGATTTCCAGAACCTTATCTGTTGAATCCAAGCCTGAAAGGGAATATTTGACACCTGGAAGCGAAACTAGCATTGATGTCATTGTTAAGGATCCAATAACTGGTAAACCTTTAGAAGGATGTGAAGTTTGTATCATTGCTGTGGATGAAGCTGTATTGTCATTAACTGGCCACACCATTGCTAATCCTCTAGATACATTTGTTAGAGAATACAGCAGCTATTATCAAACTTATTCCATCAGAAATAATGTTTTTGTTAAGAGCTATGATGGTATTGTTTTCCAAGAGGAACTACCGTTAATGCGAAGTCCTACTAACTGTTGTCGCTTTGCTAGAGCATGCAGTTCTTGCGCTAATTGTTGTTTTGAAGATTGTATGAATGAATGCTGTTGTTGTGACGACCTTTGTTGCCAATGTGCATGTTGTGGTGATGGTTGTGTAGGTGGATTTGGTGGAGGAGGAGCTAAACTATCCAAACAACCAAAGATTGTAGTGAGATCTAATTTCAATCCTCTTGCCATCTTTAGCCCAACCAACAAGACAAACTCTGAAGGAGTGGCCTCTGTTAAATTTAAACTTCCTGATAATCTTACCAAGTACAGAATCACAGCTGTGGCTGTTAAGGGAGATTGGAATTTTGGAATTCATGAATCATCTATGATTGCTCAACTTCCATTGTCAATCAGACCATCCCTACCTCGTTTCTTGAACTTTGGCGATAGAGCAGAATTTACATGTGTTTTACAAAATCAAACCCAATTAAGTTTGGAGGTACATGCTGCTATTAACTTTACCAATTTGAACTTGTTGGATACCTCAAAGAAAGGACTCAAGATTAGAATACCAGCTTTAGGAAGGGCTGAATTGAGATTCCCCATGACTACTGATAGGGTGGGTGTGGCCAGATTCCAAGTTGGTGTCTCTATCGCCACTTCTGGTGTAAACTTCTCTGATGCTGTTGAAAAAGAAATCAGAGTATTTACTCCAGCCACAACTGAAGCATTTGCAACTTATGGTGAAATGGATGGTGATAGCTCAGTGTTCCAACCTGTAAAGGCTCCTCAAGATGTTTTCACACAATTTGGAGGTCTCAAGATTTCAACCAGCTCTACTGCATTGTCTTCACTCACTGACAGTTTCCTTTATTTGTACAATTATCCTTTCGCATGCTCTGAACAAATTTCTAGTAGATTATTATCAATTTTAGCTCTTAAAGATATTCTTCTTGCTTTCAAATTACAAGAGCTTCCAACAAAGGAAAACCTTGATGAAAATATTAATCAAGGACTCAGACAATTATCAACAAGACAATATCCAAATGGTGGATTCAGCTACTGGTCATTTAATGGAGTGGATCATCGTATCAGTCCATACGTTACATGCCACGTCGGTCATTCCCTTGCTAGAGCCAGGCTTGCAGGATATTCAGTGAATGAATCCACTCTCTCAAAATTGGTTCCAGTATTGAGAAGTATTGAAAGTTATTGTGAGAACTACTCTGAGGAGACTATCAAATCACTCAAGGCATATGCCTACTATGCTTTGGCATTGTTAGATGATTCTGAGGCAAAGAATTTAGCTGAAAAACTTTATCAAACTTACAAACTTTCAGGTAATTTTGAACATTTAGCTTGGTTGGCTACTGCCATATATTTATCAAATAATAAGAGAGCCACTACTTCTGTTAATCAAATCATTGAACATTTGAATAAGCATGTGAATGAAACTGCTCAAACAGCAAACTTTATCACAAGCTATGGTGATGCAATGGCCACTAAACATGTCATGTTGCACAGCAATCGTAGAACTGATGGTATTTGCTTAGAAGCTCTTATTAATATTACTCCTCAAAATTATATTATTCCAAAGATTGTCAAGGGCTTACTGGCTCATAGAAAGAAAGGTAGATGGGAAAATACTCAAGAAAATGTTTTCATCCTTCTTTCCCTTAATACATACTTTAACGTATTCGAAGGTGTGACACCAGATTTTGTTGCCAACATGTGGCTAGGTGAAGATTATTGTGGAGAGCAAGTTTTCAAGGGAAGATCCAAGGATGAAAACCAATTGAGCATTCCAATGAGTTTATTAGAGAATGGTCAAAAGACACTTGCTATTTCCAAGCATGGACCTGGAAGATTATATTACAGAATTGGAATGGAATATGCTCCAAAGAACTTGCTTGTTGATGCATTGGATTATGGATTTGAAGTTCAAAGAACTTATGAACACGTGACTGATTCTTCTCATGTTACATTTGATAGAGAAAGAAACACTTGGAGATTTAAGGCTGGAGAATTGGTTCGTATCAAGTTGACCATGACCAATACCAGTCGTAGATATCACGTTGCATTAGTTGACTTTTTACCTGCTGGTCTTGAACCAATCAATCCAGAATTGAAAGGAACTCCAGATATTGCTACTGTAAGTGGAAGTGGAACCAATAGTAGATCAAACGGTTGGTGGTGTTGGTGGTTTAATCCAATTTGGTATGAACACCACAACATTAGAGATGAGAGAGTTGAGGCATTTAGCTCATTGTTATGGGAAGGCACTCACGAATTTACCTACATTGCTAGAGCTACCTCAATCGGTTCATTTGTTATCCCAGGTGTGAAGGCAGAAGAAATGTACACTCCTGAAATATTTGGAAGAAGTGCTACTGAATTTGCTGAAGTTTTTGAATAAATAACATTTTTCAAAGTCTAGCAATATTAAAATTGTTTATTTAAAAGAAGACAGCAACAGAGGTCCATAAAACAATTAACAAACCAACAATACATCCATTAATTCCAGAATATTGCAAAGCATCAGAAACAGTGGCAATCTTGGAAACTTTTGGAGAAACTTTTGGAACAATTGATTTTTGAGGAGTTGGAATAGAATTTTGTGGAACTATTGGCACAATAGTGAACGTAGTTCTCTCTCTAACTGTTACATGGGATGGAAGGGCACATTTACATGCATAAAAGTTTGTTTCTAAGGTTTGTAATTCACATGGTTGATCACTTTCACAAACAACTTCAGAGACCAAGTTCTTAATATTGCTGTATGCAGAAATATTTGTCTTAGTAAGGTTAAAGTAATAATTAACAACTTTTTCTTGAATGTCAACATTTTGATTAATGAATTCTAAGGAAAGAGAGTAACCTGGAGTGGTTTCGTATGTTACAACTGTTTGATTATTGATAATTTCAGAAGTTTGTTTGGATTGAATAATTGAATTCTTGAAAATTCTTGGACTAATTGACTTTCTCATGTCTCCATTCTTCAAATATTTGGTCATTAATGTTGGAAGTTGAATCATTGTATCAAGATTCTTTCCAGATAAATCCATAGGATAGAGTTTAGTTCCAGTCAACTTGAACATATCAGCATCAAAATCAATAGAACTTCCAATCAATTGATTTCTGTACTTGATAGATGCAACCGAGTTGAGCAATTCTCTAATCTTTGCAAAATATTCAACACTCACATTACCAGCATTATAGAGTTGACTCTTGTAAAGTAATCCCAAAATTTCAGACATTGTACTTGCCAATGAATTCGAAATTGTAATGTAAGAGAATTTGGTGGCATCTTGAATGGTATTGTTGAAAATGGAAAGAACTTGATCGAGCAATTCTGGACTATTCTCGTCGACAGTTTCCAGCAAGTGATAGAGAGATGAAATTTGGCTGGCAATCTTGGATTCTTGTGGGGCTTCTAAACTATTTCTGGAATTCAATTCTTCAATGACTGATTTGGCAGTTTCGTAATTATCCAAAACAATTGCATTCCAATCAGAAAGAGTCATGCTACAGTCAATCTTCTTGAATCCACTCTTACAAGCACACATCTTGGTGAATGAATTATACACTCCACCATTTAAACAGTTTGTTACCTTCAAGTTTCTTCTGGTGACAGAGTTTCTTCTAGTCATTTCTTTGACAACAGTTGAAATATAATTGAAAACAACCTTTCTTGGATCATTAGCATAGAGAGATCTATAAAAAGCATTCCAAGCCATCTTCTTTGTCTTGACTTCTGACAATGAGATAGCGGATGGAACTTTAGCCGATTGTAAAACTGAGGTTTCAGTCTTGGCTCCTGTCTTGGTATTTCTAACAACAAAATGTAATGGAAGTTGTTCATCACCTGTATATGGTAATTGAGTGGTCAACTCAGACACAGTTGCATCCATGAGTGGAACTCTGACTCCAGTCTTGACATCTGTGAATAAAACTTGAAGAGCAGTGTTGGAAGTCAAACAATTAGGACAACTGATTGTGAAAAGAGTTTCAAGAGCGAAACCAGTTGATGGACTAACAGAACATGAACATGGCAATGGATTTGGAGCAAGTGAGAAGGAATAGGTAAATGTTGAGAATAACTTAGACGAAACACTTGAAACGTTGAATAGCAAAGTGTTTGATGAACCAGCACTGAGTTTGGATAAATCTAGAGAAATGTAATTGGATTTAGATGGAGATGGGGATAAAACCAAATCGTTACTAATTGGTTGACCATTGAGATTCCAATTTCTTGTAATTAAAGAATCGATATTTTCAATTTGACCACTGACACGAACTAATAATTGAATGGTTAAAATGTCTTCAGTGGTGAGTTGAGAACCAGCTGGAGAAACTGAAACCAATTCAACAACTGGAACAGTTTCGTCCTTAGGGAAAGTGACAACCATTTCATTGCTGTGATTATTTCCTGATAAGGTAACATCCAATCCGAGACGAATTGACAATGAAGATTTACGAGCCAACATGAATTTGGTCGATTTAACATTGCCGTGATAAGCAAGAGTATTCAAAATGGAAGAATCACAATTAGTTTCGTCCACATTCTTACAATTCCAAGTAAACTGAATATTATCCTTGTATTGAGCCAAACTTTCAACTGGATCACTTTCAACATTGACAGTCACATGAGTTGAATTCAAATCAGTTTGATAAACCAAAACTGCAAAATTAGGTTCATGAGTATTGATTGTTACCTTTGTGCTTGCAATTTCCATTGAATAATTCAAAGTTGCAACAAATGTGAAAGTATTGGACAATTGAGATTGGAATGAATAAATTGCCAAGTCTCCGTTAGGTAAAGTTTCGAATTTGGCATTGGTTGGTCCACTGGTTTGAGTCCAATTCACTGTATATTCATTCGACTTTAAAATTTCTCCCAAGCATGACTTGTACGAAACATATTTCTTGACAATTATTGGAAGTCTATCGACAAATACATCCATACTATTGCTTTCAGCATTGATTTGTGGCATACTGGCAGAAAGTTTCTTGAATGAATAAGAAACTGGCAAACTTCTTGCTCCAAATTTGGAAATGACAACGAGTTCAACAATATAATTTCCAGATGGTTGACTATCTGCCAAAATAAGTGTTGGTTTGGTTAGCGTAATGAGAGATAAGGCAGAAGGAGAAAGAGGAGAGTTGACGAAACGCCATTCGAAAGTCAAATCTCTATAATTCTTGTCTCTACTTTCAGATCCTTGAATAACAATTGAATCACAATTACTGAAAGATTTGGAAGTTGTGGAAATGACAGCTTCTGGTAAAACAGTTGGATTCGAATTTTTCATGACAGTTATTGGAATGTAAGAAGGTTTCAAGTTGGCTGTGTTGAAATAATTAGTATTGACATATAAAGAATCTCCTAATTGAATACTATTTTCAAGACCCATTTGAATGGTCAATTCACTTGTTGATAAATTAGTCCATCTACAAATTGGTGAATCCAACTTTCTAATAGTCTCAGAAGAAAGTAAAATATTACAATCGACTTGCAAATTCTTAATATTTGCATTAGGATTAACAAGTTGCAATAAAAGACCAATTCCATCTGGAGTAACCATTGAACTATTTCCAATAGTGACCCAACAATTTTCACCATACCTATTCGAATCACATTTCGAACAATTAGAAGAGGTCCAGAAACCATGTTCTACATCTGAGAAACATTGACACTGACCTGTTGATGAGCAGTTACCATGTCCATTGCAGGTATTAGAGTCACAACGAACAGAACATGATGTGCCATAATAATTCTCTTGACAGTTACATTGATTGGTTGATGGACATGAGCCATGGCCACTGCAGACAGTATTTTGGTCTCCCTTAATACCGAAACAAGTGGTAATGTTACACTTGGATCCGTACCAATCGGAAGAGCAGGAACAAGAATTTAAATCTCCACAAGTTCCGTGACCAGAACAAACATTGGACTCATTGGAAGAAACTCCATAACAGAAAGTAACATTACATGAAGAACCAAGATATCCTTGTTTGCATGAACATTCATTTGGAGCTATACATGAACCATGTCCATTACAAACATTGGAAACACTTGTAGAAACAATACCAAAACAGGAAGTAACATTACAATAAGTTCCATTCCAACCTTGATTACAAGAACATTGGTTCGGAGAAGTACACAATCCATGTCCGCTACATACACTTGCATTAGTGGCAGGTAATCCATAACAAGTTGAAACATTGCAATTAACTCCAGTGTATCCAGTTGAGCATTTGCATTCATCAAAAGAAGAACAAATACCATTACCACTACATACTGAGCTGTCATTACTGGCCGTTCCAAAACAAGTGGTGACACTACAGTTAGATCCAAAATAATTATCTGAACATTGACAACTTCCTGAAACACACAATCCATGTCCACTGCAAACATTTGTTGCATTGTAAACAATTCCAAAACATGGTGCATTTTCACACATTGCTCCTAAATAGTTATTTCTACATGAGCATTGATCCTTTCCAATACAATCACCTTGTCCAGAACAAACTGATGAGTCATTGGATTTGATAGAGAAACAAATTGGTAAATTACATAAATCTCCATAATAACCTTCATCGCAAGTACAGTTATTGAGAGAAACACATTCTCCATTTCCAGAACAAACATTAGATGCGTTGTAAGAAACTCCAAAACATGGTGCATTTTCACACATTGCTCCCAAATAATTATTTCTACATGAGCATTGATCCTTTTCAACACAGTTGCCTTGTCCAGAACAAACAGAAGTTTCGTTTGATCTGATTGAGAAACAATAAGGTAAATTACATTTTTCACCGTAATAATCACCATTACACGAACAAGTATCAAGTGAAAGACATAACCCATGTCCAGTGCAAACCATTGAGTTATTTTTTGAAATTCCAAAACACTTTCCAATTTCACATTGACTTCCTTCATGACTGCTGTCACAACTACAAACGTCAGGTGCTGAACAATTACCAAATCCATTGCAGGTATTTGAGTTTAAGCTGCTAATTCCAAAACAGTTGTAATATTCACAGTTCAATCCATAGTATCCAGTTGGACAGGAAAGTTTGACAGATCTGATCAAGCCACTTTCAGTGTCAGCAACAAGAATTCCATCATTAGTTTGAAGAATTGAAGTTGGATAGCAGAAAGAAACATTTCCAGAGATTGAATATACTGCATTGTTAAGCGTACCAGCATAGATTGATAAAAATCCTTTAGAAACTTTTCTAACAGTACGAGTCTATTAAAATAATTTGAAAGATTATTGAAAATGTAAACATTTTTGAAAGGAAGATTGAAAAACTTACACGATCAGAAATGTAAACATCATTGTTGCTCTCATCGACGAATAAACCAGTTGGAAGATCCAACGAGGTGCCAACAACAGTGCTCAAAATTCCATTACTCAACTTTCTTACTTTGTTATTCTAAATAGTTAATTTGATAGGATTACTTTGAAATATATCAATCAAATAACTTACTCCTGTATCAGCAACATAGACATCTCCTGATTTAGTGATATAAACAGCAGCAGGAGTCTATTAACCAAAATTATCATACGAACTAGTGTCGAATAACTTACCAACAACTTGACCAAAAGAGGATCAGTGCTATCACAAGAAGCAGCTCCAGCAGATGAACAAGAATATCCAGAACCAATCACTGTTGAGATTGTTCCATTTTCAACTTTTCTAATTCTATGATTACCAGAGTCAGCAATATATAAAACACCACTTTCTGTCAAGAAGAGACCAGTTGGTTGTTTCAAATCTATATATTTCCAATACGTGAGGAATGATTAGTTTTTAATATTGGAAAGATTTAGGAAGAAACTTACTTGCTAATTTGGCATCACCATTGTCTCCACAAGTGTATGTGGAATTTGGACAACTGGTATTGGTTCCAACAATAGTTTCAATCACTCCATTTAAATTCAACTAAATATTTGCTTAATTTCACAAATTCTTATAAGAAACTTACTTTTCTAATAATATTTGATTGAGAATCTGAGTAAATTACTTCACCTGCATCAGTAACAACAACTCCCAATGGGAAATAGCTAGAAGCATCTCTATATGGACTAATACTTGTTTGTAATCCACTCAATCCATCTGGAGAAGTTGTTTCCTTAAAATTACCAATTATAGTATTAATTCTTCCAGTATTCGAATCCAACTTTACAATTCTGGAAAAAGTTGTCCAAACTGCACCTTGCTGAACAATTGTTTTACATGTCAAACCAAAGAACAAGTCGCCATTCTTATGTTTGGCAATACTTGTTGGGTTACATAGATAACTTTCGGTAGCTGTCAAGTTTTCACCATTGTAATAAATGGAATCCGAATAATAGTGACCTGTAATTGAAACTATTCTATTATTGGAGTTAATAGTTCTGATATACCCTTGATCGGAACCGTCTGGGAAATAGAGTTTTCCACCATTTGAAACAGAAACTGTGGAAACTAAAATTGGAGTAGCCAATGGATCTGACCATTCTCCATAAATGTAAGTACCAGTTTTTGGTGGTGAAGAACCTGTTCCTGCCACAGTTGAAATGACACCAGATGTTAAATTTACCTTTCTAATAGTTGAATAATAATTATTATTAGCACCATCCCAAGCAAGATCTATCTTGAAATTAGTCGAAATAGAATATTTTAAATACTTACCAGAAAAGAACAATTCAGAAGTTGCAGAATTGAGGGCCAAACCATTACTTGAAATAGCAGCACTTGTTGCCAAGCCTCCATCTCCACATTTGTTCGTATTGTAAGTTGTTTTCAAACAATAGTTTCCATTACCTGCAATGGTATACACCTTACTATCTGATTTTCTAATAACTCTAATCTTGTTATTCTCAGAAATGTAAATATCCCCATTCTTCTTATCAACGGCACAATCAGAAGGTGAGCTAAATAATGTTGAATTGACAACTATTATATAGATTAAATCAACAATGAAAATGTGCAAACTTACAAAAACCACTTGCTCCAGGATCGCATCCAGCATTTGTCTTGGAAAGTTGCGAAACTTGTTGAGTTGTTACATCGAAATATTTGATGACACAGTTACTGGTGTCCATAATGATCAAATTGTCATTTGCATCCAAGCAAATTGCTTTAGGACTATTGAGACCAGTAATATTGAATTCTCTGACTAAACCAGTTGAGGTTTCAATCTTTTTAACTTTGTTGACCTATATCAAAAATTGGTTAAATTGAATTAAGTATCAACTTACTGCTGGGAAAATAACATCATTGTTGGAATTCACAATAATCTTTCCAACAGAAAGTAATGCATTCAATGCATTACCATTAGTACCATAATCACCAATTTCAGTTCCAGCAATTCTTTTAACAATTCCATTGTAGACCTTGTAAACAATATTTTGCCAAGCCAAATACATGTTATCTTGAGAGTCGAATGCAAGAGAAGCTAAACCACTATTCAAATTGGTATTAATCAATCTGTTACCTTCTCCAAAAGCAACTCCCTTGTCACAAGTTCCAAATGCATGATTGATAATGCTATTCTCAACCTTTCTGTATCTAAGATTTCTTCTATTGAAATGATTAGACGAACCAAGTTGAATATGAATACTTACGCGTCTTGAATATAAACAGTATTGTTGTATCCAAATATAACACCAACATCTTTAAGAACAGCAGTGATTGCCGAGCTGCCATCACCGTTTGCACCACCAAAGTAAGAATTGAAAGTGCCAGTACCAGCAAGAGTTGACACGGTTCCATTTGGAGAAATCATTCTTACTCTGTATTGGTCTGCAATGACGAGGTTTCCATTTTCTTGTACATGAAGACTACTTGGTTGCTGTTAATTGTTAATAAGGAAATACATGTTGTTAAATATGGATCTAGTCCTCTGTGAATACTTACATAAAATAGAGCACTGGAAGCCAATCCACCATCACCGCACACATCCTTATTGCCGTTTCCACAACCAACACTGGTTTGACCAGCAATGATCGAAATTGCACCTTGTTTGTCAACCTTCTTAATGGTCTTCTCACTGGTTGCACTGTAATATAATGATCCATCCAGACCCAACACAACATATGATGTACCAACACTGCTATCATAAACAGTCTTAACCTTAGTAACCTTATTGAATTTACCAACAGAAAAAGTTGCAGAGTAGTAAATGAAATTATCATCACTTGCAAGAGAAAATGGTTTAGAAACGGATGCAAAGGTGGAAATCTTTCCAGTTGTTCCATTGACAACCCTAATGGCAGAACTGGATATATCATAAAAATACAAATCACCAGCCATGTCCACAGTGCAAACTGATGGAGTCATGCCAGCATCAATTGCTAATTCACCATCTCCACTATATAAATTCACGTTTGGATGTGTTGATTATGATTAAGCATGTTAAATTAACATTCATGCATGTATGCATCACATGATGCTCATTCATTAACTTACCTTGTTACAGAAGAGTAACCATTACCAGCATAGGTAGTAATGATGTTAGTTTGTCTATTTACCCTGAATATTCTATTAAAACCTAAACTTGGTTTGTTGATGGTATCAGCATCAGTCAAGAATACATCACCAGTTTTAGGATTTACACATGCAGAAGCAGGATTTTTGAATTTGAAACCAGATGCATCGATACCAGTGATTGGATCGACTAGACCACCTGCCACTATTTTGTGATCGATAGTGCACTCTACTTTATGTTCTGCTAACAACCATGCTGCTGCAAAACCGAGTAGAAGGAGGAGAATTATTCCTGAAGGAATTTTCATTTTTTTTCTTTCAAAAACTTATGAAAATCTGCAAGAATGCTTTTATATTCCAATTCTAAACCTCGTTTGTGTACTATTTAAGGTTGGAAGCTTTCCTTCTGGAGGTGGTGAAAGTTCCTTAAAGTTTTTGTAAAGGTTTTCTCCTCTTCCGAGTGTTGAGTAGGATGATGCGCAACGTCTAAGGAAAAACGTACAAATGCATTGTAACAAGGTGTAATGAAAAGGAAGAAAATTAATTATGTTCACACTTCCATGAATACCTGAAGACAAGCCAATAACTCAACAGGTTTTACAGGCATGAAGCTTCATGATTTCAATCCCCACAACTGATTGATGGAATGGTAGTTTGTTCAACAAGAGGAATGATTACTGTGAAGTAATTGTATGTGCCAGCCCCTTCAATAATATATCCAAGAAGGAGCTATCTCTCAATTCTTATTAATCAGTGTGTTACATGAAATTCAATGTACTTTGTTGAACAGGTTGCATGCAAAGTGTGGAATCTCTTTGAACATTGTTATTGATTTTCAGTTTAAAAAATAGCACGTCCACACATGCAAACTATTCAAACATGGATTCGATTAATTTTGAGGTTTTGGCATATTCAATTGAGGAAATCATTGAGTGAAATACCCAACTCAGTGCAACTTATTCATCTAATGAACTCATGCATGAGTAGGCGAAAAGATGTACTGATTTTCCGTTCAACGCCAAATAATAATTTTCGAAAGTATATTGCTAAACATTCAATAATCCTGCCACCTGTTCAACTTGTGAAAATAGGGTTGAGAAATGACGAGAAGTAATCAAAAATTTTTGCTTAAAATAATTGTAGGCCTGAAGCTCCTTAGATAGCAGATCCAAGTAGCTTATCCCTCCTCTCTTAGGAAAGAGAACACCACTCTTCACCTTCTCGAGATGGTAATTGGTAGCAATTGAAACATGTATCATGATTTCTATTGGAAGGGTTTTAAAGTGGATACTTGTTGTTGCGAAAGCTATTTCTGATGCACTCTTCTCCATTGCATGCTCTATCAATAGTGAGCTAGATGCATTAGAGGCCTTTGATAGTATGCCCAATCGTGTGCCATTCTCTGTTATATTGTAAAACAAGTTAATAAGTTCAGCAAAGTTTGGAATCAATTCGAGATCATTCTCCCTTGATTCATGTAAAATCATCTCCAACATGGTCCAAACTTCGAAACAATTTGTGGAATCGATAAGGTGTGGATTTTTCATATAGTAATTCCATCCATTAGGAAGACTACTCTTGTCGAAAATGTACATTCTTGGAATAGATTGGATGAATAATTCGAAATTCATCACTCTGACTTCTCCCTCTTCGTTGAACATGAATTCGTCCACATGACAAATACATTCGTAGGCATTCCTCTCAAAATTACTCAATTGTCTTGTTGATTTCTCAAACTTTTCCTTTGCAAACTTTAAGATTTGTCTATAGAATTGGGATGATTCCACTTTTCCAACCATAAAATCAAACCAACACAAGTAATAATAGCAGGCAACAACCAGTACACTCCAATGTCTATCAAATACATGAGACAGATAGTTTTTTGATTTGGTGGCTGCCTTCTCTGCATCTTCCATTGTTCCAGTGAAGCATTCACAAATGGCTTTAATTGAATAGAAAAGAGCAGCCATTTCTAGTACTTGTTTATCCTCATTATTAGGAATTTCACCACCATTTTCAACTAGCAACGTCAAAAAACTTTTCAGCTCATCTCGTCCAACCATCGGAAGACCATAACTTGCCAAATTAAAATAAAAATCAATCATGTTATAATCTTGTTCCAGTTGGTTGTGGATGATTTGTTTCTTGAGCTTTCTTTTCATAGTTTTTGAGTATGTGCAATCGAAGCCTCTTATTTGACATGCAGCACATGTTGGTTTCTTCCTGTCACATTTTCTATGGTTGGTTCTACAATCAAGACAGGCAACCGGAGAGAATTCAATCAGTTCCTCAAGGGAAGGTTGAGTGTTGCAGTTGTGGATGAGTGTTGTTTTCATTTTTTTTAAAATAATTATTCATGTCCGCGGTATATGTTGCAATAGTCCATCGAATAGAAATTAAACTATTTATTAATAGTTTAATAATTAAAACAGAAAAGAAAAGAAATTGTCAACTGATTCAGCCATCTTGACAGCAGAATCGTTGAATGACGATACTTCTCTCATAGTGTCATCAGCAAAGGCCTCGATTTGTGTTCGGTTTGTGGTTGAGCTGGTGGTAGAACGGGTATCACTACTTGCACTTCGTGAAGTATTTCTCATAATGGTTTGAGTCATTTCTTCAATAAGGTTTTGGTAGAGGAGTGTTACTCGTTTAAATCTCTTGGCAAGTGATATCAGTGCTTTCAAATCCTTCTTAAGGATTGATAAATAGTCGACAGTCACAGTATTTCCAGAGGAGGTCATGATTGTTGAGGTCATTGGTTTGGTACCGCGTTCAATACAATTTTCAACCAACTGTTTGTGATAGATACATGTCTCAACAATAGGAGATATTGTATAGCACATGCAGAAACTGTAAAAAATCATTGTTAATTAATATATTGTAAAAATATTACTACTACTTACGGGAAGAGTTCATCTTCAGTTAGTAATGTTATCATTAGGGCTGTTTCCTCAATTGATGTATCATTGAGGAAGTAATCTGACTGTTTGAATAACATGAGAGAACATCCTAACCGTATCATTGATGTTACTATTCTTTGATGTTTGAAAAATGTAGTTGAATGGCAATCTATTAATTGTTTAACCATTTCACCTTCAAGATTTACAACAGTATCAGAGACAAAGTTATGGACCTGTCTGTACATTTGGTTATTTTCCATTGTTATTGAATTACTTCTCATGTGTTCAATAGTACCTGGAAGTACACAATCCTCAAGCCTTTTCCCAGTACTATAAAAGAATTGTTCACACATATCCTTGATTAAACTTTGCATGGTTGTAATATGATGAACAAATCCAGAATTAACAAATGATTGATATCTCAACAAGTGAAAAGTGAATTTGTGTTGATAACCTCCTTTCAAATATTCAAAAACTTTAGAGTTGTAGTGATTGACCTTTGTAAAGTCTCCCTCTCCAATAAAGTACATGACCAATGTAAAACAAGAAGCAACCCAATAAAACTCGTGAGATTGTTCCTTTTCCAATGATGAAATAAGAGCCTCTGTTATTCCAATAGTTTTTGTGTGATTAATATCTGAAGTTAACTGTAGCGCCAAAGACATGTTAGACATGTAGAAACAGTGAATACATCTCAGTTCACCAACCGAAGAAATCCATTCGTTAGCTTTGATATCATTATACTGGTTCAAGCAATTATTTACAAAATATTTAAACTTTTCCTTCTCAATTAAAGGATGTGTTCCACAAAGTATCGAAAAGTAGACATCTACCAAAGTCTGTGGTGTCATTGTTTGTTGTTGTTGCTGAGTATTCTGCTGTTGTGATTGTTCATCCTTCTTTTCTTGATGTTGTGAGTTTTGAAGTTGATCGGCATACTATTTCAAATGTGTGATTAATTACTAGCCTTCCAAAAAACAAAAACCTACAATACACTTTACTCCAGAATTTCCACAATTAGAACATCCCTTAGGATTCCTATCACACTATAATATCATTATCAATTATTATTATATTACATGCAACAAATAACCGCCACATGATATTTAAAAATTTTCAAAGCACATCCACATGCAAATAAACAAATAATAATATTACGTTTGTTCCTAAGATCACACAAAATCCCTTTCAACCTACCTTTCGATGATGTTTCCTGCACCGCATACAGCTGTACGGTTGTTTATCGCCTTCATACTCGCGTTGGTTCATTTTAAAAAATTTGTGGTTTTATTTGGATGAAGATTTGTCAAAAATTTCCTCACTGTCAATCTTTGTCGGACTGGAGGACAAAATAAGAAAATGCTTGATGTTCTTTGTGAAGAATTGCCTTATGAAACAAATGTTTTCACAAATTATACAACACAACCACACAAGCAATAAATTCCAACTTCACAATTCTCAGCCACAGCCAATACTTCATACAAACGTTGAGGTTTTGGAAGTTGGAACTCGAGCTTTACAGTGCTTTCAAAAGAAACACATTTGATTTTCAATGAATCCTTAATCATCTGCAGTGCACTTGATTTCTGTTGTAAAAATTCAACAACTAGTTGTGAATAATAAGTGCGAACAGGTGTTTTAGTAAAAGGAATTAGAATGTCTCAGTTTCTATTTGATTTTTTATTGACAATTTTCTGAATTTGATTTACAACTCAAATTTAGAGAGGATTGGATTGTCGAGACCCTCAATATCCTTGATGGCTTTTTGACATGATTTTAATTGATCTTGTTGGTTCAATTTGGAATAAACTCGAGAAAGATAAACAAATGACATGTACAGAGCTGGATAATCAGTTTCTCCAACTCCTCCCTTCTCAACTCCCATTTGATTGTCAATGAGATTGAGAGTGAGAAAGACAGTTTTTGATTTTTCAAACTCATGCAAATAGAGTAAGCTTAATCCACGTCCAATATATCCAACAATTGATTGTGAAACATCCAAACTCTTTTTTGTAAACTGTTCCAACAAGTATTGTAATACTTGTCTATTTTCCTTATTCTCTCTAAATAAAGCCTCAATATTTTGATAGTGTAAAATCATTGATTTGGCATTTGGTGAAAGTAACAAACAATGAATTTCCCTCTCCAAACTTTCCAACACATATTCATCATGATCATTATTCAATAAAGTGAGAGAAACTTCCCGAGAGCTCCATTCCTTGTATTGTTTCTTCTTGAGAGGAATTAAATTGGCCTCCAAAAACAATGCATGGTGATGATCCTTTGATTTTGTCTTTCTCTTTTGATTGTTTGATGATGATGACGATGCAACACGACTCACTTTGCCATCTTTAATATCGGAAGGTGTTTGCCAGTAGAAGGATGAATTGATGCAGGTGTGGAATGATGAGCAGGATTTATATTCTTTGTTATTATTACTGTGGAGAGTGAATAGTGGAGATGATGAATGAGTGAATTTAATGATGGCAGAGTTGACAATAAGAGAACTTGATGGTTTGAATTGTTTTCTGGCAAGAGAATACAACATGGTGATGTTCTAATTTTTTGATTTTTGGATTCTTTAAATCAAATCCATGAAACGGAGTTGAATGATTCTCATTGTACAATATTATTTAATTAATTTAATAATTCTAGCTACATGCATTTCAAAGAATATTTAAATAATTGAAAATAAATTAAATATAGAATTAATATTATTAAATTGGTGGTAGGTGCATGTTTTTCATGCATCTGATTTATTTACATTATCTTATTTATTGTTGGCTTGATAGTTTGGAGATGGGGATGCACTTCGACTGGTGGATGAAGATTGTTTGATTTGTTTACTTCCAAATGATTCCAATTCTGTTCCTCCAACCAGATAGTCACTTGTAGTTCCCTTATATCCACCGAGTGCATTCATTCTGGCTTGAGATGGTGAGACTGGTGGTGGCTTCATGAAATTATCTCCAATCTTTCTCTTCTTTAAATGTTCACTAATCAATTTCTTGATTTTAATCTTGTCGTTATAAAATCCAATTGTTTCGATAATTTTCTTCTTGCCCACTTTCAAGTCAATAATGAAAGGAAGCAAACGTTCAATGAATACAATTCTAGTATTTGAGAAGTGTATTGTTCCAATAAAAGCCAATGCTTGTTCTGTATCAATACAGACATTCTTCTCCGTCAGATATGCTGTAATGTGATTCATTTTCTCATCATCAAAATCAATTTCATGTTGTACCTGGTTCAACAGTACTTCATATTGTTCTGCTGACAGACCAATAATCATTTCGGAAGACTCACAAAAGTCATCAGTTGTATCATTCAAATCAGAGGATCTCTCTGTATTGGGAGAAGGATTTGACAATTGGCTGAAAGGTACCTCACTCCTCTCATCAGCATGACTAACAAAACAACAACAAATATAATCCAAAATTTTTAAATTAACCATTCTCTTCTTCTTCTATCTTACAATTTAATATATACACTAATTCCGTTAAATTATTATTATTTCCTAACCAATAAATTCCAACACTGTGAATATTCACAATACTCAATTTTTCTTTTAAAATTCCTTCCACAAAAGTTCGTTGCTGCTGTACGGCCAAAAAACGATGAAAAAGCTGTGAGATATTTTGTCTGATTTTTTTTGATGATGTGTAACGTCCGAGCGTCTTCTTATGAAGCAATTCAGAGAATGTGCTTCGCGCTTATTGCGATATTTAATTGGCAACGATAAGCGCGACAGAGTTTCATTTTCAGGTGTTTGAACATACAAGTTGAGGTAACATTGTTAATAACAATATTGCAAAATACTGAGAGGTTCTAATATTAAGAGTTCTCATGGGAGAATATGACTTTGGAAAGAGAAGAGAAATGGAAGAATGTTTGATAGTACTATCAGACTGAAAGTTACTATTGTGATGGCTGACAATTATTGTGCAATATTTGGAATTGGAGGATTGTAAAGATATGAATGATGGATTATCCACAGTTGGTTTTCTTTGCATTTCGTTTTGTTAAATAAATGCAGTAGTTGGTTAGGCAGCAAAAACTGTAGTTGTATTAAAATTAGTGGACGAATTCAAAACAGCCATTAAATAGATCACAAGCCATAAATTTAAATCCTAAAGATTTTCTTGACCTTTTAACAATGAGTCGAAACCATTCGAAAAGGCAAACAACAGGCTAAATGTAATGAACGATTTCGTTCCATGCCAAACAATCGTGCAAGCAATCTTAACTCTTTTTTGTAAATTATTGCAATTAAACATTAGCCACCCACACGAGATTTTTCAACGTTTGGTTATCTTCAACCCAAACGATGCTTATCAACAAAGTGAAACTTCACAAACGAAAATCTTTCAACTGTTATCTACAGTTGTTGTTTAACACAACTGTTTCTGTAAATGCAAAATGTACCCACCTCTCACAATCTGACAATCTTGTGTTAACTCAAATTCAATACACTTTCGCCCGAATAGTATTTTATCATTCTCCTCAAGAAACACCAATAAACAACAATTTCATTGGTTGGCCAATTCTCCAGTTCAAAATTAATGTTGTAATGTGAAATTAAAAGGGACCATTCACTAATAATACCGTATTTTTTACCATTGCGATAAGTTTAGCCCGCTCTTTCGTTTACTTTTTTAGAATTCCAAGACTAAACTTGTCGTTTAGATATCTCGAGGTATATCACGGGGTCTGATAATTGCATTTTTACTAGCAGAACTGAATCATGACCCACAAAACCAAATCATGACATGTCTGACAACAATTCGAAACACACTAAATCTTGTCCAAAAGTAGACGAGCATGATATGAGAAAGCTATTGGCCCAACTTGGGTGTGATAAAAAGTTATTCCTCAATAATTAAATTTGTACAATTGACTTCATTATGTTCGGGACATTAGAGAGTTTTATGAGTTGTTGTGTTGAAGCATTAAAACCTCAATTATTGTGTGAAGAGATGATGGTGTGTGCAATTTCTTCTCGTCACGACACAGAAAAAACAAACAACTAATAGTAATTGATTACTTTCGAATAATAACAAACTCTTTCCTAACTGTTTCAATCCATATTAACTCATTGAAAGAATGACTCTCTTAACAAATTTCCACAACACCAACAATTTAATGTCATCATCCTCCAATAATAATACTGTTTCTTCCACAAATCACAACCGAATAATCTCCATGATGGGAACCATCTCATCAAATGGTGCAACATCCCCAACCACTGATCTTGTAAAAAGTAATCATATCAGATATAATCAATCGATTCCAAATCATACTCAAACTGCAACACCATTAGATAAGCAAACATTTGTCTTTGTTGAAGACAAAATGTCAAATCAATACAAACAATCCAATCCAAAGAGAAAGAAGAAGAGTGTTCACTCATCCAATCCAAGTGGTGTTACCATTTTCCATCATCATCACTATCAAGCTGCTGATAAATCAGCTCAAACTGGTGGTTCCTCATCTTCATCATTAATTAAGAATGAAAATCCATTCATTCATCATCCAACAAGTAATAAGGTTAAAATTGAGAAGAGAAAGAGCAAGGCAAAGAATGGTGTGCAGTGTGTTGTAGTCAAGGAGGAAATAGCCTCTCTCCATGCCAATGATGATACCAAGTATGAAATTGGTTTAGAAGATGGCTTTACCTGGTGGTCTTGGTATTAATCTAATGATTATTCGTTTGGCTAATTGTTCGGCAACTCATTATGCTCTTGCTAGGTTTATAACTTTCACTTCCCACTTGTACAGATTCTCCTCCTACTTAAGTTTTTCTCCATTTCCCTTTCTCCTCTGCATGCACACATGTGTGTATCTATAATTATATAATTAATTATCAAAACAATTTTGCTTTTCCTTTGCGGCCTTTCTCAATCCATTGCTCAATTCAAATTAAATTCTCTTTAAATTATCAATATTGTCTTTGTTCTTCATTATTATCTTTCATATCTTTTGTTCCGTCATCATGAAGAGTTTCATGTTCGAGGCTTGATGAATTTTCAATAATTTGAATGACAAAAATCATCAAAGAACCAACCAGCATCTTGTACGGCCATGGTTGTATTCACTTCATGAATTGCTGTGTATTATTATCTTCACGTCTAGTCCCAAATGATCATTAATATGCTGGTTCGTCCTCATCTCTTGTTTTCATATCATAAACCAAGTCAAGCCTTCTTTTTGTCTTCATCATCTACGAACTACAGCAATTAGTTAGCACAGGAGGAACATCTACCTTCTACATCACACATTGGAACTAAATACATATTATATATTATAATAATTAATTATTAGTACTTTGCTACTCCCATCCTCTTCATCTTCCTATTCTTTTTATCATTGTGTGTTGAATAACATTCAGAGGAAGAACTCATTATCATCGACCAAGATAAATTGTGTTACATTCTCCATGATAGGCAAACTACTCATAGTGCTTGAAGGGATGAGGCAAACCACTTATCACAACATCAATGGACAATTATGGAAGGATTCGAGTTTGTGAATAGCATGATATTGTTGAATAATAGAAAACATATTCGAATTCTCGCCCAATTCTCAAGCTATGCAATGAATGATGGTTACGTTCAGCTCACGAGAGGTGCACGATTTGGAGGCACTGGTAAATATCTGCTCTCTTTACAATGGCTAAATTAAAACAAGATTGACAATTTCAATAACAATACTTTCCACTACGTCAAGTCGACCAAAACAACGAGATTTCTCACGCAGTAGATAGAGTTTGTTCTATTAATAAGAGAATATAATTGTAATTTATTTTTATTATCTGAATGCAAGTGGAGAACAAAACGACAGAGAAACTTCTCCCTTTCTTTGTGATTGGATTGCAATTTAACATTGAGATATGAAATACTTTTGGATTGACTACATTCACATGAATTATTGGACTTTTGAATAGAACCAAAATCAGCAGTAATTTGATATAAATTTCGTCCATTTCCAAACTCTTAAAATATTATTAATGAGGGCATTGAGGTGTGGATATAATTACACATTTAAAAACAGATCCAAATGCACCTTGTCCAATGCTTTCCAAATATCTAGATAATGGATTGAAACTCAGAACTGACAATAAGGTCAAATTCTGATATGGCACAGTTCTTCAACTAGATATTTTTTTAGTGAAAAATGACCTACAAGGCGAGGCTTCTAAAATTGGAAATACAAATAATTAAATATTGAAAATTAGTAATTTAAAAGACATCAATGTATACTACATAAATATGAAAAATCAATATAAAATAATGCGAAACAAAGCATAAAATGTAAAATTATTACTCGAGTGCCGGGAATTGAACCCGGGTCGCCAGAGTGACAGTCTGGAATGCTACCACTATACCACACCCGATTACATGTTTAAATAAAATATTTCTATCATATAGATGATTGTTCATAATTCCTGTTTTCTTATTAAGAACTACCATTCAACCAATAATCATTTCTTTTTAAAATAGAATTTGAAAAAGACGTCAAAATTTGTTGATTGTAAAAAATGAAAATTTTGACCAGTTAAATTTCTCCAATCCGCCAAATTCTCAAAAATCGCTCTCCAAAAAATTGCCATCATTCAAGCCACCAAATTTCTCAAGCTTTCTTAGTTTACAAACTCATCATACAGGAATTTTAATTCTTGTTTTAATTAAACTCTAGTAACCACATCGTCTTTTGCAATATCATCAAAATGCCAATGTTTAATTGTGATACTTATTTTAGTATTACCAGTAATGATCCATCTCTCGGGAGAAGCTTCATCTCCATTCAGATTAAGTGTTTAACAGAAGCAGAAGAACAGAATATTCCAAACACGTCTGCAATACTTTTTCACATTCCATCGGTTAAAGCTGAACAACGAGAAGGAAGCACTCTGGGTAAACCAATTCTTATCGAAGATGATAATGATAATCTTACTAATGGATCAATGCCACAATGTTCTAATCAAGAAAATATTGAAATTAGTGATGATGAAAGTGTGGAAGACAAGGTTGTTATTTCTGTTGTTGAAATTGAAGACAGTTCAGTTTTAAATCAACAAGTTGATGCAGATATTCACCACCACAATGAAGAACACAAACCAATTATGTTGAACCAAGAGTTGGTGAATGATCTTTTCAATAAAAATTCAACATCCACTTCTCTGTCGGATAAGCAATCACAAAACAATAATGTTGCCAAGGAACCAGAGTCAAGTAATGTAGATGAGACTCTCTCCATTCTGCCAAGTGTTAATCATGTGGAGGCACCTATCATTTCCATGAAAAAGAAACCAAACCATATTCCTGAATTAGGTGATCCAGGATTTAGAATGGTTGCTCACAGAAATTGTACCAAAGCAACAAAGATTAGACCCTCAGGAGAAAGAATTGTTCCAATTGGAATTACCAAACAACAAAAAAAGAGAGCCAAAAAGATTTTAAGACAATAAGAAAACCCAAAAAAGGAGAAAATGGTGGTTGATTCCAACAAGTCGTGCCTTCTGTAAATATTAAAGATTAATGTTGGTTTCATTTCTGATTTCTCTTTTTTCAATGAAACACTTTAAAAAAATGAACAGAATAAAATCGCTGCGTGCCTTGTTCACATTTAATGTTGCCTTAATACTGATCACAACGATAATGATGATTGTCCTGAATAATATAAATTGCTCATCAGTGAGTGAATTAACAACTCTCGTTGTCCCGTTCAGTATCAAAATAGAAGAAAAGGATGACAAACTCAGAATTGGCTTGAACACCAACTTTTATGATTGTCTCGTCGATGAAGACTTTGATATTGAACCAGATTGTGACATTTTGACTGGCAATGTAATTTTCGTTTATGAAAGCCCAGGTGAGAGATCAATCTTTTTGAGAAATGTCTTTGCTGCTGGAATGTTGGTTCTTATTGTGGCTTGTTGTTGTTGTGTGGCAGTTTGTGTGTTTGGATGTTATTGTTGTTTCATTAGGAGAAGAAAGTTGTTGCAAGGAAGTATTAGATGAATGAAGATGAGGCAAGAAACCTCAATAGATGGTGAGAAGGTTCAATGATATAATGTGTTAAAAGTTTTATTGGAAACTAATCATGAAGATTAAAATGCTTCAGTTTTTTTCACAAAAGGAGCAAAGATAATTCATTTTTGTAACTAGTGAAGCCGCACCTTGTAAATTTCAAGCTCTGTTTGTACGGATGTACTTTTCTGCAACTCTGACTTGCCAAACCTGTCAACTGTATTCAAACATCACACTATTCAAAGTGCTTTTTATCACAAAAAAAATGAGAGGAACAGTATCAATAATTATGATAATCATTTTGTTATTCTGTGTTGGTTTCTATGCCTTCTACTCTACCATCACCACTGGCTCCCTTTTACCACGACATGTTCTTGACAGTTGGAGTAGGAGAGCTAATCTTTTGAATGGAAACATTCCTTCTGCTGCTTTTTCGGTAAAACAATCAACAGTTGATGAGAGCAGAGAGATCAAGTCGAGATTAAATTCACTTCCGTCCTCACAATTCAAGAAGAAAATTATTGAGAGAGGTGATTTATCAGCACATGTGTTGGATCGTTCGATTTATAATACATTTGTGAGATATCAGAGTGGTAGTCATTCAGATTCAGAGCACGAGAGGAAGGAAAATGATGGTGGATCGGATTCGATTGTGATTTCATCATTTGTGCCCATGATGAATGGTTATGAGAGGTTGATCTTGTCTGAATGCAAAAATATCGATCGGGTGAATGGTGACGACAGTTTGACTTCGAGACATGTCTGCTATGTGACCTCAAATTTGAAAAAGGAAGGAAATGACAATTTGGCATGTGTCATTTTAAGAGAGAAAGGCCTTTTTACCGTAGACATTCACAATGATATGGATTCATGTTGGAAAGGAGGAAAGGATTCAAATGGAAGCATTAGAATTTCATATTTTGGAGAGGGATCATTCTCATCCCTTTTGATTTCAATGTTTTCAGTGTTTGTTGTATTGACCTTTGGAGGGGTGATGATTTTCATGGCAGGATTTTCAATATTTCTATATGTCTTTTTGAGAATTAACTTGTTTGATTTCAAAATTGATCAAAGTTAATTGATTTTCACCGAAGATATTCGAAATATTAGAAAATATTATGAAGTATTCGAAGATGAAAGAAGTACCTTCAGACATGTGAAATTTTCTGTAGACAATGTACATTAGATGAACAATATGATTTTTAGATGGATTAGTTTTCAATTTTGTGAGTGAATGAGCATTCACTACTGTCAACAATCCCACGATGATGAAGAAAGAACAATTAATAAATATAATTAGAAAAAGTTTGGACCTTTCCAAAAGTTGCAATTTAATGGATTCGTGAACAGTCACCAACAAACACTGCGAGAATCCTTAATGAAAAAGATGCTTGGAGATAAAAGGTCTTTTCCTGCAGGTGGTTTGAAATCTTAATAACTGCCACAACGACCAATGAGGAAAAAGTCCTCTCCTTTTGGTTCTATTAAGCAAATTAAAACAACAAAAAAAAAGAAGTAAAACTCGCCAGCCAACACCAAAGCAAAACTGAACGTTTGATTTTGAAGAAAACCATCGCCCTCAATTAACAACAAACACATCAAGAGGCATTATAATATTTAGAAGAGAGAAATTGATAAATTTTGAATGAAAGACATGGCCGTTTCGAGTAGTGTTACTAACAAACAAGAACAACAACTTCACTCTAGTACTCCCTCAACAACATGTCATCAAGGAATAAGAAGATATATTGTTCCTACTCCTACTGGGAATCATCCTCAGCAAAAGGCCTTAACAAATCATAAGAAGCATCATAGAAAGCATCATCATCGCCATCATCGTAATAATAATGAGGCAACCAAAGCACCTTCAATCTTAGACAATCAACAAGAATCGAGAATGGTCTTACCCGATATTCATCATCGAAGAAGAATAGTGCCCTATTTAAATATCTATAACATTAAGGAAGAAGAAGATATAGTACAGCAACAGCAGCAAGTTCTTCCACCAAATGTTCAACCTCCACTCACTGACAGAGCAATCTATGAAAGAATGGAAGAAAAGCTTAAAAAGAAGAAGCGAATGGTTGCTCAGAGTGTGGATTATACTTCTCTGAGGAAACATTATGCCTCAATGGAAGCTCCTTCAATAAGGAGTGATCCACCAGTTCACGAAGAATTCATGATGGAGAGTGTTCCGTTGGTTGTTAACAATTCTGATGCCATTCACAAACATCTCTATCACGCACAAAGAAAGGAACGAAAACTAGAAAAGAAAAAGCTGTTGAAACCAACTCCTCCAGTTGAGGTTGAAGAGAATGAAGAGGAGAATGAACCAATGGTTATTAACAGAATGTTTGTCAGAGGAATTTTTGGAGTTCACTAAGGTTTAAATCTCTTTTGAGAAGAGTTCTGGACGATCTAAGCTCCTTATACCAATAACACAATCATGTTGACAGATTCTCTCTTTCTGAGAACAGCGTTTACCATGCGAAAATGTTGATCACCATTTTGTTGAAGCTTACCTGTTTAGATGAGAATTGTTGCACTCGAAACAGAATAAAACAATTCATCATAATTATTAAATACTATTTTTACATTAATTTCTTAGAGACAAAAGCTGTCGAATAGCTCATAACAAAATCTTTCAATTGAGAAATATTATCATATGAATTGTTCATGACTTTTCTGAGATGGTTTAACAATTTCTCAACTGTGCCTGAATCCTTGTTATTAGAATTCAACCAATTTTCCAGAACTGAAATGGATTTACCTAATTCTCCAATTACATCATCAGTTTCTCTATTTACCTCCCAGAACTTTTCTTCCAACATTTCGAATACTTTGGAGTATTCCTTAAACTTGTTATTCTCCTTTGAGCGTTCCAATTCATACAACCATTCATCATTCTCTTCATTTTTCTTATCAATTACTTCCCAGACAATAACTTTTTCCATATCAAAACCAATCCTGTCCAAAGGTCTAGCAATGAATTTCTCTGATTTTTGGAAGGATGCTAAATCTGAAATTATGTTCACCTTCATCAATGAAGCTAACTCACAGTATTTGTCCGAGAGCTCAACTGCTTTACCCACCACCATGTAATGTCTTGAAGTATTTGTTCCTAAATTTCCAGAGTGGCTCTTGTTGACACAGACACCCATTCTTACATCAATCGGATTCTTAATGGATCGAGAAGCTTTGAAAATTTTGAGTGCTGTTTCAAAAGCTTTTTCAGCCAATTTAGAATCTAGTTGATTGGCAGTGAATGACAATTGGAAATGATTATATGAAATAATTTGCAAATTTCCTTGAGAAACCTTCACGACAGGTCCCAAAGCAACCACCAATTCTTTGAAAGCTTCTTCCAAAATATGTGGACTGTCAGCTTCAGTTCTAATAGTAATGATAGCTGAAGGATTTTCAATTAATCCCATTTTGAAAAGTGACTTTGAATTCTTGTAAGAAGATTGAGCAACTGTGTGGAAACTAGCTCCAGATTCACCTTTGGAATGAGGTTGGGAATGGAATGAAGTGACTGACTTTCGGTTGGTTTCTCCAACTGTTTCCTGGGTATTTGATTTTTGAACTTGTTCACTGTTTTGGATTTGTTCAAGGATATATGGAGGAACGAACGATTTGATTTCCTTCAACCAATCAATGGTTTCGTCCAGATTATTGAAAATTGAGTTGACTTCTCTGAAAACTGACTTATTCGAAACAACATTATCCAAATCAAAGACCTTAATAAGCTTGAATTGCTTCTCCAAGAATTTCATAGGTCTAGAAACAACCAACCCTATAAACAAACTTGACAATAAACCAATAATCACAACACCAGCTGTCACACCAATCGAAATATAAGTTGTCAACATTAAAGTAGCTGTCACTTCCTGTTCGTACAATATAAAGAAAATATTCCAATCCACATTCTCTAATCTATACTTGAGTGGTGTAATAATGTAAGAAATTTCATCAAGCTCTCCAACCATTATGAAGGAAGTGGAATTATCAAAATTAGTTGAATTTCCATTCATATTAAAGAATTGTCTCAGTAATAAACCAGCATTTCGATCTGTCAAATCAAAGATGGTATTGGTAGTAGAATTGACAAATAAACTTGCTCCTAGATAGGTTCCAGAGTTGTCTCCCAACACAACATAGCCACTTCCTAAAAGTCTAATTGTGGAAAGGTAATTAGCAACAGCTTTGAGGGAAAGATTGATTTTTGCAACACCCACCATGTCTCTCGTTCTATTCTTTTGATAAAGTGTTGGGTTAAAGAGTAAATGAGAATAATAAATTGTCATGACACCTGTCAACAATTGAGTTTGATTTCATCAATTGTGTTGATACTTACCTCCTGTAACATATGGATCACCAAAAACTCCATCAACTCCCAAAGTTTTAGTCCTCTCAACTGTATAGTTATAAAAAGGTTGAATATTGTTAATATAAGGAGTTGAGCTGACTGTATAATTCAACTTGACAGGATATGCTGTTGTGATATTAATTCTGTCAGTGATTGACAGTGGACTTCCAAATGCTTGATAGACATAATTCATGAATGCAGACCCAACTGGATAAGTATAGGTATATCTGGCATTGTAAGGTTTTTCAAAAAAGTAACCAACTCCATTGTTGCCAAAGTCCAAAACCTTTGGATACAGATAGCCACGTTGCTGATTAATATTAAAATCTAGAGTAGAGAGCATGTATTCTCTGGCCATTGATCTAGTTTCCATAGACACGGGTTTTAGCATTCCATCCAAAAAACCAACAATTTTCTCACCTGAAACTCTGATTAAACTATTGGAAAGTTCTGTAATTGCTTGTTTGGTTAATGCATAGGAAGCTCCCCACAACAATAAACTGCCACTCAAAATTAAAATGGATATTGTAAAGACAATGAACAGGTTGAGTGGCATAATTCCTTTCAAAATGCCTTTCTTTTGAGAAGGAAGAAGCAATTCAACTTCTTCTTCATTCTCGTTGATACTTTCTTCTGGTACTATCTTCATGGTATCTTTAGTTTGTTTTTTAGTTTTTGATATCCTCCTTGGAGATGAAACTGTAATTATCTAACAATAATGTCATCTGCCATTGAAAAGTTCATACGGGAAATCACTTTCTTTGTATAATTCTCGTCAATCTTTGATTGTATATAACGAGACTATGTGATGGGGTTTGATAACAAAATGTTAGCAAGTCAACCGGCATCAACTTGTTGTAAGTTTGCCTGGCACAATACAAATATGAAGAGATAAGCAATTGTAAAATACAGCTCAATAATTGATGTATAGTGATTGAATATCAAATCAAACAATGCATCCTACTTCCTTTTTGATAATATCTGCATATTCGGCATTGACCTGCTATGTAACAAAGCTTATTTGAGGCCACATCAAAATAAGACCTAAGCAGTTGTTGAGTTATCTCCACACCTTACTGATATCCTAAATCTTTTTGTTTGGAATTCGAAAAGAAATTTCCAATAGATCCTACACTCGATTGAGAACTATTCGTTTTGGAGTGCTTTTTCAACTGAAGGTTTAGGATATTCAGTTTGAGATATTTCATCATTATGTTTGAACAATATATCATGAAATGATTCCTTTCTAATTAATTCCCAAAATCTGATAACCTCTTTTGTTCTGTACAACCCTCTCTTCACGAGAATAAATAATACCTTTCCATTGCTTGAAATATCTACATTGAAACTTTACTTATCCATTTTAAATGTTTTCTGATCTAAATCAGTAAGTAATTCATGAAACTCAATCTTTCTCTTGCTCATTAAATCATAAACATCACCTTCTGCGGATAAAGCTGCCAAATCACTTACAATCTTTTCTATTTTCACGTTTGGCAATATTTGGTATCTTGGTGGAGATGAATATATCGGGAGTTCAAATAATTTCCCAAAATAATCCAACTGGAATCTTTCCGAAAACATTCTATTGGAATACTCTTCAATATCTTCATCACTATAGTTTAGTCCCTCCTTCATGTGGAATACTATGTAATTCTGGAACAACGTTAAATATTCCGTATTGTCGTAGGTTCTCCAGAGTATTCTTCTACTGAGATACTTGTTTCGTAGAATTCCAAAATTCTTTTCATAAATCCCAATCGAATATAGAAATCTCTGATTATCCTTGTAGTGTTTTGTGAGAATGGCAACTTTCCCGGCTCCACATTTCACATCAAGAACAATTTCATTTGGAGGAGGAAATTCCATTGGTTGACTGTATCCATCATTCCAATAATAAACATCTCCTAGATTACAATGAATTACATCCCTATCTCCCTCCTCCTTTCTTTGTGAGCAACATTCGTTTATATTTTGCCCAAAAGAAACCATTTTGAACTCACATTTTGATTTTCTAATCAAACAATATGTAAAACTGCTTCCACAATAAACATCCTCAATATTGGAAAGTGGTATTTCAACAACATGTTGTTTCGAATTTCTATCAACCATCAATTGTCCCTCTGTTCGTTGCCCATACCCAAAAGCAGTTCCATCATTTAATAAAAAGATGGCATGATAATCTCCACATACAATCTTTTTAATACCAATTCTTTTAATTTTTCCAAATATTTCCTCTGATTTGAATTCAAATAATCGGAGTGATGATAATCCAACATCAATATTTATCCAACCATCGGAAAAGGGCATTTCACAGCCTTTAATGAATAGGTAGCTGTTTGAACAATTATTAATTCCATCGAGATGATATGATGAAGGCTGTGCTGTTTGCATTTTTTTGTGTTCATTCACTTTGTAAAGTTTGTAATAGTTGCTTCAACAATGAAACATTCATCGATAAACAATCTATGCTGGGTTACATTATCAAACTCAAGTCATGTACAGTTCGTAAAAAAAAATAGCGGGAAATCACTTCTTGGGTTTTGAGAATTTTTTTTAAGGCCAATATAAAGCAACAAAGGCTTCACCATTAATAATATTTAAATATTTATCATTAAAATTCATAATTAAATATTATATATTAGCAAAGTACATGTAAATCAACACCTCGGAAAGATCATGAAAGATAGTTATCTTGATATAATTTTTCAAAACAATGTAGCCACCAAAATATTTCTTTATATGAAGTCCTAATTGCTTTTGTTGGGCGATGCTAATATGCTGAATCAATTCCAAAGAGGTAACTGTAGTTGCATTGTTAGAAAAAAAACGGTCAAAAGAATATTAAGGACTGTCCCCTTACCTAATCATTTTGAAAGCGTCAAACATCATACCAAAAATTTACACTTGTCATCAAGCGTACGATTCACCTTCCCACAAGGTCAGCTACATCGAACCATTCACTCTGATTGCGGAAGATGATTCTCTGAACCCCGTCAGACTTAATGTCTCTTCACATGCCACACATCAACCGTTAAAAAACCACTTTAAAAAAATGAGTGAAACCACCATTCCACCAGTTGCTATTTCCACACTTTCCCACTCTGATTCAAGCTCGTCTATTTCTTCACTTTCTGCTCAACAAGTAGCTCCACCATGTTGCTTTGTCTGTAAGGAAGAAGTTGATGTTTTCCAAGAAGCAAAAAGTCAATGTATTGGTACGTAGTAATTTATTTGTACAAGATTTTAACGATATTTTCTATTTTTTGCTGATTTTCAATGGCTATTGTTGAACGTCAATGATGATGGGTCGAAATGTCAATCATTGTGTGATGTGTTAAAATTTCATCTATTTTACACACAGACTGTAATCTTTTCTTGTGTGCTCGTGATGCTGCTATCCACAGAAAGAAAGAACCTTCCCATCAAGTGATCGATTTTATTGGAGCCTCCTCACAATCACTCTCAGGAAGTGGTATTCTATTGGGACAACACTTGCACAATCATGAAGGACATTTGCCACCAACTCCACGTCAAAGTATCAGCTCATCAACAACTGCCAGTCCAATGGTTGCCTCAACAATTAACACAACAGGTACTTTTGGAGGTCCTGCCCCATTGTGTTTAATTCACCACATTCCTATCAACACTTTCTGTGGAAGTTGTAAGAAATTGGTTTGTTCTGCTTGTGCTATTGAAGAACATCGTGAAGGTCACGGAGAAGTCAACATGATTTCAAAGATTGAACCAGAAGAACGTGCCAATTTGGAAAAGGTTTTGCAAAATTTGAGAGATTCATTGAAAGAATGGGAAGAATCACATAAAACCCATGATAATGAATTAGAAGAAGAAAGTACATTGATTGAAAAGGAAAGAACTAGATTGAAGGAAGAAGTTCAAGTTATTTTCGATGGTTTAAGACAATCTTTACAAGATAGACAAGATCAATTGAATGCCGATATTGATGAAATTTGTCAAAAACAAATTACCTATACCAATAGAGTTATTGATTTAAAGAAGATTTCCGTCGATTACATTGCTGAATTTGATAAATTGGCTGAAATGTCTGGCTTTGAAATGATGGATAGAAAATTAGGTAAACTTCCACAAACACTTCAATCTTTCGAAGATTTGAAGACCTTCTTCAAGTATTTACTTTTGGAAGAAGTTCACGATGTTCAACTCACCAATGTTGAAACCATGCTCAAATATGTTCAACGTGAAATTGCACAATTGGGTGAAATCATCAAAACTGATCCAAAGACTAAAGCTCCAACTCCAGTTTCAAAGTCACCTGCCACTACTCCAGTTTCCGAACAACCTGCCAACTCTTCAACTGCCACTGTTACATCTGCTTCTAGCACTCCAACTGTCACCGAAGCTTCAACTCCATTCAAACAATATTCTATGAGATTTGAACATGCTGGTGTTATTGGAAAGACTGGTAAGGAAGGTAGTGATAATGACTTGTTCAAGGGTCCATGGGATGTTAAAGTTTCACACAATTGTGGAGTTATCATTGTCTCTGACAGTCGTAACAATAGAATTCAATTCTTTGATCTCAAAACTAAGGAATACAAGGCTACTCACAAGACACCAAAGAATCCAAGATATTTGGCCATTGAACCAAACTTTGAAGGTAATAATGATGCTTTGATTTACACTTGTGACAATCACTGTGTCTACAAGTACAATTTGAAGCAATTGTTGACAGCTCACGAAAAGGAAAAGGTTGAACCAATCTGGACCTCAGGTAAGAAGAAGGGTAGCGATATTTCCTTGTTCAATGAACCTGCTGGTGTTATCGTTTGTACCTCTAGAAAGATCAATCAAATGTTCCCAGAATTGGCTCAAACTGGTGGTAACACTGTCTTTGTTTGTGATGGTGAAAATCATCGTGTTAAGGTTTTGAAGGCCTCTGATGGTAAACCACTCAAGGTCTTTGGTTCAAAGAAGGATGATAAGGACGGTATTCTCTTCAATCAACCAGAAGGTATCTACTTGTCCATCAATAATAATCTCATTGTCTCGGAATATGGCAGTCACAGAATGCACATTATTGGTATTGATAAGGATAATCACGAATTTGTATCTTTGAGAGTCTACGGAAAGGAAGGCCAAGGAAGTATGGAATTTATCAACCCACGTGGTATTGCCATTGATGAAACTCTTAAGAATGTTGTTGTCTGTGATGGTGGTAACAATAGAATCACTTTCTTCAATTTGGATTCTGGTGTTTTCACTGCCAGTTACAATGGTTCATTGGGTAAGGATCAATTCGGTCGTGTTGTTGGTTCCTTCTTTGATGAAAAGACTGGTGACTTGTACCTTGCTGACTATACCAATTCTAGAGTTGTTATTCTCAAATAATTATTGTTAGAAGAAAGAAACCTATGTAAATTGACCTAGACAACTAAGCTCACTAAATCCTAAATAAAATAAAAACAATTTAAAATTATTATAAAAGAGTAACAATAATAGTACATGTAAGATTAAAAGGTTATGGAATAGTATTTATTCAGTTGAATCTTCCAATTTCTGCCAGTATTTGAATGAAGAAGATACTAAATTACGAGTCTTGACATCCAAATTCTTGGTAGAGTACTTTTCTTTGAGATAGGCCTTTAGTGTCTGATTAGAGGCAGAGGTATGTTTGTACAGTTTGGTCAACATTTGATAAGTTTGATTTGCACTCTCGTTCGTTAGAGAAATATATCTCACTGTGGTGCTAAAGGCATAAAAGAAGATTGTCATTCCAGTAATGTCCTTATCAAAGACTAATTCCTTCAAAAAGTTGTACTTGTTCATTGAAACACCAGCAGAAAATCTTGCATTACCCTCAGACAAGTAATTTCTCATCAGGAATTTACACAACAATTTGGAACTTTCAAAGTCGTGCATGATTACACTTTCCATTAAGACATTTCTTCCAAAGTTATTTCTAGAGAGGAGAGCCTTTTGTAAGAGTTCTTCACCCAATAGAGATACAGAGCTTTCCAATATTTTGGAAAAGAAGAGAATATACGAAGGAACATAGATTGGTTTGCCGTCCACGCTTCCAAAACTAGCAGTTGTTTGTACCAAATCATCTTTGTAATTATTTCTCTTATCCTTTAGACAAGAGAAGAGAGGAGACTCACCTCTCTGATTCTTTTTCAGAATAACTTTAGGCGAATGAGTAGCTAGATATCTGAAACCTTCATAGTCTTGCTTTCTCATAATTTGATGCATCAAACTCTCAGCAAGTCCCAGGCCAAATGATAACCCATTCGTAACATCAAACGAGGCGCCAAATAATCTCAAGGTATCACACATTACATAATCCTTCTTTTGTAAAGCTAAAGCAATTGGAAGATTACCCAAGTGATCCCTCTTCAAGTTCAATTGGCTATCTCTCACAATCGGTTGAGAGCACAGGAAGGCACAACATTCCAATGAGCCGAATTCTATCGAATAAAATAAAGGAAACACGTCATTCGAATCTTTGACAGTTGACCACAAATTTTCTCTTCTCTGATGACATGATGGGCAATGATTAATCTCATCACAAATATTCAACTCGCAACATAAAGCTTCTAACCATTCCAACAGATCCAATCTATTGAAAATACATGCCAAGTGCAGCAGTGAAAATTGTCTATTCAAATACTTGAAAATAATCTTATTCGAAACTGTGTCCATCAAAGCTTGAGGAGCCACAAATCTCCACATTGAATTAGTTGAAAGGGAATGGCACAAATTATCTACATATTTACAAATAGTTTTACACTTTACAATAGGAATTCCTTGCTTGATCTCTTCTTTACCAAGCAATAAATCCAAAGGAATCAATGTAACTCCTTTCGAATAATTATCAATACTTTCTGATGAAAATTCTCGGAATGCTTCCATCACAATACTCTCCAAAGAAGTATTGTATGAATTTCCACAAGTCAACCCAATAGAAATATCTTCCAAAAGGACAACTTGCTGCAGATCATCAACAACACCTCCAAGATGTTGTTGTTGTTGATTAGAATACGAAACTGCAACTTCCATTTTTAAGCTTAAAGTGGTAATGGTACAACGAAGTGAAGAGTTTCAATTTTTTGTACAAGCGAAAAAAGACTCTTGGTGTCGATGTTTTTTTTTCAAGTTGGTTTTTGGACTGTTCACGTTTGTGTTGGCGCCTTTTTCAATTTTTTGTAGTTTTTTTGGTCCAGCAAAAAATCGAATGTCTACAACAAACACCATAAAAGGTCATTCTCTCACCTTATTGATTTGGTTTGTGAAGAACGAATCGGGAATGTAAAAGTCTATTAAGGGAAAATTAAAGATGTATTTGGTAAGATGAGAGATTAACTTGATTTTTTGAGGGTTTACGGAATTCATGGTTTGTGATTTTTTGTATTGTAAAGTCTTGAAATGCTTTAAAAAGTAAAATGTCTTGTTCATGATGGTTTCGGTTTTGGTCGTTAGCAAGTTGGTTTGTCAAGTTACAAAATGAGACTTTGAACTTCAATATTGACAAATTTCAATAATTTTTACAATGATAATTTCACACAATTTCTGTACGAATTTACAATTTTAAAATCCTTACAAAAAAAAATGTCCAAACGCGATTTGCCGCCAAATTCAATCAATGAAACAAACTTTAAAAAAATTAAAAGTGCTAACGAAGAAAATGAGCGCGTCATTCTCTTCCTCGATAATCAAGCCTCCGATCAATTCCAATTGCAAAAACTCAACAACAATTATCTCCGGGAAAAGATGAGCAGAATTTCCTCCTCCACCCGAAAATACTTTGAAAATTCTTTTAAAATTAATGATGATTTTATTCCGATCGAGTATTATCATGATGGAGGCTATGTGTTTAATTTGTTTGATGCTTTGAGAAGGAAGGGAAAGGAAGTTTCACTTTTTCATCGAGATATTCAATTTAAGTTTTCTCCATTGTTATTGCAGAGTGAGGAAGGAGTGATGAATTTACAGTTTCTCGACAAGTTATTGGAAGTGAATGGAACTTTTATTAATAGGGCACCGAAGGAGTATAGCTTTGATAAGGAGGTGATTAGGAAGGTGATGAAAACCTATGTTGGAGCCTATTATATGCTTCCACAAGAATTGAAGAATGATAAAGAGCTGGCGTTGCTGTCCATTGAGAATAATCCGAATTTATCTTCATTCTTGCCAAATCATTTGAAGAGTGATAAGGAAATCTTTATGAAAATTATTCAAGATGGGTGTTATAATGGACAAGCATTTGGATTGGCCTCTTATGAAATTAGATCTGATAGAGAAATTACTTTGCAACATGTTGCAAAATTTCCTAAATCTATTAGAGAAGCAGCAGAGGAGTTGCAATCTGATAGGGACTTTATTTTACAATGTATCAAAATGAATGGAATGGTCATTGAGTTTATTGACAAAAAGTTTCTATTCGATAGGGAAATAATAGTGGAAGCTGTTAAATATAGAGCTAGTCCTGAATCAAAAAAGTTCCCTATAGACTTTGCCCCAAACTCCTTCAAATCTAACAGAGAAATTATTCTATCCTCTGTCTCTCACTCTGGTGCTTCCCTCAAATCAGTATCGATTGATTTCAAATCAGATAGAGAAATAGTACTTGCTGCTGTGAAGCAAAATGGAGAAGCTCTGGAGTATGCCTCTTCCGCACTGAAAAATGATAGAGAAATTGTTAGTACGGCCATTCAAAAGTGTGCAAGCTCCATTCGATTTGCATCTTCTGGATTGAAAAAAGACAGAGAGTTGGTCATGCAAGCAATCAAACAAGATGGTACTTTACTCTTTTTCTTTGAACATTTTCAAGATGATAGAGAAATGGTATTGGAAGCATTAAGAAATAATGGTTCTTTGGAGTATGCCTCAGAAGAAATAGAAGCAGACAGAGAAATTGTACTCGAGGCCATTAGAATTAACACTACAAACCTTGATTATGCATCTGAGGAGCTTCGCTCAGACAAGGAAATTGTTTTGGAAGCTATTATCTTGGAATCTAAGAAAGAGGCAGAACCTTTCGTTCAGCCATTCATCTATGCCACCGAAGAGTTGCAAAATGATAAGGAATTTGTTATTCAGGTGGTTCAAATTGATGGGTCATCTCTTCAATTTGCATCAGAGGAGTTGCAAAATGATATCGATGTCATCAAGAATGTTCGTGTTGGAAGAATTACCTCACCTGAATTATATGGAAACTTGTCACGAAATTTTGAATTCGTAAAGCAAATTGCAAAACAAAATTTCAAGCTTGTCATTGATTTTGTTTATGAAAATAATCCAGAAATTACAGCAATAGGTTTGGAACATTTTGGATATTTTTCTACCTATTCCAAACAACAACATTATCACAGATTATCAGTCACCTATCCTGAATTGGAACATGTAGAAAAATATTATCAAATACGTTATTAATTTGTAATACTATATTAATAATCAATACAATAATTAAGAAGGTGGATTAATTTTTAATGAACTTGGCTAATTGCTCAAAGAATTCTCTTCCTTCTGGAATGAAATTATAAAACAATGGATAATCATGGAACAAATCTCTTCCAACCAAAATCTTCAATTCCTTCATCAAATCTTGATCTTTCACCAATCTCTTCTCAAAAACACTCAATTCATCAATCAAACGTTCCTTAGATCCATAATTGAAGAAAACTCTCTTTCCATGCAAAACATCAATCTCTGGCCAGTGAGCAATTGAGAATTCCTTTGGATCAGATGTGAATGGAACTTGCGAATTGTCACAATCGAGAATTAAACGACGAGAAAGACTAATTTCATTTCTATTACCAGCTGCCACAATACTTTTAGTTTCCAAACAGAGATCACACCAAGGACTCATCAGTAAAATGTTATTCAATTGAGAATAAAGTGGAGAGTTGGATTGTTTTAAAAATCTCAGTGTGTTCATAACCAAGTTACCACTATTTGAAAATGAACAAGTTAAATTTCAATCCTTTCGAATAAAAATTTGATCAACTTACCCTGCAGAATCACCTCCAAGAGTAACTAATTCAGGATTCAAACCCAGTTCTGAAATAGCAGTCTTGACCTCTCCAAGAACTTCAGGGAAAATTTCCTTATAATCAACCTTAGGAGATAATCCATAATCAACCAAATAAACATTAATGCCAAACTTTTCCACAAATGGAATGAAAAGACCAGCATAAGAATGAGTTGATCCAAAGAAAAATCCTCCACCATGAATAAATATCAAAGTCTTTCTCTCCTTGGCATCCTTCTTATGTGAAATCCACACATTATTTCGTTCTCTACCTCTAGAAAATGATTCAATTGAAATTTCATTCGAATTTCTAGCTCTTTCCACTTCAAAATCTGATTTGTACAAGACACGAGTGGCAAATTCCAACTTGGCCACAATTTTCTTAAAATCATCATGATTGAGCTTTCTCTTTGGTTCCGAATCGTTCACTGAAGTCGAGGCCAACAACATGAAAGCTCTTCCTTCGGGGCTACACAAATCTCCATAAATTTTCCTTGTATCGGAGATGAACTTTTCCTTGATAGTCAATAGGAAGTGAATGATTTTTGCAAGACAGAACAATGGTCCTCCCACTCGAGAAGCAACCACGTAAAATAGGAGGCAAAATATCAAAAAGCAGATGAGAATGAGTGTAAACATTTTTTTTTGTTTGAATTGATGAGAATCCTGTGGGAGAATATGTAGTTTTTAAAGCTAAAATTTGTCTGGATTTTACAAAATATATGAGAAGTGGACCAATAGAGGTGGAATGAATGCTTGTCATGCGGGTGTCAGATCCGCAGTTTGAAATTGATTGCAAGATATTTTGTAAGTGAATGATGTGAAATTGTAAAGAGTTGCAAGAAAAAGTTGCATGGTTGAGAGGTTATGCAAAAACCATTGAGGTTTGGCTTCATGTTTTACAAAAACTTCTTCAATTGAATAATTCTCAAGATAGTAGAGTTTGTTCTGTAGTGATTTTAAGGAGATTCTGATGTTACCGTTCACCTACCTGTCATCATTCATTAAACACTCAACTTCAATTATTTCAGATCTCAATATATTTGAACATATTGAAATATTAATAATTAAATTTATGATAAATTAAATTTTATTTTTATAATATTATTATACTTGTGTGTGTAGTAGTGAAGATGATGAAAATACTGTGTGTGGTCTAGAAGATTATATTCACATTAAATTGTGTGGATTAACTTGTAAAGAAGGAAAGGGAATCATTGAAATGTGACAATGATATGGAAAGGAATGAAACTTTGTTCTGTCTCAGTAATAACTTTAGAAATTAAAAGTTGTTTTTACCAATAACGGTGTTCTTGACAATGGCTTCCTTAACATTGTCGAATACTGTCTTGATGGCCTCAGTATCAGTGGCACATGTTATCCTGACATCAATCTTCTTTTCATCCTTATCTTCAACACGAGAAATGAATTTGTCCTTGATGTGATCTGCACATTGTCTCAAATTGGTGTCATCTCCTTCAAATTCTGGGAAAACTCTCTTGAAAACACCACGTTCATTCAACTTTTTAGAAAACAAGTCACTCTTATTCAAGAACAAGATAACAGGTGTCTTTTCAAAGAAGTGAGAATTGACAATTTCATCAAATAAAAGTATGGATTCGTCCAAACGGTTTGTACTATCATCTTCGTAACACTTTTGATCAAATTCACTCAAACTGGCAACGAAAATAATGGCAGTGACATCATCAAAGCAGTGAATCCTATTATTATTATTGAAAATTATAAATTATTAATTATTAAATTATTGTGTGTATAATTAATGTGGTAAATAAAAGGATGGGAGAGATGAGAATACGTACCATTTCTTACGTTCGTTTCTTTGACCACCAACGTCAATGAGAAGCCTATATTATTGTAATTATTATTATCATTGTTGTATGATGAAGGGAAACATCAAGGAATGTCATCAGAATGTCAAAGTATCTAATTAGTATTTTGGATTGTGTTTGTTACTTACATTTTGAGTTCATCAATTTCGAACCTCAGCTGAACCACACCAGTGGTTTTTATTCTGCAGTGGAGGACATCTTGTTGGTTAGGAACATAGTCTTTTTGAGAGATTCTCTTCAAGTTTGTATAGAAGCTGTATATTGTTGTTGTTATTGTTATGATTATATAATAATAATAATTAAATAATAATTATTGTTATTGTTGTTCTAAGTAAATACTTACTACTCAGTAGAGTCCAACAATTGGAATTCGTTTCTACGTTTATAAACAGTCTGTATACCAGCATCTTCCCATAAATCCTTCAAGTCATTGGCAAAGGCTTCATTGTAGACCTTGTTAATATTCAAGAGTGAGTCGTTTTGTAATTCAAGGATTTTAGCAGCCTTTTGTCTATTCTCTGGGTTCTCAATAGGAATGTTGAGATCATGAGAGGCTTGAATAAGAGCTTGCATAGATTGGAGAACGTTGGAGTGAATAGTATCAACGAAACCAAGTAATTCGTGTTCATTATAACCTCCGTCGTGTATAATTCTGATTTGCTGTGGTATTATGATTATAAATTATAGAATTTGATTAGTGAATATAATAAATATATAATATTGAATAATAATAGAATAGATAGTATGATGAATGACGTTAGAAAGGAAGGAAGAGAATATAATGGAATACGGTTCACATATTTTGTTAGGTAGTAGTGGTAGTAACAGGTGTTCACATTCCATGGAAGTTGATATTTGGTGGTGGTGAATGAACCCAAACGATGATCGTCATCAACATCATATTGTCATCATGATGATTATCATTGGATAACAGCATCATCATTAGCAATAAGTTTTTAAAACAGAAATAATTTTTGGAGGGAAACAAATAGTAACGGTTTCATGTGGGATGCCAAAATTTACAGTAAAAAAGAACAAGCACAAGCACAGGATGAGGTTCATTGCCATTCGTCATCGCCATGATTGTTATGATTAGGAATGAAGATATGAATTATCCATAGTATATAATTATGAATAAAATTGTAAATGGGTAACAAGACAACAAGACATTAAAAACATTATTGTTATCCACCAAATTATCATCATTAACAACAACATACCTTGAACAATGTAGATTTGCCAGATTCACCAGCACCTAACAAGAGTAATTTAATCTCGCTATCGTTTAATCTATCATCACGGAGCATATCATTAACCTTTTGGTCAATTTGTTTTCCGTTGTTACTTCCTAGACCACAGGCTTGACCCATTTTAAATGTTTTGATGAAGTTTTGATGTTTGTGAGTTGAATGTTTTAAATGATGAATGACTCAGAACACTTCTGCCGTTTGATGAGTGTGTTTTTGTTTGCGACGCGGCAGTTACGTTAGAATTTTTTTTTAAAGAAGGCTGACAAGTGAAGGATGCGTTAAATTACCAGTCAAAACAGTTGAACCAAAGAGCATGATGTACTGGTAACCCAATAATATTCTTTGATAGTGAAAATACCTCAAAATTCTAGCCATTCTCCAAAAGAAGAACAAATTGATAGCTGTTGCAAAATTCACCTCAACTTCTCATTTATCTTTGAGTCAATACAACAATTGGAGTTGTAAATCATGAGAGACTCCAAAAAGTTCCTGGCATTATTATCTGTCATTTCTACAAGTTGGAATTTTATGGGAATCCTTTTCCAGAAAGTACAAGTGAGCGTGACCTGTCAACAAAATACTTTCGAACGATCCCTATGACTGTTCAGGGTTCGAAAGACAATTAAAGTCTTAGTAACATTGAGACTATTCAAGGTTTTTGTGGACCTCTTTGCTGTAAATCGAATAGAGTTTCTTCTGTAAAGAGAGTTTGCATAATGTTTCGCTCCAATTCTCTAGCTTGCCTTTTTAGAATAATGTAACGATATGGTCTTGTTCACAAAGCATTGTAATAATGTCATTATTATTGTTATCAATGGAGTGAACGAACAAGGTGCTGAATTATCAAATCTATATCTGTTGATGGAAATTAATTACCTTTCGTTGCTTCAGGAGAACAAGTAAAGAACAAGAGCCGTTGTGAAGGTGAAAAAAGAAGGAATTTCCCCATAAAATTTATGAAATTCGATCATTTGCAAATATTGTAATGAATTATGTATGGTTAGCTTCTAAACAGTGGAGAATGAGATAAAACCTCTGGAGCTTCATTAGCCAGCTCATAAAGGATAACACATGCCACAATCTTGGGACAGAATATTAGTTATTATTGGAATACAATTTATAGTGATCATAAAGCCGTCATAGCTCAGTTGGATAGAGCACAGGACTTCTAATCCTGGGGTCGTGGGTTCGAGCCCCATTGTCGGTATCTGATTTTTAATTTTCTGGTTGCTGTTTAATATTGAATAACTTGTTTGGTTATCATCTATGTAATCACATGATATGAATGGATATGAATTGAGTAACATTAACAATATTAATAGATGAATAGTAACAATGATTGTTATTTACATAAACAGCTGTCAACCCGACTGTTCATCATGTTGACTCTGTGATGATTCATCAATAAGCTTCTTCGATCCATCCTCCTCGAACACATTGGTATCATCAGTTGCTTCTTCCTCTTGAGTGTAATCTTGCTTGGAGAATAAGGACATTGTGAAATAATAAAAATTATTAATTTATTAACAACTTTCCAATAAATTAATTTTGAAAATTACCAAAATTAAAGCCTTACCACCTAATCTGTACGACGATGAAAATTTAAAAAAGACCACAAATGGTCAGCAAAATTGAAAATTAAGAGAACAAAATCCTTTAAAAAATCATTTTGCCCCAATTTATCGAAAACCAAACAATGAGTTGTCTTATTTCTGGACAATCCTTAATAACTTTGAATTCATTGTAACCGATGATAGCTCAGCTGGTAGAGCATGGGACTGTAGCAAGAAAAACTGTCATCCTGTGGTCGGCGGTTCGATTCCGTCTCATCGGATAATTTTAATTTCATCTTACACCATTGCTGTTACAAGAGGATATTAGATATCCTATGTTTTGTAAATTTAATAAAGAGAACAACCTTTTTGTACCAAAATTTCAAGGGGAATTCCTCTTATTTATTATCACACCCAAGTGGAAGATTTCTTTCTGATTATCAACAGCTTCAAACAGCTGACCGTTTTCTTATTCAATATTAAGATTTTGATAATCTGAGTGGCTACGGCCATATCACGATGAACGCACCTCATCCCGTCCGATTTGAGAAGTTAAGCATCGTCGAGCCACATCAGTACTGAGGTTGGAGACAACTTGGGAACCTGTGGTGCTGTAGTCTTTTTGTTTATTTGTTTTTTCACTAGTTCACGTTTACTTATCAATCCCCCTTAATTGTTGGTCAAGTTTGCTTCTCACATTCTTTCCAAGTTCTGATTGAACTGCTCCATCATAAATATTGATTATTAAGATTCGCTACATGTTCAATATCAATAGTCGAACAAGGCATTAAAATTTATTAAAATACCACAAACATTTTGCCATTCTTCGCTCCACAACCAACAGAATAAAAACTCTGTTCCTTATGCAATTCTCAAAACCATCTTTCTCGGCCAATTGGCTTTGATCGAGTGTAGTATCTGTTCTTTTCAGTTTAATAGCTGAAAGCAGCTCACGGGTTGCATCTACTATTAACTCAATTTTTTGTAGGGATCAGGGTTTGAGCTTAATTGCTCACTTTGATTTGGTTTCAATCAGACATTGCACAAACCGTCAGATTAGGAGCCACCTAACTCTTTTAATTAATTGAAAAATCATTGCACAAAGAAATCTCAATCAGAGCAAAATTGAGTATTTGTCAAATTCCGAGCATGTATGATGACGAATTTTAAGAATGGCTAGCTAACCTGGTAATAAGTATTTCAATTTAACATTCGGAATATTTCACTTTTTGAATATCCAGAAAACTCAGAAATATTGCAACTTTATCTTTTCTTAAAACTTTATAAATTTTCGTCCAATTTCTTCTTGAGACTCTGGACTAGGTATAGAGCTTGTTTTTCAAGATGGTTTTGGTTTAGATTTTTGTAAGGAACTACTACACTGTATGCTTTCTGATCTAGAAAGAACTTAAATGATTGGAATAATTAATTTTTCGTTACAACCAATGCTATTTTATAGATGAGGAATATTTTTAAAGAGAATAAGATTCCCGTGTAGTCCAATGGCTAGGATACCTGGCTTTCACCCAGGAGGTCCGGGTTCAATTCCCGGCATGGGAGAATCATTTTGGTTTCACGTCTTTTTTGAATGGAAATAGATACTCACACAGGATTTGGAAAAAATCAATTGTATTCTAACTTTTTTAGCTGATCTTGAAATAATTGCAGTCAATTGTTTAATTCTCCTATCTGATAAGTCATTTATCAATTATTATTTCACAAACTCGATTGACAATGAAGAAGGGAACAATCCCCAAGTTTATTCATCAAGACATCAGACAATCTTACACTATTCATTATCAACTAGAAGAAAGCCCTCCTCTTCACCACTTTCTCTAGCACAATTTCCCAACAAAACTTGTTGATTTTTTCTATCGTAAAAGAATGTGTAAATTTCAGAGTTGTGGAAAATATTCGAATGCTCAACAATGAGATTCAACATTTTCTGGAAAACATGCTTTCTTTCTTCAATGATTTCGTCTGGATTCGTAAATAGAGACCATCTCTTGAGTGGAAATTCAATTCTCTCATTCGAATTGACCTCTAAAGTTCCATCCCTATTATTATTATTATCAACACATTTACACATGATATCGAACAATATTTTGAATTGAGTATACTTTTTCTGTATTCGAAAGCCCAACAACTTTCCATTCACATTAAGCGTAACCTCAATGATATAGAAACATGAATGTTTGTTAAATGTTTTTGAGGAATCTTGAATGGTTGCAACAATCTCACACTTTTCAAAATACGTAATTTCACTCATGACACTGTGTTCCATAGTTTCGTATCTGCTTTCTAATCTTTGGAAGAAACTTCTTTCACGCATCTTTTCAATGGCCAAATCAACCAAAGTTGCACAACAAATAGCTGGAACTAAAACTGGATAGCCACTCACGATCATCCAAGTTAGACGAAAGGAGAGCCACATAGAAATTGCTTGTGTGCATTCATCTTTTGAATATTCGAAAGCCATAACTGCTGGAATGAGAGCTAGGGAGAAAGGTAGACCACATAGACGAAACAAACACAAATCCATATTTGGTTTACAATCTTGATATTGAATTCTGTCTTGGAAAATGGAGAGAATGAAGCTTCTGCCATACCTTTCGTCTATGTATTTCTTCCAAGATTTACAGACCTCTCTCAATGTTAGAAAGTGTAAGAAAGTGGAAGAAGTTCCGCCTGCTTTCTTTGGATTAAAATCTGAATCGTTTGGTTTGAAATAATAATCTAGAATATTACCAAATACAACTGGTTCGTTCAAATAATGAACATTATTGTAAACTAATACGAAAGATGAAGAATTGCTTCTTCTCCTTTCGAATATTTCAGACATTTGATCAACAATTTCACTTCTATAATATAAAAATTCATCATCATCATCAACATTCGAATCCAGTTCATCTTCCTGGTCATTGGAATCATTCGTCTGATTTCGAATAACAATTTCTCCATCAGAATTCTCCTCTTCCAATGGTTTAAAATTTGACAAGTAGAGAAAAATGTGTTCCAACTCGTTGGTCACTTCATCCTCCGTCGAAATCAATGTTTTCTGATCAATAATGGAGCTGCTAATTCGTGAGCGAAGATTTGACATTTTTTTATGTTTGAAAGTTTTTGATCTTTCTTAATTTAGCAAACGTGATGTCTAATTCTGAGCGAAGTGAAGAATGGACTTGTTTTCATTGTAAACTTAATAAAATATAAGTTGAGTATTTTTCCATGCTCAAAAAATTATCACAATGGCCCCAACACCAACTACACCAAAGAACAACAAGAAAACGAAAGACCTTAGCTCACCTTCTGCAGATAACTCCCACCCAATTAGTCCCACCCTTATTCAACCTTTTTTACGCTCTCAATGATTCTTGGTAAGTGTTCATTGAAGTGAGGTTTCAGATATCATCAAATGATATCTTTTTTATTTTAATTTCAGTTTAGTTATGCCATCCTATTCGCACCTCCTAATTTTTTTCTTATCTTTACTAATACTATTGATAAGTTTTTTTATAAGAGCCATATTTATTAATCTCGGGACCTGCTAATAAAGATTTATATCCATTAAAGCAGGTCTCAAGGCTGAATCACCTTAAAGGTGTAACAGTCCCTGAGCTTTAATACCCATTAGTATAATTACTTGTTCTCAATCTTGTTTTTATTAATTTGCAATGTAACATGAAAATTGAAAAACACGTTTTGATTAACAAGCATTGATAAATTATACATTCATTTTCATTGAAAAATATATTAAATAGTATTTTAGTATTAGAAAGTCTATACTAAATTTCAGTTTCGTTTCGGTACAATAGTAAGGCATAATTCCTCACATTCAACTCGCACCATATTCGAATAATTTCCAAATTCAACATTTTTCCAAATTTGGAAGAGAATTGTATCAATTCAAATTTATCAATTCACATCAAATAGATGTGTGTTCGATGCCATGAATTTCATAAAAATTACAAATTTTCGTTATTAAACGGCTATTTTTTATGCCTTTTATGAAAATGCAAAAAAGGAAATTGTATTTTTCTCAGAAAAACACATCAATGTGTTGTGACAAACGTACGTGGCCAACAGGAGAGAGATGATAATAGAGAGATTATTCGAAACTCAGAATAAACTTATGGAACGTGAATTCAATAAGTGTCATTGATTTGGTGTCCGAAAACAATCATTGATGGTTGTGAACTGAGATGTAGCGCGTTTACATCAAATTTCATTGCCATATCGTGAGATGAAAATGTTAAGGATTTGGCAATTATTGAAAAGACTTATGTTATTTGAAAAGATTTCAAAGTTGGCTCAATCTTCAGCTAATTATCAAAAGCTTGTTGTTTGATTTCTTGTCTTGTTTCAAAATAAAGAATTTTAAAACACAAAAAAGTTGTTTTGCCAAATTGCTTAAAATCATGTGCAAAGCCAATCTCCAGACGTGGCATCAGATATTTCAGATAGCATAGACGATTCCTCTATTGAAAATTATTTGTCAATTCACACAACTTTACAATTTCAATTTCCAAATGTAAATCCTTAATTTTCAGTTCCAAATTTATAAAATTTACAAAATCTAAAATTAAAAATCTCAACAAAAAAAAAATGGCAAACAATCAACGAACCCTCACGCTTATTCCGTACGGAGAGGCAAGAAACGAGTGGCCCGATGACGGAAATCACATAATTGCAAGCTATACCGAGGATGCGGTTCTTGTTTATCAAGCATTTAATGATGAAATTGCAGATTATGCGGTCAAACATCAAAAGTTTGATGGATGTCCTTCGTATAATGATACCCGAATGACCTGGGTGAAATCCAATTGGCTATGGATGATGTATCGATCAAATTATGCAACTAAGCAAAATCAGACAAGAATTCTTGGGTTGTGGTTGAAAAAAAGTGCCTATGATGATATTTTGAAAAAGGCAAGATTGAAAGGAGCTGGAGCTGGGTTGACTAGAGCTCAGTGGGATCCTGATTATTCACCAGAATTGGAGCCAATTAAGAGGAGGAGGGATTTACAATTAGGAATTAAAAAGAGAGAAACATTTAGGAATGGAGAGGATTTTGTGGAGATTGTAGATTGTACTGAATTGGCTCATATCAGTAAAAAGACAAAAACCATTCCACATGAGAGAGTCTATACGCCTGATAATGAAGTTTGCATTAATTTACAAGTTTCAAAATTGTGTTGAAATGAAGCTTAAATTTGTAATTAAATGAACATTTGAAAAGTTGAAACATGTTTAAATGTTGAATGATAATTTTAATAAATGTTTGGTAAATCACAACAAATCTCTCGCAACCAGATTTCAGTGAGCTACCGAACTTTGTCGCGACCTAAATGATAAATTTGGCATTTCCATACCTGAATTAAATATTGATCGACGATAAATGATAATTATGAATACATCAACAAATCAATAAAAGGTTCATTTTCATCATACTCATCATACACACCATCGACTACTGTAACTAGATGTCAATGGACACAGAGGAATCATTGACTTCAATTACTTTTTTCTACACTCATTTAGAACATTTCTTCATGAAGAGTTAATTGGTACCGTAAGGTGAACGTTGTCATTTTATGATCTTCATTCAGAATTGAGAGATATGATCAATCATTGAATTCAATTTATTCGAAATATATAGTATTTCAAATGCATGTCGACATCTATCAACGATGTTTTGGTAGATGTTTGGTGCCATTTTTTGAAAAAGTTGTGGCACAGGAATACTCCGCAACGTGAAGCTGAGGTGCGGCTGGCGCCGAATATTCGAATCTCAACTTAAAAAAATAGCAATGTCTAATAACCAGCAAACAAATGTCATTGCAAATAATGTCCCAATGAATACCAACACATGTTTACAACATTTACCAACAACAAACATGCTACCATCCATAAAGGATCTAGTTTCGAATAGTCATCCTTCTCTTAACCATCTACCACCACATGAATCTCAACACGATGTGTTTTCCACTCAAAGAATCAACTCAATACCTAATATCCATAGCAATGGTTCAATTGCAAACCCATTTGTAGTAACAAGCATGGACACATTGAAACACACATCACCTCCAGTTCTTCGACCTTCTCAAATATCACATGTAATTTACACAGCTCCATCTTATCAACAACCAAGTAAGATGTTACATCAACATGTTGCATCGCCATCTAACATCATGGAGTTAAAACAAGATGTAATACTTTCCACTACTAATTATCAACGTGTAAACATGAAGAATGAAATGCAGGACACATCTAACATGCACATGTCCAAATCTCAATTTGAAAACATTAATCTGGAACATAGATGTGAGCAGCAAATGCTAATTATTAATCAATTACAAATGGAAAATAAGCAATTAAAGGATGAAATTGCGCAATTTAAGAGGAAGAGAGATGAATGCATTCGAGAATCAACCCCAACTAAGAGAAAAACATCTAATTCTAATGGAAAAACTCCATCATCATCTTCTACACCCGCATGCATTACATTTAGTTCAATGGCATTTGATGAATCATCTAGTTCAGACCATAGCGAGATTGATCCTTCTCAAATGGTGGTCAATTGGGGTTCGAAAACGTATTACCTCGTGGGAGCATTCAAAGCAATCAGCTCCAGAACTCGCGTGTTGGTCAATTTTGTTCCCATGTTTGAAAAGGAGTTTCCAGAGAAGGAATGTAAATTAGTTCTAACTAGTGAGGAATTCAAACGATTGGCTAAGGAGAATCCACATCTATTCAAGCAGAGCAAACATACATGGAGAGTTTCATTGTTCAGCTCTGATTTTTATCAATATGTAAAAGCTAAAACTGGTCATTAATGTAATTCCAAATGTTATATCAAGTTGGTTTAATATATGTATGCATTCTCATCCATCTCATGCATTTACTCTAGTTTAAATATCATTAGATATTTCATGCATGCTAATGCTCAATGAAATATTCAGCATGGCAGCCACATTCTTGATTGGAGTCTCAAAGTGAGGTCTCAACTGATCATGTGATTGGAGTCCTGCAAAACGTCATGCAATAGTCACGATAATAATACAAAACATGGTTTGTGTATTCAATCATCATCAATCATGTGTTCATAATTTACAATTTTGGATTCATGATTTTCACGTCCGTTCAATAATTCTTATATAGAAAGATCTAATTGAAATATAAATCCGATATGCACATCCGTCCCACATCATCTCTGCATGCATCTTTGATCAAAATCTCAATTAAATAGTATTCATCATATCATAGCATCATTTACTAACATCATCTTCATCATCAAAATTAACAACAATAATTAATTTCTTCTTCCATTATAATTAATCAAGGAACCACTCTCTTCCTCTTCTCCTAAAGCACCTCCAATGGAAGCACCAGAAGAACCAGAAGCCATTCTAATCGATCTTGTTGTATTCGGTGAAGGAAGTGAAAGATACGTAGCCGATCCAACCAACTCTCCCAATCGATTATGCAATGGAACATACAACCGACCTGTTAATTGTTTGTATTGTCGTTTTAGAATTTGATTTCTCAGGTACAAGTAATCGGCAAATAATACTAGGGTCATCATGTAGAGGGCATTCTTGGAGAGTGTAGTAGCAGTGTTGAGGAGACGAACCGGGAGTTGGAGGAGGAATTTGATGAGAACGCCTAGATCGAGAAGGCTTCGTGAGGTGTTGGCCATATTTTTTTTTAAATTTTTTTTTTTATATTTTTTTATATTTTTTTTAAATAGTGATTGTAAAGTATTAAGTATTATATAATTTAATTTTAAATCATTTCAATATCCTCTGTTTCTTCTTCTTCTTCTTCAAGATCAGCTCCAAGTGAGAATTTTCCTATATCATTATCATCCACATCTTCAGGAATTTCATCTCTTTCAACTTTCTGATAATGTTTTTGACTTTCTCTATTCTTGAGCAAGTAATAAATAGCTCCTGCCAGAATGATTGACAAAATGAGTACAGATCCAATTGTTACTAGAAGTAGAGCCATAAGATTTTCACTAATCATTCCACTCATGTTAGAATTCCCTGGAATGAACATTGAGAAATGAGGTTTTGGTTTCTTTGGACTCTCGTTAGGATGTGGAATGACTTTCTCAGTGCATTGTTGTAATTTTTCAGAGAGTTCATAATCCTCTGGACAATAAGGTGATAGCTTTCTAATAAGATTATTACTGCTATCAACAAAATAGACGGATAAACCATCGTTAGAGAATGCCAAACTTGGCACATGTGAAATCAATGTTGTAGTGGCTTCTCCATCTCCATTATATCCTATAACATTTTCAAATCCAGCAATTCGTCTAATAACTGCATTCTCATCATTGAGGTTGTAATGGAAAATTCCTATTGTTGAGAGATCAGAAAAAACAAGAGCATCTCCTCCTGGTGAAACTGCGAGACTTTGTGGCATACTCAAACAGGTTTCTCTTCCTCTCTTTCCTTCTTCCATATCGCATCTCTCGTTTGGTGTTCCAATAATTGTGGTAACTATTCCATTGGAAATCTTTCGAATGACATAATTCTTTTGATCGATGAAGAATAAATCACCATTTTTTGCACTAGAAAGTGAAGTAGGTCCATTGAGAATGCTCTCTTGTGGATCATATAAGTTATAGCCATGAATTTGTGAGACACCAGCAATGGTTGAAACAATACCGTCACTAGAAACTTTTCTAATAGTATGATCCATTGAATCGGCAATGAACAACTCATTGTCTGGACTCACTACCACAGAGGAAATATCCATAAATCTAGCTTCGAGTGCATTCAATCCGTCTCCATGACTACCTGCAACATTCGATAGGGATCCATTTGAAATCTTTCTAATTAAATCAAATTTTGGATTGGCAAAGAGTAAATCCGATTCTGTCTCTCCAAATGAAAGACCACCAATTGAACCAAAATATGTTTCGAATGGATCATCGTCCAATTCGGGATACGATTTCATTCTAGATCCTGCAACTGCTGTTACCTCACCATTCGAATATTTGGTAATGAATGCATCATGTGAAACAATAACTTCGTCATTACTTGTAACAATCAATCGGTGTGGAGATCTCACTTGGAAGAGGGTTAAGAGTTTGCCTTCAGATGTAATCTTTCTGATTTTATGGCTCTCACTTTCCACAAAATAAACCTCTCCCTTTCTATTCAAATAGACACCAGATGGTGAGTCAATTGTGGAATTTGTTGCCAGAATTCCATCTTCACTGGAGCCTTGCACACCAGTTCCAGCAATTGTTGAAACTAGATCGGTTTTTCTTGTCCACTTTCTAATTCGATGATTTGAAATGTCAGCAAAGTAAATATCACCTTCTTCAGTCACATAAATACTCTCTGGACCAATAGATGTTTCATTTCCTTTCTTTCCATCACCATTAAAAGAAGTTTGTCTATTACCAACCATAACTTCTAGTTCATTCGATACCAAATCAATTTTGCAAATAATTGATCTTTCAGCGTAGTACAAATATCCATTTCTTTCCATCACATCTCTTGGGTTATCTACAGTGCCCTCCAATTTACCAATGATAGTTGAGATAACACCCTCTTTAGAAATAACTCTAACTCTGTCATTCTTTGAATCTGCAATAAAGGTTTTTCCTAATGTTTTCGAATAAAAAACACCACTTGGTTCATTAAGGATAGCTGACAAAGCACTATGACCATCTCCTGCAAATTTTGAACCAGATCCAATAACTCTAACCAGTTTACCTTCATCATTGATTTTGAATAATTCTGAGCTCAGCACAATATATTGATCTCCATTGTTGGATCTGAATGAATTTTTAACATTCTTTACAAATTGAACACTCAATGCATCAATCCCTTCAATATCCAATAAATTATATATTCCTCCTCCTATTACTGTTTGAATAATTTGATTTTCATCAATTACTCTTGATTTGAAATATTCCTCAGAATCCAAAACAGTAATAATATCCTTTCCAGATTTGGATGAAACTTGTACTGAAATTGGATTAATTCTTGCTTGCATGGCATGTACTCCATTAAGACTGTTAATAGTTCCATTTCCAAACATTGGTTCATTTCCCTTATCTGTCATTTTGTAAATTATATTATGTTCCTCAAAGTAAATATTATTAGTGAGAGGTGACTGAAGCACTCCCTTCGAGAGGACAAACGGATTTCTTTGGATAGATACAACATTTCCATGAATGTCTAACTTTCTGATTTTGTTAAACTTCATTTCTGTGAATAAAATTTCTCCTCCAGAATTTACAAATATCTTGGTTGGATAAACTGTTGTGTTTAGTGCGTTGGTAGATACATCTGCATCAGTCAGGTAATCTTTTCCATTTCCAGCAATTTTGGATACATTTCCATCTTGCTCAATCTTTTTCAATGAGTTACTGTCAGCAACATATAGAATTACCTTATTTTCGCTATTCTTTCTTACAAAAATACTATTAATTTCAATGAAATCTGAAGGATCGGCACTATCAATTATAGCATTTGTAATATCTTTTACACATTTAGTTATTGCTTTGATAGTTCTTCTTGTTAGGGAAGCTCTCAAAATAATCTTTTTAGAATCAACAAGATATAAAACCTCCTCCATTCCTTCTCTTGAATATTTCATATCCGAAATTGAGACCCAATTTGCCTTATCCAAGCTCACTTCTTCACATACGAATGAATCACTCGAGGATTTGGCAATTAATTGCAAATCTCCCTTCCTGTCAATCTTCTTGATCATTCCTCCATTCCTCTCCTCAAACACATAAATTTCTCCTCTACCATTCTCATCATCATCACCTCCTTCAGAAATTGTCAATAACTTAGGTTTCATATATGCTAGTGAAGGTTCCATAGGAATACCACCAGCCAATACTTTTACTGTCGAAGGTATGAACTCATTCTGATCATTCTTTCTAAAAGTTAATCTCCTAACAGCTAAATTGATATCATCAACAAGAAGTATATCTTCAACTTGTTCTCCCTTCTCATTCCTATTCATAAAGATCATTGATGCAAAACCAAAACTTGCTTTCAAATTATCTTGTTCCGAAATCAAACCCTGACCAGCGATTGTCGATATCTTGTAAGAGAGTGGTTTCATCTGATTATTTGCACTACCAGTTATTTCTAATGAATTTGTTATTAGGATCATGATGACAGTCATCATCATAAAAAGGAAAAGCGAATTTCTTCTCCCTGTGATGTTCCTTGTTATGTTATTAAGGAATTGTGGTGAGGAGTTGTGCATTTTTTTTTGGTGAATTTCAATGTGAATTCTCCGACCGGGTCCTTCCTCACAATAAGTTAATATTATTGTTACTCGTTCTTTTTGTGTGAATTAGTGATTCGAATTATTTCTCTATCGTTTTGTGATTCATTGCTTTTCCATTTTTTTAATTTTAACTTTCAATTACAAAATATTACATGATTAATAAATGGATTTCATATAATCACTGATTGTTCTTGCACATTCCACATGGTTAAGTTTTGAAGCAATTTGATACGGAGTTAAACCATCCTAATATTATCAATTATACAATAATTAAATATTAAATTAATAATATTAATTTAAATTATGACAATTACCTTGTTGGGAAGAAGAGGAGCCATATGCTCCAGTAAAATCCTCAACACTTCCACTTGATTATTCTTTGCAGCCACAAATACAACACCTTCATCTTCCTGATTTTTCCTATCAAGGCTTGCTCCACATTGAATAAGCATTCGGACAACTTTTGAATTTCCAGAAAAACAAGCAACCATCAATGCACTCGATCCATTCTTCATTATTATTATTATAATTTTCATTATTCCATTCATCAATAACAATTCCATCATCATCAAATAAATTTAAAATAAATTTAAAATATTCGTGATCCGACGAGTTGATTCTTCACATTGGTGGTTAGCAGCAAAATAACCTACAAATTCCGATTCTGGATTGGCGCCATTTTCTAGCATGGTTCTCACAGTTTCCACTCGATCAGTGTCCAAACATGAAAAAACAAATTCCTCCTCGCTAATGAAGCTCATGTGTTGATTCATTTTTTTTTAAGGTTATGAATTGTTTTACAAAATCGAATAGCCATTTTACAATTTTGTTAAATGCTTTAAATAATCATTTACTGGAAAAAATGAAAAGAAAGGATTCTTCAAAACTATTCGAAAGTGAGGACGAACGTCGATCCTCAAAGATACAAAAAACAAACACTGAATCATTCTCATTTCAAAATATTGATAATTCAGATTCCGTAATACTAACTCTTGATTCGAATATCGCATCCACTTATCTGAAACAACACTTATTTTGTGGTAGAGATGATCGAAACAAGGAGAAAGTCCGCAAATTTGCCTATCGCATATTGAAACTCGGTTTCGAACAAGAAGAAGAAGCAATTCAATTGATTCAAGAATCAGGAATTGACAGTAAAAAAGAAAGATTTCAACTTTGTGATTTGTGCATTTCTCTATTCAGCAATAGCGAAATGTGTTGGCTTGCTTCATTGTTCAACTTGTGGAATTATCGACCATTTGTCTTATTGGCAGTTCAACGAAGTGTTGATGCTTTAGGATATGCCACTGATTTTCAAAAAGATGGAGAAATTGTCAAGTTTGCAGTTGAGCACTGTGGTTATGCACTCCAGTTTGCTTCAGAAGAGATAACAAAAGATAGAGAAATTGTCTTGGCAGCAGTTAAATCAAAAGGTTGTTCACTGGAATTTGCTTCTGAAGAATTGAAAAGTGACAGAGAAATTGTTATGGAAGCTGTTAAGCAAAATGGTTGGGCACTTGAAAATGCTTCTGAAGAAAGTAGGAATGATAGGAAAATTGTAATGTTGGCTGTGGAGCAATATGGTAAAGTACTCGAGTTTGCATCTGATGAATTGAAGAATGATAGAGAAATAGTCATGACAGCTGTCAAGAGAGATTACCAAGCTCGAATGTATGCTTCTGAGGAATTGGCTGTTGATAGAGAGGTTGTTCTTACAGCTGTTAAGCAATCTGGTTGTTATTTTAAGTTAGCATTTGCACAATGACAGATGGCTGTTCAAATTTCATCTGCAACAGATTGGAGAACATAGAAGTGAGCTACTTCAACATTTCAAATAAAGATATCGATTGCTAATCGGTTTTTCATAACGAAAGAAAAATTAAAAGACTACAGCACCACAGGTTCCCAAGTTGTCTCCAACCTCAGTACTGATGTGGCTCGACGATGCTTAACTTCTCAAATCGGACGGGATGAGGTGCATGAATCGTGATATGGCCGTAGCCATTCAAATCATCAAAATCTTAATATTGAAATAAGAGAAAAATCCCCTTGAAATTTCTCAAAATCTTAATATTGAATAAGAAAACGATAAGCTGTTCATCAATTCAAGGTTTTTCTTGAGTGATAATAATTGTAATTATTGGCATGTCAAAATAATTAAAACACCAGATGAACAAAATGATTCTCCCATGCCGGGAATTGAACCCGGACCTCCTGGGTGAAAGCCAGGTATCCTAGCCATTGGACTACACGGGAATCTTATTCACTTTGAAAATATTCCTCATTTATTAAATATCCCAGATAGCAAAGTGGAACAATCCTTTTGCTTACCAACTGGCTCTTGCAAGGAAATTTATAAATCTCTATCTTACAATATAACTCCGAGGAGCATTTTAAGGAAATTCAAGATGAATATCCAAAAGAGTATAGAAATTCAACCCGAGAGTTGATGATTGATGCCGATCTTGCAAGTTTAATATTTGATAAGCTGAAAACTAGGATTGATTTGGATGCTATTAGTAAAATGGTAACTCCTTTCGGTGTGGATAGTGCAGGAACTTGGAAAGCTTGTGGAGTCAATGAAATGATGCGATTTAACAAGTACCAAATCGGAGAATATTTCAAAATTCACACTGATGGTCAATTCAAAAGAAACAATAATGAAAGAAGTATCTATACCTTACTAATTTATTTGAATGATGATTTTAAAGGAGGAGAGACGCGATTTTACAATGATCCAGAGATGATGGATGGAAATAGTTCCTCCTACTATAATCTCGTTCATACTGTGAAACCTAGCATGGGTAAACTTGTTCTATTCAATCAAGATTTTGCCCATGAAGGTTGTTCTGTTAGGAAGGGAACCAAGTTTATTCTTAGAACTGAAATAATGTATTTTAGAGTGGATGCAAGCTCATGTCCAAGAGATGACAAATTCGATCAATCAGAAATCTACAAGAAAATTGAGCAATTATTGAGGAAGAGTAGGGAACAGGAAAAGAATGGCGACGTCATGGCAGCTTCAAAAAGTTATAGAGCTGCCCAACAGTTTCTCGTTGAAAGTGGCAAGACATTCGAATATCTATTGAACAGACCACAAGATGAATTGAAAAGAAACACATATGAAAATCAATTCGAACAACTTCCAGATGAAATACTCGCAATTATTTTCTCATATCTGAAGGAAAGTGAAATATGCTCATTGATTTTACCATTGAATAGAAATTTGAATCGTGCAGGACGATCATCACATGTATGGAAACCCATCTATCAGAGATATTGGACTGATACTTCTTTTAACTCATTTTGGGAAGGGAATGACTTTACAGATTGGTATTACTGTTGCAATAATATTCGAAACTTCACAGAACGCTTATTTTCACCACTATGTATTGATATTACAAGTGAGATGACATTCTTTCAATTATTCAATGAGAAAACACCTCGTTCTGTTGAGCCATACTTTTTCAAACTTTTAGATCAGTAAGTTTAATTTTCTTTATCAGTCAACCAACAACTAAAGTTCAGAAATGCAAGTTTACTTTTATCTTGGTTTGAATCCTGGTTCAACTTTCTTATTTAATTCAATGTACAAAAATGATAGATATCACAAATTGGACAGGAGAGAAGATGTGAATGGATTCTTTTCTGAAATTTATTCGAAAGTTCAGCTATCAAAAGGTCATTCACTGGTGATTTCAATTCCTCCACGTTTTCTCATTTCTGATTACTTTTCAAATTTCAGTGATTATGTTCTTTATTCTAGAGTGCCTGCGTGTTGTTTCGTATCTAGACATGTCATGCTAGCTCACTATCATAACACTCCCAATTGCATTGTAATAGAAAAGGATGTAGGTGACATGAATTGTGGAGTAAATGTTACAATTAGTGTTGTTTCGAATAATCAATCACTTGCTGACGATATCCACTCATTCAGTGCTCCAAAATTAGAAACCATTTCTACAGAATGTATTGACCTACTGCCAAGTATCATCACGAATGAAACAACCACTCACCTCATTATTGTGAATTTAGAAAAGGATTTTCTTATTTCCATTCAGAAAATCCTTTCAAATCTCACCATCATTGAATCTTGTGATGCGAAGGAAGCATTCTTTGGATGTCAAATATTTGCTTCTCGTGAAGATTTCAGATCATTTTCATCGTTTCATAATCCTTGGAAGACCAATCAGTCAAATCCTTAATGTTTAGTTGACAAAAAACCATCAAATGTTTGACAAGTTTAAAACTCAAATAAATTAGAGGACTGATTTAAAAGGTGTCTGTTCTCTCTTGTCTCAATTCTAACACAACTTTGTTTGATAAATAAGGTCAATTTGGAGTGAAGAAAATTTCACAAGTCAATCCAGCAGATATTGAAAAAAGTTTTACAGTTTGGCGCCAAAACTTATCAAAAAAAAATGAGAAAAGTTCAAACGGGTAAGTTCTCGCTCTCTTTCTGATTTTGTTCTAAAAATTGTTCTGAATTCCCTTGTTGTTCATTTTGATCACAATGACAAACATTTGATGGCGGAATTTTAATGTTTTATTTAATATTGTATTACCATTATGACCATTGATGATGATCATGAATTGTTATTTTGTTATTTTTGGAATTGTGTGGATCGGATGATGAAAATATACAAATTTATGATCAATAATTTTGGATCACAATGATGGTGGTTGTGTATACAACATGTTTATTTCTTGTTTTGAATTTGGCAATTAATAGGAAAGAAATTTGAGATTAAAGCTCCCCGAGCAGAGAGTACAACAACAGAGGCTTTCTTTTCCACTACTTGGACACTTCTCAAGCAAGCTATTCAACAAATTTATCACAACAAGAGCTCTGAACTTTCCTATGAGGAATTGTATAGAAATACCTATAAAATAGTATTGAATAGACATGGCGAATCACTCTATGAAAATGTAGAGGCCTGCATGTTGGAGCAAGTAGAATTCATTCTCAGTAGTGTAAGTTTTGATTTCTCCTTTTATTAATCAGTGTGCAAATTTTAATTTTTATCTAATTGATGATCGGAATTAATAATAGGTTTTGAAAAAGTGTCCTGATGAATTATTTCTCAAGACAATATGCAATGTTTGGGAGGAATACAAGACAGAAACATCTGTAGTGAGCAGTGTTTTGATGTATTTGAATACAAATTATGCTCTCAAACAATTACAGCAACAACAATCTCAAAGTAGTGGAAATGGTGCAAATCAAACACCTGTTAAACACACATTATTCGTCTATGATAATGGTGTAGAAATATTCAAAAGAGTAGTTATTTATCAAAGTCAATCAGGAGTTAAAATTAAAAATATTGTAATTGAAATGATTGGAAAGGAAAGAGGTGGAGAATATGTAGATAGATTATTGTTGAAAAAAGTAGTGAGAATGCTATGTGAAATGAACTGTTATAATGATGTATTGGAAGAACCATTTTTAGAAACCAGTGCTCAATACTACTTGCAATTGTCCCGTGATTTATTGGCACAGACATCAATTACCGACTATTTGAAACTAGTCGATGAAAGATTAAGAGAGGAGGATAACCGTGTACAGTACTATCTCTCTTTTACAACAAAACCAAAAATTTCAAAAATCTTACGACAAGAAATGATTACCAAACATTTGGACACTATTACAGAGAGTCCAAGTGGATACATTTCCTTCCTCAAGGATGACAAGATTTCAGAATTGCACAGAATGTACAATTTGTTTTTGGGTAATGAAGAAGAACATTTATCCATCATGATAAAGCTCTACAAGCAATACATTACCGATGTTGGTATTGCCTATGTAATGGATGAAGAGAAATTACAGGGATCTGCAGTAACCTTCATTGAAGGTCTATTAGAACAAAAGAGAAAATACGACAGAATTACTCGAGAATCTTTCAAGAGCAATTCAAAATTTGAACAAGCTCAAAAGGAAGGATTTTCCATCTTTTCAGATGGTACCAGACAAAAGAGAGTTTCAGAATATCTTTCCCTCTATTTGGACAATACAATCAGAACTCTTGGTGATTCAGAACAAGAATTGGAACCAATCATGGAGGATGCTATGGCTCTTTTCAGATTCTTGAGAGACAAGGATATTTTTGAGAATTACTACAAGGTTCATCTTTCAAAGAGATTACTCTCCAAGGGACATCAAGCAAACTCTGAGAAAATGTTCATCTTGAAAATGAAAAAGGAATGTGGATACAGTTTTACATCAAAAATTGAAGGCATGTTCAATGATATGAAAATATCAGCCCAAACCAACGAACAATATCAACAACATGACGCATTCAAACTCAAACCAGAAAGAATGGACTTTAATGTAAATATTCTCACTCACTCTTTCTGGCCTGCCTATACCCTCAATAACATCATTCTCCCAGCAGATCTTAATTTGTGCTGTGAGTCATTTGCCAAATTTTACAATCATGTACATAGTGGAAGAAAACTTACTTGGCAAACCAGTCTGGGAGATGGTATCTTGACAGCAAGATTTTCGAGTGAAAAACATGAACTTGTCGTTTCTACCTATCAAATTTGTATTTTAATGCTGTACAATGAACATACCGAATATACCTATGCAAAGATTAAGGAATTAACTCAAATACCAGAAAAGGATTTAAAAAAGACTCTTACAATTTTATGTATGAACAAGACCAAAATCCTTTCCAAAGAACCAAAGACAAAGAATTTGGAAGATAATCACAAGTTTGTCTTGAATCAGGACTTTAAGAATGCCAATTATAGAGTAAGATTAGCCATCACCTCCACCAAGGAAACTGTTGAGGAAGTTCAAGAAACTGAATCCAAGATTGAATTGGAAAGAAAACCTGTTATTGAGGCTGTTATTGTGAGAGTAATGAAAGCGAGAAAGAAGCTCCACCACAATGAACTCATGTCAGAAGTTGTAAAGCAACTACAAAGCAGGTTTGTACCAAACCCTCAAGAAGTCAAGAGAAGAATTGAGAATTTAATTGAAAGAGACTTTTTATCAAGGGAAGTTGAAGATCACAAGACATACAATTATGTTGCATAAAATAGCCAAATTTTTTATTATTTTTCTGATTTAGAACACAGACATGTGCTTGAAAACTCTTTGTGGAACACCACCTGACATGAAAAGTAAATCTTCCATAAAGTTTTCCTTATTTCCGAACACAAATGCAGAGCTTTGGTAATATTCTACAATGTTTTCAAGTTCTGGGTATGAGTATCTAGATGAAACATAAACTGGGTCCAAAACGTTTTCTTCCATGAGGTAAACCTTATTTGGTGTCTTATTCTTATTTGTGTTAGCAGCAACAATGAGCTTGTTTGGAGCATTTTGTTGAATTATTCTTGACAAGGCTCTCACCAATGTATAATTCTTAGCATGTACCTTTTGTGGAACAGTTGTAGTGAAATCGTCAAGGTTACCATATTGATAACATGTATAGTCGTGTAAGAAATTATAATCATCAATAGCAAAGAGCATTGGAGTTGTCTTATCATTGATGAGTTCATCAAGAACAAACTTGAAAACAACAGAAATATTACCATCAGAAAGGAGAGCATAGTCACACAATTCGTAGAGCGTCGTTGGAACCTTTTGACCAGATTCTAATGGAAGAGTATATTCTCTGCTCAACTTCATTCCCTTCAAAATTTCAGTGTTGGCAGTCATGAATGCCTTCAAAAAGTCTCTAGTTGGGAGTGGAGCATCAAAGTATCCTTGCAAAACAGGTGATGGTTCAACAAAGTGAATTCCTTGAGTCCAGTGATAAGCAGATGGAATATGAACAACCAAAACTCCATTAGTGTAAGCATTGAAAACACAGGTGGCCAAACAAGCAGATTTACCACTTCCTTGAATACCCATAAGCAAGTATCCTGGATCAGTAGTCAACTTCTTCTTATTTTTAGACAAGCTTTGAATTTCGTTAACGATTGGCAAAACTGGTTCTCTGACAAGCAAACCTCTTTGTAAGATTTGTTCGAATGACTTATCCAAATCACCACCAGTACCAGTAACACCAAAGTACTTCTTATGATGTTCTGGGGAAATGATGAAAATCTTACCAACATCAGTTTCTCTCAAATGAGTTGAACCTTCAACAAAGAGATGTGGATGAGTAGCAAGCATGAATGGTTCGTATGGATTATCTTGCTTGAGAATGACAGCATCGAGGAAAGAATCAACTTCAAAGACTTCTTCACTTTCTTCCTTCAATTGAGCTTGAATTTCTAAATCATCTTCCAACAATTCATCTTCATCAATTGTGAGTGATTGAATAATAGGATCATTCAAATGTTCCATAAATTGATCAACTTCAGTTTGATAAATTTCTCCCTTTTCTTGAGCTTGTCTTTCCTTAATTTCCTTTCTTTGAGCTTGAACAGATTGGAATGGCATGGTAGCAATTTCAAGTTGTCTTTCAATGAAATCAGCCTTTTCACTTTGAGTCAAACTGTCAAGTTCTGGCAACATGGCATCTTCATCAACTTCAATACCGAATTGTTTGGCAGCATCAAAGACATTACAATATTGAGAAATGGTAATATCTTGTTCGTGAATATAATCTGGAATAGCTTCTCTATTGTTGAATTGTGGCTTGTTTCTAAAGTTAGGGAATTTGACAGTAGCGTCTGGTCTTTGCTTTCCTCTTTCTTCTTCAACAACATCTTCAACTTTAGCATCACCCATTTGCAAGTTAAATTGAGAAATTAAGCTCAAATCTGGAGAGTTGTATCTTTCCTTAATTTCCTTTTCTTCCTTTTCTCTAGCATGATCCTCATCTTCTTCTTCTGGATATTCCTCATCATCGAAAAGATCAATACCCTCTTCTTCTTCAGCTTCTTCCGATTCTTCAACAACTTCATCAGCTTCTCTGACAGCTAAGGTTTGTTCAATAGCAAGAGCCTTAGCAACTTCAGCTTGTTGTTCCAATTCAGCTTCCTTTTGAATTTCTTCAATCATTGGAATACTCAAAATATCCTTGCTAACCTCTTCTTCTTCAGATGAAGAAAATTCTTCCGAAGAGGAAGTGCTTGATTCTTGTTGTAAAATAGAAGGAATAGCAATTTGCTTACCAGAAGCAGCTTCTTGTTGAAGAGCACTAATATCAATACCAAATCTCTTGGCAGAGTTGGCAAGTTCTGGTGAAATTTCCTTTGGATTTTCTCTCATCAAGGTAGTATAAATCAAGTACTTGGCCAATTCATTAATCTTGTTTGCTTGGTTAACAAATTGAGGATCTTGAGCAGCATTATTATCAGTCATATCAAGAGAACCAATAGCAACACTAATCATTGGAGACATTTCTTGAACAAGTTTACCAACTTCGCTAATAGTATTGGAAACATCCTTAGCGTTTTCCGAGACTGTGGCATTCATAACTTGCTTTGGTGCTTTTTGTGAGATGGTAGAAACTCTATCTACAAGTTTAGCATGAATATCAAATTCAGAAACATCAAAAGTATCTAATTCTTGGTCCACTGCTGTCATTTCAGCAACATCTGCATCAGTTAAACCCAATAGGTCATTCTTTTCAAGGAGGAGAGCCATATCTTCCATAGCTTGTTGGTGTGGATTTATATCTTCAACGTCTTCATAGTCGTCTATATCTTCATAATCTTCTTCTTCTCCGGTTTCCTTTACAGTTTCTTCAGCATCCAACAATGTATTTGCGTCATTGAAGTCTGCATCATTATCAGCATCGGCATCTTCCAATGCAAACTCGTCAGAGAAGTTTGGAGCAAGAGATGGTTCTTCAGCATAAGGAACATCTCCTTGCTTCTTTTCTCTTTTAACTAACAAGGACATTCTGCTATAGGCGTCGAACAATTCTCCAGAGTAAATTTCTTCCAAGACTTCAGTATCAAAATCCTTAGCATCAGCTTCCATTTGTATATCATCAAGCTCTTCAGCGATAGTTGCCGAAGAAACTTCATCAGCTTCCTTTTGTAATTTTGAATCAACTCCCAGTGTTTTTTTCAATGAAAGACTTGGCTTTGTTGTGTTGAAGAAGGCAGTTTGATAGAGTCGCCCGTCCAACAAATGTCTACGGACAAGTTTATTATTTTTGCTTCCAACAGAGGCGACCCTTTTTAACATTTTTTATATTTTCAAATTTTTTACAATTTTTTATTTTTTGTTTGGCTTCTTTTATTTTGATGAAAGATTTAAAGATGATGAGAAGTAGAGTGAAGTGGATATTTAGTTATTTATATATTGAATTGAATTGTTGTTGAATTGGTTTTGTTGGTGCTACAACTTGAGAACATCTTCGCCAGAAATCAAGAAGAGAAAATTTTCAAAATAACAAAAAATTCTCCAACAATAATCTTCAGTGGCTTTATCATGGAGGACAAATGGGTTAATAGATAAGGAATGAAGAAGAAACCCCACAAATAATAATGGCTCATCATGGATAGTATTAAAGGCTGTTGTATGGTCATTAGAAGTTATTATCAATTTAGAAAACAAATACAATAACAATACTGACAATGCAACAACAAACTGAAAACAACCTTTCTTCATCAATTCTTCTCGGTGATTTGATTGCCAAATATCCAAAAGGAGGACCTCTCATATTGAACAAGCTTGGTATTGACTATTGTTGTGGTGGTCAGAGAAGTTTGATTAGTGTTGTTCAAGAATCATCTTCTGTTAGTAACATTGAAGAGGAATGTCTTTCAATCATTAAACAAGTACAAGAGATGGAAATTCAATGTTGCCAACAACAAGAAGACAATAACAACACCTCTACCTCTCTTCAACAAGGAATGGTTGATTGGAAAGCTTCCCAACTTGTACAACACATTATTCATCATCATCATGATTACCTCAGGGAGAATATTCCTGTTCTTTCCCAACTCTTACTCAAGATTTACACTGTTCATATGGGAAAGTTAATTCAACAAGCCAGACAATCATCAGGAGAGAATGAGCAAGATGTAGCCTCAACTCATCCTTCTATTCTATTGATGGAGAAGATGTACAAGATCTTCCAAAGTCTTGCCACTGAATTGCTTGTACACTTGGTAAAGGAGGAGAAGGATGTCTTTCCACTAATCATTCAATATGATGAACAACAAGATAAAAGTAATCCATTCTTGAAGAGTAAACTAGCATCATTGATGGAGGATCATGATGAAGCTGGCAAGTTGATTAAATTGTTGGCTTCTATGAGAAAGGAATTGCCTGACTATTGCAAAACTGTGGAGAATACAAAGAGATTGCTCACCGAGTTGGAAGAAAACTTGTACATTCATGTTCATTTGGAGAATAACATTCTCTTCAAGAGAGTTCTTTCATCATTAAATATTTAACTTTTACCACCAAGACTTGTCTGATTATGATTGAAATAGATTATCTGACTAATCAACTTATCGAGTGTCTACCTGAGCAAGCCATCCAAGTTTGATTATCACTGATCTAGTGTAAAACCCACTAGTGAGCAATTCATCAAGGTGCAAGTCCATACTGATACCACCATCCTAAATCTAGCAATTTTGATTCGGAAATATATTAAAACAATTCACACAAATTGAAATAATTTAAGTTATTGTTTTAATGAGTTACAAAAGTTGTGAAATCTAGGTTGGATGCAGTACACATCCCAGTAAATGATATTTACAAAAAGGTAATTGTGTCATGTTAGTAATCGAATTACTTGCTTTCAGTAGTCTTTTCAGACTTTTCCTTCTTTTCCTTCTTCTCTCTCTTCTTTGGAGCAGTCTTTCCTGATGAAGTTTGATACTTGGTAACAGCCTTGGTACCTTCAGAAACAGCGTGCTTAGCCAATTCACCTGGGAGGATCAATCTGACAGCAGTTTGGATTTCACGAGAAGACAAAGTCTTAGTACCATTGACTCTACACAATTGAGCAGCTTCATTGGCAATTCTTTCAAAGATATCTTGAATGAAGGAGTTCATGATAGACATAGCCTTGGTGGAAATACCAATATCAGAGTGGACTTGTCTCAAGACTTTGTAGATATATGAAGAGTAGGATTCATGTCTAGACTTCTTCTTCTTGTCGTCCTTTTCACCTTCTTCACCATCACCGGAAGCCTTTGTGGTCTTCTTGGTAACCTTGTCCTTCTTGGTTTCCTTGGTCTTATCCTTGCTTTCAGTGGATTTCTTAGTCTTGGCTGGCATTTTATTTATCTAGGTTGTTGTGAATTTTGTTTTGTGTTGGTAATTGCTGGAAGGCCTTTGCATTTTAAATAAGCTTTTAAAACCCGTAACGTCTTTCTCATTTTTTGACTTTACAAAATTCAAAGTGGATCCAATTTTTTTTAGCTAATGTGGTGATGACCTGGCTTGAAAAATCTGATTGAATCAACAATGGAGGTGAGTGGATCGAAAGTTTGATAGAAAAAAACAAAATGTCGTTATGCATAAATAGTGCCACCAGTCAATTCGATAACAAAATGTTTTACTTGTAGTCAACACTTCTTGAACAAATTATATCGGAACAACATCAAATTATTTTAATAATCAATCGTAAAGTGTAATTCTCTAAAAGTGATGGTTTTTGAAAACATTTTCGCGCCAAAAATCTACTGTTGTTATTAAATTTAAAAAAATGACTGAAAGCCTTCTCTCCGTATGTAACTTGATTAATTAATTGATGAATATTTAATCCGATATTTAACGAACCTTATTACATTAATATTGAATGATAAAACTTGTAATTGATCGTGTTTGGATGCTATTTAAATAGGTAGTAAATACTTTGGATACATATTATACTGTTCTGGTGGCAGAGTTGGAACAAATTGATGCTGATATGGATGTTATTCATACCTTTATAAAAAGGTAAGTTAATTTTGAATGGATCAATGGTATAAATATTCAATCATGTGAATTATTTAATTTCTGTGTGATGAAATAATAGATACGGAAATAGGTATTGGGAAGCATCGTTACATAAACTGACTAGAACTAAAAGACAAAAGGAGAATATGGTAAGTTTTAAGACAAATAATAGAAGCTCATTCAGTTTCATCAATCAAAATTTTCTCGTTTTACTCTGTCTTATTCAATTTTATTGGAAACAAATCAACAGCTAAGAGATGTAAAATTACAAATAGAACTTTTCAACATTCATTTGGAATCAGGAAGAGAATTATGCAATCGATTGGAAAGAGTTCATCCAATCATTGTCAGACCTAGGGAGGAAGATCTCAATGAAGAACAAACAACAACACAGGGAGGTAAGAAATCAAGTGGTCAAAATCTTCCACGTAAAATCCTCTCCGATGGTTCTGTACAAATTGGAAATAACATTAGAGAGATTAGTATTGCTTCGAGTATTCTTGCTTATTCAAATGGTATTGAGATGACTGGAGGAGATTCTGATTCTGATTTGGAAAATTCTGGAGGAAAGAAACAGAGAGTGAATGTACCTCTTGCTTCAATAACAGCTCGACAAAATCCACTCACAGCAGTACAACCAGCAAAGGGTAATAATCTCAATTCTTCCAATAACACAACACCAGGCTCAACAACTGGCCCACCTGAACTCAACACGAGTAATGTCTCTGCCATTCTAGGATCTGCTCAACCTCTCGCATCAAAGGATTTGGGTCTCAACAATAGGAAAAAGAAAAAGAAGATCCAACCACCTCTCAAGAAGGACATATTCAAGGAAGGTTCTTTCACTCCAACTACTGCAAGTTCTTCTGAAACTGATGACGATTTTGGACTCTAAATTCTCTACTACCTAGGTTTACTAACTTGTTTGATAATATTCTAAGCTAATTTGAATCTGAAATGGTACTGAAATTAATGAAGATACAATTGTAATTATTAGAAAATGATTTTACTGTTCTTCATTTGCTTTTTGCTCAATAGTTTTAAACTTTTTCAAAAAGTTTTGGAAATCAGAGCTAATTCTAATGGATTGACGATTGAGATTCTTTGCTGTTACTGGATCAATTGCAGAATTGTTCGGATCAAAACCAGAAGAACGTGGAGTCATCATCATTGCACTCTCTTGTTCATGAAGATGCTCATCTGAAAAACTAGCTCTTGCAATCTTTTCCTCAGCTGTCTGTGTAACAAATTTGAATTTACCATCATTCTTATACTTGTTTAAGAGTTCTTTTTGCCATGGTGCAATTTCTTCTTCCTTCTTTCTTGGTGAATCGAGAGCTACAATGGATCTACGTGGAGTTGAAGAAGGTGGTTGTGAAGATTGCAATATCTGAGGTGGCTGTTGAACATCGACGTCTGAGGTTTTTCTGAGAATATCCAATGTTGGAATAATTGGTTTGGTATTTGGAGGTTGAGTTGGAGTGGTTTCTTGATGATTGATTGGTTGTGGAGTGGTAACTGGGCTAGGTTCTACAGTTGTGAAGGTTTCAATGTGTTGAGAAGTTTCAGATTCAGATTCAACAGGAGGGAGAATTTCTTGTTTTGTTTCAACAACTGTTGGTTGACTGTTTGATGTTGATACAAGTGGTGCTTCATCTTTGGCAGGTTCAGTGAGAGGTTGTTGGAGATCTTGGACAGTAGACACTGGCTCTTGTTGTAGCTCAATAACTTGCTGAGTAGCGGTTGGAATTGGAGTTTCTTCTACATGAGGTTCTTCCACAATTTTCATACTTTCAATTGTTTCTACCACAGGATTTTGAATGGCAATTACATTTTCATTACCAATATTATTATTCTTTGTTTCCAAAACAGTTTCTTGTTGAGTTTCTGTTAATCTGCTAGCCATTTCCATTTCTTCCTCTTCTTCCATCAAATCAGCTGCATTGACAATTTCCCAAAACTTTTCCTGAGTTACAATTTCCACAACTTGATTTCCAAATTCATCCTCATAGACAATTTCATCTCCAACACGAACATAGAATTGAGCACCATTTTCATCCTCATAAATGATTTCATCGACCATTTCCTTTCTAACTTCTGGTGTAGTAACTGGTGATTCATCTTCTAATTCTTCTTCCACTTCTTCTTCAATAACTACTTGTTGAGTTGATACTACTTCTTGTTGAATTGGTTCTCTAGTTGGCAACTGAATTGGTTGAGGAGTTTCTTGAATTGTTTCCGTTGCTTGTTTCTCTTCTTCTTCTTCTCTTGTAGAAGTTTCTGGAATGTCTTGAATTGGAATTGGAATGACCTTCTCCTCTACTGAAGTAGAAGCAGTAGTGGTGTGTACTACAGTTTCTGGTTGGCTCTCAACAATAGGATCCTGCTTCACTTCTTGAACAACCTTGATTGTTTCCTTTGGTTTGTTGTGTTTATCTTCTTCCTCTTCTTCAACTACAATGTACGAATCATTGACATCTTCCTCATAATCCTTCAACAAGGTAATTGACTCCTTCTTTGGATAGCTCTGTGCAAATGCTTGATTTTGTAATAATTTGTTATCCTGTTGATTAATTCTATGAATGACACTCAATCTAGCTCTATTTCCCTTTCTGGATTTCTTTTTAATTCTCAAAGTTTTCTGAACGACTAGATAACTTCTAATATACGATTGAATAGCGAGAATTGATGGTAAAACCCAAGATTGAGGAATTTCCAAATAACCTCCTGATTTGGCATGAGGATAATCCAAGTCTTGTTTTCTGGAAACTTTGATTTCTGTCAAGGATTGTTGAATAGCATACATCCATTGTGTCTTTGTACTTTCATCCATGAACTTGAATGTATAAATTCTACTCCATGTAATTAATTGGAACATGAAAGAGAGATCAGAATTGGATCTAGAAACAATTTCTTGTCCTGTTTGATCATAGGTTGAAACAATTGGTGGGTCTGGAGAAACAATGTTTCTAATCCAAGGAACTGGATCCGATTCCAAATCAATGCACTCTTTAAATCTCAATTTCTTAGAGTCAATCATTGAGGCAACTTGCTTCAATCTCTTTCTCTTTGCAGCTGTTTCTCTATTGGAATTTCTTGGAGGTTTTGGAGCTTCGAATGTAGAAGTACAAATCACAATGGAATCATTGAAATGGAAAACTACCAGTTTGTTCTTTTCATCCTTGAAGAAATTTTCATTTGGAATGTCCAATTTAGTAACAGAGATGGCATTTGCATTATTATCCTTCTTCTTCTTCCTTTTCTTACGAATTTCCAAATAATTATTCTCACTGGAGGTCATGTAAACCTCTGCCTCATTGATAAATACTCTATTTGGTTTGATTATTGTTACAACTTCACCAGTTTCTGCTTGTTTAAAAATTTTCTTGTTAATTTCATAGAATTTTTCTCGATTTTTCATTTCCTTCAATGATTGATCGAAAGTTTGATTGACAACTTCGATTAATTTCAAGGAATCGTTCAATATGTTACACTCATCAGTGGATGATTGTGAAATGGCGAGAAGGTCTATTGAATTAGAAAATTCCATTCAATTGTTACATTTAAATTATAACACATTGAAATAAATTAATTTTCATTGAATAAATTAATAGAAAAAAACTACTCACCAATCAAGGCCTTCCTATAATGTACAAATTGTTGAAGAGGAGTCTTCATGGCTTGTAAAAGAGTAAATGAACTGTCCTTTCTCTCAGCAGATGCCAATTTAGTGCACATTCTCTCCAACTTTTTAACAATTGACTTGAAATACGAATCCTTCAATCGCTTATTATTAATTGCAACAATGCAAGTATCCAACTGATTTGAATATTGAATGTAATTCTTCAAAAATGGAGTCAATCTCATAAAGATTTGACCAATGGTGGATGCTCTTGGAGAAACTACAGTGCTCTGTTCATTAATATGTTCAAGAGTTGTGTAAAAAGTTTCGAATTGATTCAAAAGTTCAGAATTAACATTCCAAATAATGTTCAATTGAGAATAGCAGAATAATCTTTCCATTTCTTCAGAATTGATTAGATCAGATCTTTTGAGAGTTCCAATGAATTTCTATTTTAAAATGTTTCCAAAAATTAAAAAAGTAAAAAATTTGAAAAATGTAAACAATTGGAATAAATTAAAAAATTAAAAAATTAATTAATCAAACAAACCTCTCTCAACAAATCCAATTCAAACAAGTAATTAGCCTCATGTTTAATCAATCTCTTCAAAATAACCATCTTTTCCTTCAAATTATTCACCAAAATAGCATTTTCCTTTTTCAGTATCAATCCACCATGTCTATGTCTTGGCGACGGCATCAAATCATTCGATTCCTGACTAATCCTTCCAACAGACAACCTATTCATCTCATTATTCCTCGTCATCCTCTCCGATTGTCTCAACAATTTCATTTCCTCACTCATCAAACTCGAACTTTCTTCATCATCACTCGAAAACTCGTAATTATCCAAATTTTCATCCATTCCAACTTCAGTAGTATCTTCACTCATATCTACATCAACAGAAAATCGAGGAATTTGATTTAAAAGTGCTTCATAGGAACGTAATTTAAATGTTGGAAATTTTTGTTCTTCTTCGGAAAGAGTTTCGTTTGTGTTCGATGGAGTTTCGTCTAATGTGGTGGGAGGTGTTGATGGTGTTTGGTCTTGCTGTTGTTGATCTTCTGGATCGGCGGCTAGGTTTTTGGGTTTTGGCATTTTTTTTATTTGTTTGAAAACGATTTGACATTTGATGTGTGAACGAATCTTTGTGAAATTGAGGTCCGATTAACAACATTTCATTATCTACTTCAAGATCAGTTACTTGATATTCTAGATCTAACGATGTGGTTGTCAGAATTTCTGATTGAGTGATAAATTTCATTTAATTTGACATTGCAATGTCAGTTGTTTCAAAAGATCTTGTTTCATCTTTTCAAAATCAATAAAAGACACTTTACAAAATGTTAAATATGAAATGTTTGAGTTTTCCAAATAGGAAAGCAACAAATTAGCTTGTTTAAATCATTCCTTATTAATCAAAGTTGGTTGTTTTTGAATGTTTGCAAGTAGGTTGTTTGTATTTGTGATTTATTTCCCACGTTTTTATATGAAGAATGGCTACGGCCATATCACGATGAATACACCTCATCCCGTCCGATTTGAGAAGTTAAGCATCGTCGAGCCACATCAGTACTGAGGTTGGAGACAACTTGGGAACCTGTGGTGCTGTAGTCTTTTTGCCAATTTTACACTAAGCTTATTGCCAAAGTCCTTTATCAAGTTTGAAATATGGCAAAACAACAATTTTGCCTGTTTTTATTGATATTGAGGAGCAATAATAGCTTCAATTACTGTTTTGCTGCAATTGAAACAGCTATTAATACAAGTGTTAAAATTCTGATCTGAGTCTTTTAAGGTTTTTCTTAATTGACGTTTTCAAATAATAACAATGTCCCGAGATAGTTTCCGATTTGCACGGCAAAATGAAAAGATATTTAGACCAGAAACAGATGTTTGGACAGCATGTTGTTGTTGGTTTGGGTTGCAGTTATGTTTCTTATGAACCATGCAAAAATTCATCGTTATTACAAAGTGATGTTATTTCTGCATTTCTTTGCATGTGGTTTGAATTTATTAATAATTAAAATATGATTCAATTTTAGAATTCAGAGTTGTTGGAATAATTACATCGATTAGTATTTAAAACATTTATTTACATTTTTATAATTGTTGGTTTTCATGTCTATTATTTCATAAAAGTTAAACATTTTTCAATCATTGACTTTTCATCAATTTCACTCTTGGTTGAGCAGTGAATAGTTGCACTCAGACCATTTAATTTTTGTTTAACTGTTTTGACAGTGGCAGCAACTTGAAACTTTTCCTTAACATTGGTTTCGTTTGGACACCAAGTGAGAAACATCATTTTGGTTCTGGTTCCTTCTCTGATTTGACAAGTTTCGTTTTGGGATGGCATTTCGAAACTTAAATGATAGCAAACGAAACGAGAATTCTTTGGTGGGAGATTGGCAGTTAATTCGTCCAAGGAAGAGAGTTGGGACAATTCTTGATCGATTTGAATGGAACTTTCTTGCATTTTTAATACGAGAAACTTTTTATCCTTATTCGAACCCTTTCCCATTCTCATTTCTTCGTAGGTTTTGATAATTTCATCACTGAATTGACAATTAAGCATCATTTTGATTAGTTTTGAGTTTGGTTGTTTTGATATTTGTTTTGTTGTTGTTTTTCTAAAGTTTCGAATAACAGTTAAGTATTTATAACTATTTTAAAGTGAACTTGTTTGCATATTGAGAGTAGAAAGGAGACAATTTTGAAAGATTGGTGGTGAATCAACCAATAGAATTGTTTCGAGTTTGATTGATAAGCGGAAATAATTTGAAAGATAGGCAAGGAACTTGGAACTTTTAGAATATTTTTAAGGAGGAAAAATGAAAGTGTTAAATCTTTGTTTATTTTCTCGGTGGTTTTTAGAGATGAAACTTTGAAAATTGGTAATTAGCTAGATTACATATCATTACTCATATGATGAAAAAAGTAAAACTCAAATATTGGAGATAGAGTTAAAAATTAATCTCGAGTGCCGGGAATTGAACCCGGGTCGCCAGAGTGACAGTCTGGAATGCTACCACTATACCACACCCGATTACATTTCTTAAATCTTAAAGATACAATTTAATTGACCCTAGTTAAAGTTCTTGCTTAAATATGATTAACCTATTTATTCATCATTTTGAAATTCTTTCAAGCAAACAGAATGGAACGTTCTTTTTGAATAAGTTGATGAAAAATTCAAATCGAGATTTATTGCATTAATCCTCTTTCATATCAGCTTGAAAATTGTGAATTTTAATATCATTTGTTTTCTACCTTTAAATATTCAAAAGACAACTTCCCAGGTGCAGATGGCGAGCGAGTTCAGTAACAGAAACCACACCATCCACATGGCAAGTTGCCCAGCTTTCACCACGACGGATAAAGACTGAGAAGATTAATTATTGCAGTGTGGTTACTTATCCCTCGCCACTTATTCCACCATTCGGATCACTTCATGACCTGATCTTTTCTAAATATTTAACAGTTAATGTGGGTTATATTTTAAATTCAATAATTATATTGAAACTTCAACAGTTAATGGCATAATTGTAAAGGTGATGTTTATTTTATTAATAATCAGAACTACTACGATCATAGAAAGAAACTTTCAGAATAATTTCCTTGTTTAATAATTTTTTCACCATCTAATGGACCATAATATCGCCCTCCTTGTTTTTAACTTGTCCACTTTGAGAATTTTCATTCGAATCTCTTGTAATGAGTTCAACAGTGTCCATTTCAGTACTGTTGTGTTCTTCTTCATCTTCTTGAGGGGAAGGTTGTTGAACTGTTGCACTCTTCTTCTCTTGTTGCGATTCAGAGTACATGAAATATGACACACTCGCCAAGACAATGATGCAACCCAATAATTGCCAAATTGACTTCAATGATTCTTGTAAAATGAGAATACTGAAAAAGATTGTTGAAATTAATCTCAAAGCTAACATGGAGCCAACTCTCGTAGATCCAAGCATGCTAATAGCAAAGATATTCAAATGATTAGCCATCATGTATACGAAAATTGTAAATCCAAAGAACATGATCCAATCCTTGGTATTCAATCTAGTCCATAAAGTCCAATCATCAACAATTAAACTTGGTACAACAAATGTCAAAGCAAGAATAAACAATTGAAGAATGAATAAACTCTCTCCAGTAACACTAACTGCATTTCCCTGAGATTCTTCTTGTTTCATATATCTCAATGAGAGCATGTACCAAACGAGGCAAACACTTGAAATAATACTTGAAGCAATGCCCAATAAATCCCACAATGTAATATTTTCAGAAATGGAATTAAAATCAATTTGATATGTGAAAATGAATGAATACCAAGGTAGTGAAACATTCTCAGATTTTGGAACAATACTTCCAATAATTATAATTGCTCCTCCAACAAATGTCACAACCATTGTCAATCCAGCTTTCAATCCAAACTTTTCCTTATTATTTACATCTCTAATAAACCATCTGTTATAAACAAATACTGTTAAAAAGGCCAAAATGAAAGGAGTGGTCAATGCAAACAATTGAACAAATAGTGCACTTGTATATTTGGACGAAACAACATTGGTAAATGATCTCAATACCAATGAAACAAAGAAACTAATGATTGGTAAGAAGAATTTAATCCTCTTCTTAATTCTCTCAAATAGTGCAGTATTAGACACAACCTGCTGCTGTTGCTCCTCATCATCATTCATTGTTCTTTCCTTCATTTCCTTGATTTCCTTCCTATTCTTCCACTTATTCCTCAAATAAACAATCAACAAGTAGACAATCCTTGGAGAGTATAGCAAAATTGCAGCCACATGACAACTCGTCACCAATAACATTGGAGGAAACTTATTCGGAGATGTTGATTGCAGATACCTCGAAAAGATTGGATGAATACCAAAGAGTGTATGCACTGCAATACAAGCTAACCAGCCTAACATTGATTTTAGTAGAGGAATGGAGTCTATTAATTTTGAAACTCTGGATGAGAGTGAAGATGATGAAGATGATTGATTCTTCTCTTCTTTTCCAGATGTAATAATTGGTTCTTGGTCAATTTCTTCATTATCATCATCGTGTTGTTGATTAATTTCATATATAATGTGCTCCGATTCCGATGATGAATTATTTAATAATTGTGATGATGATAATGATGGCAACTTGAATTGTTGTGAAGAAGAATCGTTATCTGGATTTTCCATACTGCTCATTGTTGTCATTGTTTTTAATTGTTGTTGTTGCGATATTGATAATGATGATGAGGAAGAAATTGAATCTTCCAATGCTTGTGGTTGTTGTTGGGACATTTTCTTTAATTTCTTTATGTCCTAAAACTCCGAATTTCATTCCGAATTAAATTTAGCTTAAGGATTCGGATGTGTTTGAGGTTAGTACTAACCATCGAATTGAATTGGATATTGATGATTCTTCAATGGAATGGGATGGGCAATTAAACTTATTAATATAATTTAATAAGTGAGAAGGATTTAATGCGTGCTTTCAAGTAATTGATTGAAAAATCAAAGAGGTGCATTGAATTTACAATCATTTTGATAGTTACAAAATCTAATTTTCAAAACTTGGCAAATATTAACAGGAATTCTTGCATGTTTTACACACAACTTGTCAACAATCAAATTTATGTATTGGTTGAAAAGATTCAAAAGTTTTGAATACATCGAATAGTTTAACCAAGTTTATTTAAACCATTTTATGAGTTGGTAAATTATTCTTATTGATATTACAAGGAGTAGTATCTGGTGTAATAAAAGCATTGGATGTGAAAACTAAAGGTTCCAATGCAACACCATTGACAGCATTGGCAAATGTCAATTCAATGGTGGCAGTTGTATAACCAGTTGCTGGATTTCTTACAAAAGCTTGCCATTCCAATTCTCTTACTTCAACCAAATTAGTAGATTGCCAAACATCAACACCAATTGTGGAAGTTCTGAAATCACGACTTGTTGGATTAGTGGCAGACCACAACTTGACAGCTGTTGGTTTGATACCATTGGTAACTGAGACATAAATAATTACACCACCATTGACGAATTCATGTGAGAAAGTGTACTTTGGAATGACGAGATTATTCAATCTAGATGCATAGAAAGAACCGAGGACTTGTAAGACATTGGTATTGAGCATCAAGTGGCCAGTGTTTGGAATGTAACGTACATACTTTTCACCCTTAATTTTGGAATAAAACAAATTATTGAGGTCACTATGAGAATCGAATTAAAAATTATTGGAAAGTTAAAGAAACTTACGGAGCAAAGAATTCATCACCCAAGGCGAGAATTTGATACTTTGGAATGGATTTCAATCTACCATAATTCAGTGGATCAACAATATCTGTCAAACTTTCAAATGATTTATCAAAAAGTTGATCAGTGACACCATTAGTGACATAATCATAGAAAGCCCAAGGCCAAGCACACATGTTGTTATAAGTTCTAACAATGAATTCCTTAGTTCCATAGACTGGAATGACCATTGGTGCAATAGCAGCAACACGATTGTCAATTGCGCCTAAAAGAATGGTTGTCCAACTGTCAAAATGTTAAATGGCTACATTGACTAAAATACTTACCCTCTCTTTGAAGCACCACTGACTGTAAACTTTTCAATGACGTGATTGGCTTGTTTCTTAACAAAGGAAACAACAGTATCCATTGCCATCTTACTTCCCTTGACTTGTGGCAGTTGAGTGACATACAAGAGATTGGCCTTGGTAGTGTTTTGTAAGAAACGATTCCATCCATAACCAATAATAGCATCTTCCACACGAGTAGCATGAGTAGGATCTGAATTATAACTCATTGGTTGATTTGGAACCATATAAACAATGGCAGTAACACTTTTAGTCGAAACTGCAGTATCATATACGAAAGTAGGAACATGAATTGGAGAAGCAGTCAAATCAGTAGCACCAGGGACTGCCAAATTATTATCACCATTAGAAATAAAGAATAAACTTTCACGATTATTCTTATTCAAATTATTTGGAATTGTAATTTCAAGATAATGGAACCAAGTGTTTGCTGGGCCGACTTCTGAAGTTGGCAACCAAGTTAAGGAGGTAACGTTGAGTGTGTAGATGGTGGCACCAGTGATGGATCTGGTGTTAATTAATTTGTAGGAATAGGCACTTTCTGGTTGATTGACGTAGTTGCCCAAAGCTTGTTTGAAACTTGTGGCTGTAGTTGAGTGAATGACGGCAATTAGTGCCACCATTAAAAGAGTTAGCAATAGCTTGTTCTCATGATGATTGGATTTTTTTTTTGATATGAGAATGTGTGAGAAAGGTTTCTCAACACTTAAGTACATTGATATTTGGATAAAATTGGCAACTAGGTCACAAGTAAGGCAGTGATATGCAGCTCTTGTGCTTGACTTGCACGCATTGTCTTATATTAATCCTATCGATCACCAATAATTGGAAATATCATAATAGATACTATACTTTAGTGCTGACTTTCAATTATAGTGCACAACTTCCATCTCATTGAGATCTTGTGATGTAATTTTGGATATGTATTGTCTTGTTTGGAATGAAATCATTAAATAAAGCAAGTAACTCAATCAATTTACCTATATTACAATCCATTACGAATTTTACCTGTAATTAAAACGTTGGTATCATGATGTTAAGGTTTGACACCTTAAAAGCTAGAATTCTAGCATCACCAACAGTTGGTGGAAAGCTATGACTCTCAAATTCAATGTCCTTGACCATTCCGATATTTAAATTTATTAATTATTACAAAATATTTGGAATAGAAATAAATTTAATTAAAATATGAACTTTGGTGGGAAAATCATGATTTTCCACGAACCCTTTTGAACCATCTCTATGATATTGGGATGACGAGATGAAATGTTGCAAAGTGTTGCTGATTAAATTTCCACTTTTTACTGCTAAATATCTATACATTCAATGTACCATTCAATATCAAAATTTTAAAATCCTTGAATTGAAGATCAAAATCAACAAGGCTCCGATGAAGTTATCATTTCCCAAAAAAATCCTCCACAATTTCCGTGCTCACCATCAATACATCATCATCCAAACAATACATCCACTATTAACACTACTAGATCCTCCACATCCACATCCTCATCCATTCTCAGCATTTTCTCTTCTTTGTATTTTTTCTAAAATTTAAAATTTATATTTTTCATGGTCAAACAACAAAAACAAGCAAAACGGCTGACAAAATTTTGGCGCCAATTCGAAAACTTGCTTTAAAAGAATCACATTATCCGTTTGGGATGATTTTTAATTTTTTTGAAATTATGATTTGAAACTTCCTTGCTGACGTCAACAGGCGCTCATTGCTGGACTTGCCAAACTTCAAACAATCAAAAAAAAATGGCATCACAACCTAGAGTGATATTATCACCTGAAAGTTTGGCATTTGTCTACCAATTCCTTCCAGATGATAAAACTCGTTCCAATTTTGAGAAAACTTGCTTGAAATTTAGAAATGTTTGTTTGGAAGAGGAAGTTTTAGATTTGCAACGAATTATGGAATTGGAAAATCGATATTTACAAAGTCCGTGGAGTGAGGAAGGCGTTCCGGAGGAGGTGATTGAAATGGTGGAGTGTAAAATTGGATACAAACTTCCTTTCCACTTGAGGGAATTTATTAAAATTACAAATGGAAGAAGAATTAATTTACAAGAGGAAATGGATGAAAATTCGAAAGATTTGATGGGAAGTCATTGGAGTTGGTTGAATGCTTTTCAAGATTGGCGGTTTCATTCACCACAAAAGGTTCAAATTGGGTTTATTGACAGTTCTACTAGAACAATGACAGGTGGCAGTGGCCTTTTTATTGATTTAAAGAGTGGAATGCTTAGTGATGGATTGAAGAGTCTTCGAATGAATTTCAAACAGTGGATGCAATCGTCCTGTTCAGGAAAGCAAGTAAATCTCTTCAATGTACAGAAAGTTTTAAGCAATGAGAAAGATTTGAGAACATTGTTGAAACAGTATGGATATCTCTATGAATATTTAACAGAATCTCAAAAGAATGATAAGAAATTAATCAATTTAGCAATTCAGAGTTATCCAATATTACAATTTGCTCCAAATTCGATAAGAAATGAAAAATCTATTGTGCAGTTAGCTATCAAATATCATACAGAGAATTATACACACATTTCGGACCCTCTTAAAAAGGATAAGGATATTCTCAAGCAATTCATTGAAAGAGGATCTCTTTCCAGTATTCCAAGTGAATTGATCAATAATGATTTAATTTTGGAAAGCTTGAAGAATGGCTCAATTGTGGATGAGAATATTTTGAGAAAATCAACAACAAGTGATGAATTCTTAATCAAACTCATTGGAATTGTTAAACCTTCATCGAATCCAGCTGTGGGAAATTTCCTGACACAACTCTCAAAGGAATCCAAGTTATCAGAGAAGGTTTTGAAACAAATTATCGAATCAGATCCAGCATCCATGTCAATAATCGGATTGGGAGATAAGATTCAAATGAATAAGAAAGTTGCCTTGAAAATATTCGAATCTACATTGTACGATAATTCACACTCAATCATGTTATTCACCAACTTGCCAAAAGATTTACAATCTGATAAGGAAATTGCAGAGAAAGCTGTATTATCAAATTTTGATATTTACCCAACACTGGACGAAACATTGAAAAAGGACAGACCATTCAATTTACAACTTTTAACCAATTGGTTGAAACATTCGAATAGCTATTCCAATACTTTCTCACAATTGAAACCTCTCTACGATTTCTGGGGTCAAGACGAAACATTTCTCCGTCTTGCCTTCAATACTTCTCCAGAATTCGTCATTGATTTTCCAAAATTACTGGCGGAATCATTTATCAATTCATTACAATGTCATTTTGGAAAATTATCATTTGGCGAAATATTGAAAATTGAATCTCCGTATGAAGCTTATCGATTGGCAGTGAGAAGAAACAAATCTCATCCTGCTCATGATCTTGTGGAGGCGAAGGATACTTTGAAGGATATTCGAATGGCGTTGCCGAAAGAGGATGATCCAGAAACTTTAGCTGATATTCGTCAATCGTTGTTATCAAGTGTTTGGTATGATTATTGGTAGTCAGTTTCGAATAAAATGTAAAAGTTGTGTAGTTTTAAATATGATGTTGTGGATGTGAGAAATTATCGAATAGATAATACGAAACACATCTCGCCTTAAATTCAATTTCTGCACCTTCGTAAAACTCTATTGTAAGATTCTTTGTTAGCAGTTAGGGTAATCGCTTGTATCTCCAACTCTATAAGGCTTCAATCAAGAAACATAACCACTACGGAGGAATAACTGATCTAGCATCCTTTGCACTCAAATCTCTCTTTCGTCTAGTTTCGTTTTTATCTCTTCATACACAAGCCGAATTCAATTGATATCACGAACCTTCAATTACATAAAAGGAAAATATACTGTACAGAGATTGTTTCTCAAGTACTAAGAGATTTAATCACAGGTGTTTTAACTTCCTCACACTAACCCAGCAAAGCACACAACTCTTGTGAGTGCGCTTCGAATAGTTGTTCGAAACTAAAATTCTATATTTGGAAACAGCAATTGATAAATGAAGACAGTATAATCGGATCCTTTTCTGAAACAGCTCAATCATTCATGCCTTCATTCTGCCACAACAAAAAAACGCACGAACATGCCACCTGCCAACTCATCAACTCCTCAAAACATATCAAGTGAACGCTGTTCAGTAGTAAACAGGAAGAATAAATCTTCCTCTTCTCCTTCTGAACAACACATGACACAACATGCCACTAATCAAGTTCAGCAAAATTTGAATGGTAATTGGATGACAGATGTGAGTTCAGATAAACAACAACACATGTACCATTCTGAGGACTATGCAAATAATCAAAGTGTAAAGTATAGTCTGTCAACAACAACAATAGGTTTTGGTTCACATGAAGTGACATGTGGCAGCAACTCTTCACATCCTCCAAAGAAGAAATACAAATTTAAAAACAATGAATTGGTGGCATTCCAACAATCCACAGATGCGAAAAAGACATCATCTCAAAAACATGCCACATGTCATCAACATTATGTTATTACAAGTCAAAAATCACTTGACTTGGACGACTATTCACAAGATTATATGCAACATGCACCTTTTAAACTCATGGATCTCAATGAAAAGACACTCCATTCCACAACAATCATTCAAATTAATCAAAATGACTTGAATCGACGATTGACAACTTTAAAACGAGGAGCAGATTCAATTTCAAAGGAAGATATTCTTAGAGTTTTGCATTTGAATCAACAACAAGCTAGTTCTAGATTGGGATGTAGTGTTTCGACTCTGAAAAGAAGATTTTATGCTTTGCGTGGAGAGCTAGGTCTGACAAAGTGGCCAAATAATTATATTGACAGCTGTCAGGACAATACAAAGCTGTTCAAGCAAATTTATCCACTATCATTGGATTATATTTTGAATTCTGATTGAAAAATATGGAAATTGGATGTTAACCAAAATTTGCAAATAATTATCCTCAAGTGGGATCTAAACAAAAGGACTGCTTTTCATTTTTGGAAGTTGGAAAGTATGAATGCATGAGAGTTAAGAGTTGGCAGGCAAGATGTTTCAATTTTGGCACTCTGGCTTGACTTGTGGATTATAAATCACATGGCATGAACCATGATTCAATTACGAACAAGAGGATTTGACTGGTTTCAATACAAGGTATGTTGAATACTAATCAATGGACTCAATTTGAATTCATTGGAAAGTTTATGTACTCATCTTTGAAAATGCGAACCACCTTTTTGTTCCAATATTTATTAATTTGATCGTTGGAAAGAAGTTTAATTTAACACCTTTCCAATAAACCTTCCTAAATCTCTCAATTCTTCCTCATTGGAAGAATGTCCCATTCCTTTATAAGTGTGAAATTCCACATGCTCTGAACCTCCTCCTTGATTCAACACTTGATTGACCAAATAATCCTTACTAGAAACTCCATATTTGTATTCCAGAACATTATCAGCATCTCCGTGAGCTATGAAAATTGGAGTTTTACAATTTTTGAAATCAAATTCTGGATTTTGTAAAAGAGATTGTAATTGTGTACGAAGAGGAAGCCAGGAAGATAAGATTGCAATTCCTCCAAGTTTGTATTTGCAACTTAATCCATAATAGAATGCAACTATTCAAGATTTTCAAATAAGTTTACCATAATTATTTACAATAGGGTTTAAAAATTTTAAATACTGAACTACTCACCACTTCCTCCTTGGGAAAATCCAGAAATTATAATCCTGCTAGGATCAACTCCAAATTCATTAATTTCTCTATCAATTAATTGAGTAATCTTTTCAAAACATGCTTCCATACTTGGAACATCTTCATTGACATCTGGACCTTCAACAGCAAGACTTTTGACATTGTACCATGATTTAAAACTCATTCCAAATCCAAGAGAAATAGGTTGTGAAGGAGCATTAGGAACTAGAAATTTCAATTTCTTGAATTTTTCATCCGAAAGAAATCTGTCGAATGTTTGAGACCAACCATCCGATTGATCTCCAAAACCATGCAGAAAAATCATGGTTGCATTATGAGAATCTCCGTTCAATTCTGAAACAGAATATGGAATTTCGTAGGATTTCAACGTTGGATCAACATGTTTCAGATAAAATTTCTTTTGATATTTCGAAAGGAGGGATTGTTTCTTCTCTGCTGAAAGATTTTCTGGAAATGTTAAATTTTCTTGATATTCCTTCCATTGTGTGTTTGCTTCAAAGTTGAAAGATTTAAATTTTTTCCACTTGCTGGCAAGTGACTCGTCAAGTTGTGACATTTTTTTGTTGTAATCATTTTCACACACTAGAACTGTCAAGCTCAAAACTACATGAAATTCGGCGGGAAATAATGTGGAAATTATACAATGACTGTAAATGAAATTCTATTAATAATAATTTAAATTTTACAATATTTGTTATAAAGCCATAAACCTTTACAATAAACCATTCAACATCTTATATTGGAACATTTTCAAGATCACCATACTGGAAGCGACACATCAATCAACGCTATTTGACATTTAAATCTCGTTAATGAAAAGTGACCAATTGATTCCAAAGAAAAAAAAATGAATATTTCACACACTGCCATTCTCTTCCTCCTGCTGCTGCTACTCCTTCTCACAACAGTCACCACTTTAAATGCCTTCGTACCTCTTGAAATTGGTCCCAACTTGTATGAATTTGGTGTTGCCGTCAACAAGGGTTCTACAAGAGGAGTTGTTGTTACAAAATGTGGTCCAATTGGTAAACAATTTGATTGCATATTGTCTCTATTGATGGATTTTACAGAATCTACTTCATTTACCATGTTTGCCATGTTGGTTATTAATGCACTTAGTGGAGAATCCACAAGTGTCGAAATTCCTGGCAATCCATTGGGTGGAGTGATTGCTTCCAACTATGCCAGTTTATTGGAAGATCGAGAGAAGAGATTTTACTATGCACATTTTGGTGCTACGTTTTATCAGTTTGATGCTCAATTGATGAATTTTACATTTTATCAAAGAACTCATAATGGAATGGCTATGGCTCTAACCATGGATGATTATGGACAAATTTGGGGAGGAACTTATCCTAAATGTGGTGTATTTTCATTCAATCCAAATAATACTTTATTGAAAGATTATGGATTTGTGTATAATCAAACATGGGACATGTATCCAAGATCGATTGCTTCAGATGATTTGGGATTTATTTATATTGGAATTGCCTTTACAAAATCACAATTTATTGCTCTGAATCCAAAAACAGGTCAATATTATCCATTGATTGATGAGGTGAATAGATTGGATGGAACTGGTGTGTTGTACAGAGATTTGGATGGTGCTGTTTATGGTAATCAAGGTGGCTCATCAATTGTTTACAAAATGTATAATGGTACCATGATTTCCAATGTTACTAAAAAGAAAACAGCCAAGGTTTACTTAGCTGGAAGTCAAGATTATATTTACAGATATTTCCAGAGTGGAAATTTCTTACAAGATTTCAATGCTGTCGATAAGACTTTTGTAATCAAGTTATCGAATGGAACCTTATTGAATAGAGACTTTACCTATTCTTGTCGTGGTGCTAATATCATGGATATGGTTGCCACTCCAGATAGAAATTTATTAATTGGAGCTACAAGTTTTCCAATGACCATGTTTTCCTTGAATGGAAATCCAGTTCAAAGTTTACAAAATAATCCAGCACTAGATCAGTGGAATACCATTAAAAGTGTTCCATATGATTCGAATATTTGGATTGGGACCTATCCAGAAGGTAGATTATTATCTTATTCTCCATCCAAGCCATACGTGTATACTGAAATTGGAAATAATCGAACTAATCCAGTTTTTATTGGAACATCCTCACCACATGTGAACAGACCTAGCTGTGTTCTAATTCATCCAAATATGGAACACGTACTCATGTCAGGAAAACCAGCATATGGTAAAACAGGAGGAGGTTTATTAATCCATAATAGAAAATTACAAAATGTTATAGTATTGAATCATACTCAATTAATTCCTTATCATTCAATCTATAGCATGTCTAGTATGAAATCCAGTAATAGCATTATTATTTGTGGAACTACGACTGATCCTGGAACAGGAGGTCAACAAATTGCGACCGAATCTGAATTATTCCTATTCGATTTGTCGACCCTCAATGTTCTTAAACGATTCAAGCCATTCAAAAACGTTGGACACTATTACGAATTGTTCAATTGTCCTGAAAATGATTTAATTTACGGATATACTGACACCAGAATATTCTTTGTTTACAATCCATTGACAGATTCGATCATTCACAACAGAACCATTGATAGAATATTTGTTGAACAAGGTCCACACTCCATTGTCAGCCATCCAAAAACAAATGAAACTTTCATCACCAGCTCAACTGGACTTTACAAAATTAATCCAGTCAATTTTTCATTCATTTTAATTTTCAAACCAAACAAGTTGCTCATGTTCAATGCAGTGATTCTAAATGATGGATTTTATTATTTCAGAGCTGGAACTGAAGTTTATGGATACAAATTGTTTAATGCAACATTTATTGACCCAGTGAATAGTGTGATTGGAATGAAATCGAGTGTAAATCCAATGAAAAGTGGGGATAGAACTGTTGCACTGAGTGTGGGTGTTGCAAACAAATTTACTTTGTTGATTATTTTGTTATGTTTGACCTTTGTTCAATATTTAATATTGGCTTAATAAATAATTTATTTCCTGTTATCCAAAAGAGCTAAACAACAAACGTGTTCGATTACTTTTAATATTATTAATAATTAATTTATTGTGTTGTACAACGAAGAATTATATTCATCCATCCATATTTAACAGCAGTTAGTCTTTCCTTAACAAGATTAAGAACATTTTGACAAAGATAATTCACAAGGAAATGAATTCTCCATATAAGTAATATCAGTAATATTCTTATTCAACTTTACCTTTAAATATTCTTTGAGATTAGTATAGTTTATCAATGAATTTTCGGAAAGCTCAATAACATTTCCTAATACTTCTTCCTCAAAATAAACATAGCATGCACGTTTAGTGTTGTAAATAGGACACTCATCAGGATCATTCAAATCAATATCTTCATTTTCAAAAGGAGTTTCTACTTCAGTAGTGTTTACTTCTGCCATGAAAGTACTTGAGGAATTTGTTGCAATCTCACCAACTAGTGGGGTGGTTGGCGTGTCCAATTGTTGTTCATTGACATTTGTTGAGTCTTGGTTTATAATGGAGAGAAAAAGTTGGCCACCATCTTGAATATTGTCCTCTTCATCACTGCTTTGATTATCTTCTTTCTCATCATCATCTTCATTTTCACTCTCCACCATTTCATCACTAACTTTCTTTCGTTTCCAATTTTGTAATTCCAAACCAAGAGGATCATACAAGTTTTCACAAATTACTTCATTGTATTCTGGTTGACTCATGCATGAAATTTCATTTTGGGAAAACTTTTTCAATGTGCTGACTTGTTTTGTGAATGCAATATCGAATTCATTTCCAGCGTTGTTTCCTAATTCTGGATTTTTGGAGATTATCTCACAAAGAATCCAATTTCTGGCTCCAAGGAAAGGTTTTTTTCTTCCAGTTACTTTAAACAACTTGTTGAAGTGTTTACAAGATTTCTCTCCACAAACACAAGTTCTACATTTAATGTCCTTGGAAGGTTTTGTTTTGGTTTGTTTTTCAAAGGGAGGCATTCTGTTTTTTTTTAAGATTTGATAAATTACTAGTGCGATAGATGGGATTATTAATAGGCTTCTTGGAACAAATCTTCTTGTTTCTTTAATTTACAAAACATAATTTTTATACAACCAACCATTAAACGGTTTTGTTGTTCCACTGATCACTTGAAAAAATTTTGTTTTTTTGTAATAAATTTTCCGCCTTTCCTTTTTGGGAAGTTTATTGTTTGTAACCTGTCATTATCTCTCTGGTTTGGGATCCGCACATGCTCGGATCTTATAGCTTATCAATGTGATGTACAATAGTCTGATCTACATGTGGTAAAAACACGAAGGTGTAATATTCTATATTTATTGAGATAATCAATAAAGTTTAGTATTTGTCAGAAAAACTTGCCCTCTCGCCAAGAATTCATTTTGCCATATTTGGGATCTGGACTTTTATTGTCTGAAAACAGGCTAGATGTGTTCTATATTCAATAATCTATATGAAAAAAAGAAGAAATAAAATTAACTCTTGAATTGAGTATATAACGACTATTGATATTACTATATATAAGGTATTTGGATAACAAATTCCACAGAAATCACACTTGAAATATAAAATGCACTAGAGTATGTGAGAAACATAATGGTGGTGAAACTTACGAGTATACACATTTTGGCGATCGACGATTGGCGAAAATCGCCACTTGAATTTTGCGAATGGTTTCATTCGCTTAATGAAATTGGAGATTGGCGAAAATCTCCAGATGAAAATTGCGATTAAGTTTTTGGAAAAAGAAACAAATAAACCAAAAATTCCAACATTTGTTGGGTATTTGTTATTAAAATTACAAAGAAATTCTTTTAGAAGAGTCAACACCATGTTTTCTAGCAGCTTTCAATTAAGCACTTTCAGATCTATTTGGATCTCCAATTAATCCTTTGGATCTTGTGAATATCTCAGTATCACGAATGGAATCAGATTCACTTTCGGACTCATCAGTAATAGAATTACTGGCAGCACTCTCAAATCCATCAGATGAGCTACTGGAATATTCGTCTTCAATCACCTTTGACTTCTTCTTAGTTTGAGAGGGTGAAGGCTTGGCTGCTCTTTTTACGCCTTTCTTTGGAGTTCGAGGGGTTCTCTTTTGTTTTGCAGGTTCAACGGATCCAGTAGGAGTAAAATCTTTGTCATTCAAATCGTCAGCTTGCTCTCCTGCAAAATCATCAAGCTTCTTCCTTTCCATTTCTTCCACTCCTTGAACGAAATTCTTGATAACACTTATTGTCGAAACATTGGTTGGAACTATTCCTCTAGCCACAGTATCTGCTGGTCTACTATCGAATTGAGCTTGTTTACGAGACAGATTTCTCTTCTCTCTCCCTTGCTTAGTAGTATTTCTATATGATAATTCCACACCAGAACAAAGACTCAAATATCTTATCAATGCCAACATATCTTCTCTCAAGAGCATCTCTGATTCAATGACATAGTTACCTCCATAGGTTGGTACGTTTACATTAAGAATTTCTTGGTGGTTTGTATGTCTTGGTATATCATTTTCTTGGGAACTTTTTGCAAGAAGCAATTTCAAGATATGTGGTTGCTTCCACCAAGTACACCAAGTTGCTGCTCCTGCACAGAATACCTCAATAGCATTGATGATATGGACGATTTCATCTTCTTTCTTAAATTCTTTAACACTTTCCAACATTTTGAAAACCAGATTTCTGTATGGTGTTGGGTTTGGTTAACCTGGCGCCGGACGATTTTGTCCAAAAATCCTGCCTTTCGACCTAAAATTTTTTAGCTATGCCTTCTGCACATCTATTTCTATCTACCATATTAATATCTAGTCTTGTCTTTAAGTACTTTTCGAAAAAATAGCCTCTGATTAGAGGTCATTTTTCAATAAAATTTTCCCGCGGAAATTTTCCCGCTTTTAGTATTACAGAACTTTGACAACCTTCAAACTCAATCAAATTAGCAAATAATCTATTTATATAAATTGGAACCCTGCTATGTGATGTATACAACAATGTTACAAATAATTGTTTGTTGGATATATTTCTCTATGTAATATATTGAGTTTGATTGAATACTGTCAATAACAACACTATTAAACTTTCATAAGGACCTACATTTTATTTGATAATATCATTTATCTATGTATTATATCGACAAATACCTGGTATCATGATTTTATTTTCTATATATTCAATTTGGGAAATGTCGCAATGTCAATACTTAATTGAAATATTGCCATAATACCAATTATTGATTATATTTCATGAAACTGATGTTATAGACTTTATTTGATGTATATATGTATATATGATTGAAATATTTCAATTTTAACTTTTCTTAATGACATGGGTTGTTCACTAAGGTAGTCACTTTGCCATATGACAACTATCTAAGATGATATTGAAATGATTCCAAAATTGATATTATGAGAGTATTTGATGATTACAACATGATGAAAATGAAAATGAATTGATTGTTACAATATTTGACATGTAAGAATGTTACCTTTGATCAATTGGATAAGTAGCTTGACAGACATTCCAATTATATAGATATTGACTTCTATTACTCAGGGTTTGGTTATCGTTTCGTACTCATTGGATCTTCATTATTATTGAAATACATAATCAATGATATACATCATTAAATAGGTTACAATCTCAGCTATCCAGTGGGCTATAGATTGTGTATAGTTTGTTATATAATTATTGAGATAATCAGCAATTCCTCCCTCAATATATTGCGATTTTACTATTCCTAGGGAAAGGTAAAAGAATGATCAGAAATTGATCAATAAAAAATATATGTCATACTAGAGATGATTTGCTATCGATTGGTGTTTCAACTTTTGGATTTCACTAAGTAATTATTGAATTATCACCGATTAAATATTTAATTATTCTTGTTGGAAATCCTTGCTGGTAATTAAAGAGTTGATTCATTCTTGTCTTGGTTGTATGGAGGTGAGAGTGCGGATGCTCTTAAATTGTCGGTTGGAAAAGTAACATACAAAAAAAATGTTGTAATGTCTCCTCTCTCTTCCTCATTCAATCATCTCATCATCTCATCGTATCATCATCGTATCATATCATCATCATATCATCAGGAGTTGTTTCATAATAATTTTAAAAATATATATTGATTGGAATTATTTGGAAGATGATGTTTCGGAATTGGAATAATATTTATTTGGAAGTTATTATAATGGTGGAGGTGTGGTGCCTTTGGCACTCACTTCCACCAAGTTGCAAAATTAATTGGAAATTTAGGATAGCTTTAATAATGTAATTGGATTGGATTGGTGGATGTATCACCTCTTGGTCATCAAGTTGGATCTTCCCTTCCATCATTTGGAAGGGAGCAACTTCTCCCTTCAATATTATTAATAAATTAATATTATTAATAAATTATAATTTAATTCTTGTTGTTATTTGCAGTGGTAGTAATGTTCTTCTTATTTGTCATGCGACATATTCTTGTTTGTATAGATATTTTTAGATATAAAACCTATAGCGCTGTTAGCTCAGCGGTTGTATAATGGCAATGTTCACTAATGGACGTGCGATCGATTCTCGGTCATTTTACTCATTTTTGTCTTTAATCAGGGTTTTCTGAGCCATGAATATGAAACTTTCTCGGATTGTTCTCCTCATCTAGAGGAGTGTATTCATACTTGATACTTGTACAATATATTGTAAATTGACTGAGATGGAGTATATTCTATATATTGAATTGTGACATTTTGAAAGATTGTTATTATTATCATATTGAATTCAATTCTAACACTGTGAAATTGATACCAGATGTATAATAGTGTGATTAAACGTAATTTGTAAAGTTACAGGATGATTGGATGTACTTACATTGAGATAGAGTGTTCACTAAGATATATTAAGTGTTGACATTGAACATTTACTGATTGACTGAATGAAAGTATCATGAATTGTTTCTAAACTTGTATAGATGTATATAAATGGTGTATAGAATGTGTGTTATCAGTTCTAGACTAATTGCATATAAAATAAGTGAGTTGGAGCATAATCTTTGATTTTATGTCAAAGTTCTATAGTAAAATGATAGAGTTGACAACTCAATATCTACTGAGCCAATACTCATGAAATTGATATTATATGCTAATTAGAGTGTCTACATATCATGGTATCAATTTCAGTGCAAATGGAGTTGTTTCTATATCCTTCAGATTTCCATCCATTCCCTTGAAATATCACCATGTACTATCTAACGGATGCATTTCTTGAAATGAAATTATATAATTTGATGAAAGTCCACTTTATTTGAGATGTGGAACACGATATTATCATTTATTTTGAGATTGGTAACTTTTCCTATAGTATCATCCTTAATTGTCTTAATTGACCAAAAGAGGTAAAGGAGAGATTTCAAATCATAAAATAAATGATGTTTTCGAGATGTACTATTGATTTCCAATCGATTGATATATTTTGTTGATTGAGGGCGTGGTTTTCTATATTCAAGATTTCCTCCTGATCTTCCAAGACAACCTTGAAATTTCACCCTTTACCTTACTGAAAGATAGAATATTCTCCAAAATGTCTGAAATTTGAATCATATACAGTATTTGAGATGTTGAACATGATGGTAATGTTTCATAGAGTGGTCATTTTCCAGATTTTCATTCATGTCCATAGTTGACTAGTTGGTATGAAAGGGATGAAATCATGAATATGAAAGTTAAAATAAACGTGATATTCTATCTCTACGGATTGAATGGAGCATTTTCATATATATTTTGTTGATTGAAGTGATGTTTGTGATAGACTGATCTGACTTGTCTTTCCTTTCAGTCAACTTTGTAAAATCAACATTTACTTTCCTATGGTACCATTTCTGATTCTTATGATATGAAATTGAAATCTACAACATTATAGATCATCTGCATGATGTTGGTAAAGTTTCAATAGTGGTCTTTTTTCAAGATTTCATCCTTTTCATCATAGTTGACCATGTGTGATTGAGGGAAGAAATCTTTAAATATGAAAGTGAAAATAAATTTGATATTCGATGTTTACTAATCAAATGGAACATTTTCATATTAGGATTTAATATGTTTTGATGAGAAACTCAAAAGTTATTGTTGACCTCTTTTACCTCACATCTTCCCTTTTCACTTGATACTTTTATACCTACCAACATGAAGTTTAGAAATTTCATATGAGAGTGATTATGAATGTTGTTAGTGAAGATATATACTATATAATCTCATTAAAGGATTTTGAAATTATCATTCTTCATATGGTTTCATTTTATAATTTTTAATCTGACATTATTTACAAAGTTAATATTTTATAAATTGAAAAACTAAATATAATATATTGTTCTACTCATCATTTACAATCGAATGATATAATATTCAATAATTTGGGCTAGGGTTTGAACTTTGAAACATTGGGTCTGGTATTTCAATTTTAGGTTCAAAGGGTTTGGTTAGGATTCAGAGTTGATTTATTTGGGTTATTTAATATATTACTTAGTGAAGATTTATATCATTGATTATAATTCTTATCATCTATTAATAATGTAAATTTGATGTTTTCATTTCTTGTATTGATAGATATATAAAGGTCAGGTCAGTACTAACTTTTGAAATATGGACTTTGAGAAGTCAAATGTTTGGGACGT